CCGCGCACTTCAAGTAAATGTCTGTCTGTAGAATAAAGCTGCAACAAATTGACCATGAAAGATTTAAAATAGCTATCCTCGCTATTTCTTGAAATCTGTGAAAGGAGCTGTAGGTCTTTGGTTACAACCGCCTCTGAAGGGTCGGATAGCGTTTTGAGCAAAGCTGGAAAGGTACCATCGTTGAAAGCGACGACCTTCCGCGGGGCTTTACGGTGGAGCATAATGAGCCATGCAAGGGCCGCAACTCTAGTGGCTTCATTTTCATTCAGGAATTGTAGAGTGAGGGAGTTGACAGCAGCAGCGTAATCAAGGTCGGCAGGAGGCACCGGCGTGGAAACAAGGCTACTACGTGGTGTAGCTGCAATAGAATTATCCTGAGCTGCTTGTTTCTTTGTGTCAATGCTCGCTGTCTCTGAGGGCCTGACTCCGGGAGTTGATGATCGTCGCTCAATGGTTTCTTTGCTGGCCGTACTGGAGGGAATTTTAGATGGCGGCGGCACTGGGGTCTCCTCGGTCGTATCATCCGACAAGGAGTAGATGTATTGGACAAGGGAGGTGTTGACTTGGTTTGCTGCTTTTCGTACTTGATCCGAGCCACTGGACATGGCTGGGAGTACCTGAGTCAACAGCCGCGGAACGAAAGGAAGGATATCTTCAGGGCTGATCTCGAAAAATGAATCGATCCAACGAAGGGCCGTCAATTGCATTTCTTCCTCTAATCAAAAAAACAGTAAGCACGTCAGAATCAGAAATTCAGAGTTGCTCTTACCATATGAGGTGTTGACAAAGCCGACAAGAATACCAAGAATCTTGGGGTGGTCGATTTGTACATCTTGTCCAGGGATCCAGTCCCCATCGGCTTGGGCGATTTCATCGTCGAGAGTCGTATCCGAGGCTGAATCTGCGACGGCAATATCATACTTGTCGTCATTGCCACCGTCGGTTTGGACGTTTTGCTCCGCCGTCGCGTTGCTCATCGCATCGCTGTTGACCGAGTGTCTGTTGCTCTTCTGACCCTTTCGGCTTTCTTCAATTCCCTTTTTGAGTCGAGTAATCCTCTTGATCTCCGACAAGAACCGATCAAGCAGACCCTGGGTTGCAATGTTCACGTCTTTGTTGGGGCCGCCAAGGAACTTGATCAACCCCTCCAGGAACTCTGGCAAATAGCTCACGAGCTCCAGGTCAGGGATTGTATCTAGAAGAGTAAGCCATGAGACCAGAAAGTTGCGAGTGAACGGTTGAATCACATGGATCCGATCCTTGAGCAAAGGAATGAATCGTGCGAGAGAAAAGGCCATCGGAAGTTCCTGGTCTTCCTGATTCTCCAATTCTGGAGTTTCCTTCTCAGAGAGCTGTAAGATAGAAACGTACGAGGCCGCCGATTCAGCCACGATGTCTTTCACCAGGCGATCCAGAAGCTCCGCCCCATTCTTGACTGATAGTTCCGAATCGGACGCCAGCTATATTGCATGTCAGCGTATGCGTTACCCCACTCAGACTTAGCAGCACCCCTCACCTTGGCCAGCGCATCGAAAACTTCATTGAAAAATAGCAATATCTCTCCCTTGGCCACTTTGGCTATGTTGTACATGCTCTCGCATGCGTAGTACCGCACTCGCGCATCTTGGTCAGAGAAGCATGCGAGCACAGGCGGCACAATTTCACCCAAGTACGGTGCAACTCCTTCCTGTTTCCCATATTAGCCAAAAGATCTTCAAATTATTGGTTATGACCACTGCTCACTGATCCCAGCGCAATAGAGGCAGCAGCCAATCCGATCAGGCCTCCATTCCGGGCGTGGGGTTGGTGTACGGCGTATGCATAGTCGTGGCAGAGTTGTTCAACGATCTTTTGTATTTTCTCATGCTCTCCCTGGCAAACGGCTTCACGGACAACTTTCTCGAGCCTGGTTTGGATAACGAGTGATCAGTCAAAGTCCCTTCAAGTGCCGAGCGATGAAACCGAAGTGACATACTCCAAAGCTCCCTGTTTCCTCCTGTCATAGAGTTTGTCATTCAATAACCGCTGGATTGTTTGATCCATCGCTTAAAGCAGCTTAGGCTGCAGTCTGTCCCCAGCTATGATCGGCTAAGCACTGCTCATGGTGAACGGAAGGTATCTCAGCGCGTTCGGGTGTCGCGAGACGATCAGGAGCTTGAAAGTCAGGGGTGAGTCGTAGGCCTGACGATAAGTCGTGCAAAAAAGCAAGCCCAGATCGTCCAGGAGCTTTCCAAGCAAAGTCAGAAGTAAAAATACAATCACAGGATGAGGGAGATGCGTTGGCAGTGTGGAGATGGAGAGACCAGAGCGGTGGTGTGACGTAAGTCCGCGGACTCGGACCTTACCGCCTTGTGCCTTCTAGTTGTATCTGAAGATAATTTCAGTACATCTGTAGGTGCTCTACTACGTGACGATTTTGTAGACTTGGTGTTTTTGAATGCATATGTTTATCCTCAGCGATAGTTGTGGTCATCTTTGAGCGCGATGAAAGGAGCACAAGAATAACAAAGAACTGAAACCGACGAAACAGTGCCGGCCTTTGACTACCTGGAGAGCCCCCTTTCAACTGTTGATCACAACAAACAATCTCTGGTTATACATAGAAAGATAATTTGCAGGCGCCGTTGTTTACATTTGAAAAGAGATCTGAAGCGACATGTATATCCTCATGGGCCAAGTTGATCGCGTTGTTAAACTCCCATGCCATCAAGGACAGATACTACATAAGTGACGGACTTCTACTTATTACTTGAATAAGAAAATTATCACAGATAAATGATTTCGATCTTGGATATTGAGTATGAGCATCAAGTTCAAGTAGACCAAAGTATGGAACAAGACGAAGATGAGAAGCAGTAAAAGATCAAGCAGACATATCACAGGAGATATCAAAACCCAAAAGGGGGAAGCAGAGAGCACACCCAACTTTTCGAACAAGGCTCTCCCGCTGACACATAGAAATCGTAAGACCGAGACGCCACCTGGGCAACGGAAGTAAACAATCCCAGAAAAGAACAAAACAGACGTGGCGTGTGACTGTACAAGGATTCGTCGAGACTCCGCGGAAGCATCACGCAAAGGTATAGAACAAACGGAAGAACAAGTCTTCAGGAAAGAGTGGAAAAGGGTGAAAATGCTAAAGACAAGTAGAAGAAGAAGAATGGCGCCAATAACACAAAGAATCACTTAGGCATGTCGACTTGAGATGTCCCTCACTATCGTGAGGACTGGCTGCCCCATCCTGATGGGCGCCAGCTACCGGTGGAGTGTTTGGAGACGGTACTGGTAGGCGAGCTTGCGCCATTCGAGTAGACATATTCGCCGTCGACGTATTGGGCACCGGTGGAGAAGGTGCTACGGTGCTTGCGGCGGGCATATCTCTGTTCCAGACGGTAGATCTCGAGCTCTGATATGATATTAGTTATCTTTCCAAGCATTTCAAGACTGCAATGCTCTTTCGCAGTGAGGTAGCATTTTGCTGGGTAGGTTTCGGGAGTCGCGGAACGTACTGGCTTGTAGTTTATCGATGAGACCCATTGTGACGAAATTCAGAGATGAATATGCTGAAGGATTGTTCCAAAAGTTGAAATGCTCGATGCTGTATTCTAGATCTAGAATGCGACGATCTCTGGGGGGACGTGTTGGAGCGTGATGTGAGGGGAGTTGAGGGAAAAGTTGGCGGTTCTGTGTAGAACCATGGGTCAGTCCCTAATGATCACGACAATGTTCTGCCTTTGATATAAGAGAGACTGGGCTTACTCAATAATGGTTTCAGTAAGCGCTGATCTAAAAGCTGAGACTTGAGATATGCAGTATCGGGGGGGTTGCAGGTTCTGGAATGGATGAACTAGGAGGGGAAAAAACGAATGTACTCCGAGAGAGATTTAAATTGAATGAGAGTCAAGATACAATTCCTTATTAAATGAGTGTAAAGAAGAAGAAGAGAAGCCATGAAGAAAATAAAAGGGGGGTGTGGGGAGAGACTCGACTAAATTAGCGCGATTTCAATATCCGGAGAGGCTAGACAATGCGTATGTGTTTCATCTATACCATCCTATCCTTTGGATCTATTATCTGGAAGAATTGTAGAATTAGAGCACAGAGGATGCTGTACTCTGTAGAATTGAACCATCATACAACAAATCGATGGGCTGTTGTCCTCTCATTCGAGGTACTCCCTACAATGTTTCTTTTTATAAACACCACGCGGCACCGTTCTCCCTTCGCACAGACCTATATTAATCACGCATATCCCGTCCAGAGCTAGGTTACATTTGACAAGGAGAGTGGATAGAAGGCGTCTGTTATCTTACGTTGTTACATTGGGCCTCTCTATAATATAGGCTGGAATCAACTTCAAGGTCTGTGCTGTTGATATGTAGATTGTCGCCCTATTTGGAACATAATTTCATTATTGGATCAACCCAAATTATTTGGCCTTCCCCTTCTCTTCCCTGAATCCCACGAATTTCCCAATTCAGATGAAGGCCAAGTTTTCAAGACATCCACTTAATCAATTGCCCGTTTGCTGGGCACTAGTTGTGTTTCAAATTGGCATCCATAGTCTTCTTACAGTCTGTTTGAACTATTTTGTACTCCGTACCCGTGTCCAAGATATGGGGTAGATCTTGGATAAGGTCCGTAGTATTTGGAATGTGGCGCGCTTCGACCTGGTCACGTGGCATTTGTGTTGGGAAGATATTCAAGGGCAACTTGTGAGGCCTCACAATCTGACTGCTCAGACAAACGTCTTTCTGGTGTACTGGGCTCGCTCAAATGATACACTTACTTTGATTCCCCTTGACCACTTGACTGATGGTGTGGTACTTTTCGGGCCGAGCTTCCCTTGTACTCCAAAGGCACTGTATCGGCACCCAACACACCTAATTGCTCGTTAAACACTATTCGATCCCGATTTCAAGTGACAGAGAGGAACATCGAATCAGGGGAAAATAAGTCAATCTGAATGCATCCATTGACATGTCATCGCGCCCCGCACTATGCTTGATTGGGGTGAGCGCTTCGCCATTCTGGCCGTAAGGCTATGCCCCGCCTACGGTCATATCAGATTCTGCACAAATCTGTATCTTGACAGTCTTTCCAGCTTGAAGCTCTAAACATCAACCCAAGACCAGACGTGACCATGGCCGAGGTAGTGGGACTTCTCGCCAGTATTGGTGGCCTTGTCCAGATTGCGGGACAAATCACAAAACTCAGCTACAGCTACGTGTCGGACATTAAATCTGCCCCCAAAACACAAAAGCTGTATCTCCAAGAGGTCTCAGCGCTTACAGACGTGCTTTTTCGGGCAGAAAAGGTGATCCGAGAGGCAGAAACTACCGGGTTAGAACTGCCCTCTTGGCCATCTTCACTCAATAATGAAGCTCTCCAAGACTGCCGCCGCCAATTGTCGGTCCTTCATCTCGATCTAGATAAACGACTACGCCGCCTTGTATGGCCGTTTCAGGAAAAAGAGGTCAAAAGATACATTGATATTTTGCATCATTACAAAACTCTCTTTGCCGATTTTCTTTCCATTAATATCATGTCCGAAGACCCATCTCCTCTCCGAGGCGATCACTTGGAAAGTAAACTAACTTGCAGCAGGTCCGTTGCGAGTGCTACGTACAGTAAAGTTGCAACAATCGACCAAGGTAGTGTCCTTTGGATGGCATCAATCCTTGCGAAGGCTCTAACAAAATCCGTAGAGCAAATTCGGCAGTATCTTTACTCACTTTTCCCGGCGTCTGATAACCTTCTACGCACTAGACCAAGTGCTTGTCCTGGAACTGGCACATGGTTTTTAGACTCACAAAATGTGGAGAGCTGGCGTACCGGAGCCCCATCGCTGCTGTGGTGCTACGGAGCCCGTATGAAACAACCTTTTTGAATATTACCTGGAACCCATGAATAGCTTGCTAACTGCTAATAGCCGGTGTCGGTAAATCGCTACTTTCGTACGTGCTCGAAATGTCCTCATCGCTTCTAGATGTCTAACACAGCTAGATCGATCACGATCGGCCGCCTATGGGATGACAGATCAGAGACCTCAAGCACTGTGGTTTATGTGTTCTGTCAGTTCTCATCGCGGGAGCAGCAAACCCTGACAACAATTTTGCAATGCATGATCCGCCAAATAATTGAGCAAGCAGATGAAAAGCTGCTGGTCATGATGAAACATTTCTTCACGGATCCAATGAAGCAGCGTGAGCCTGCTGGACTCGCAGAAGCATTTGCGACCGCATGTGAGATGAAGTCTACTTACCTTCTAGTCGATGGCCCCGACGAGGTAACAGGGGCAGATGGTTTGCTCCCTTATCTATCTTCCTTTGTCGAAAGCAGTTGCAGAGTAATGGTAACGAGTCGAGACCTTGGCCATATCAGGAAAGCTATGGATTCCGCAGCCAAAATGGAAATATGTTCAAACCCCGAGGATCTAGAGATCTACATCGAGTCCCGCTTTGAAAGGAACGAGCTTCCTCGAGGGGCACGAAAGTTGATCGGAAAAATCACGGAAAAGTCGGGGAATATGTACGAGCTACTACTAGTAAATGAGTACAGCGCTGATAGACACCAGGTTTTTACACACCAAGCTAATTTTGGATGAGCTCTTGGATCTCACCACTGTTCGCCATATGCAAAAGGCGCTCGAGAAACAGTCGACAGGGTTGAATGAAGTGTACAAATCAACACTAGAGCGGATCGACATGCAACCAAGGGCAAGGAGGGAACTTGCTCGGCGGTTCATCGGATGGGTTGTCTTTGCGAAGCGACGTCTGAAGATTGATGAAGTAATTCATGCCTTCGCCGTTGAAGAAGATGAGGATTGTATTGAAGAAGATAACTTCGTTAGCCGTGACCTTCTTCTTCGATCGTGTGTTGGCCTAGTGGTGCTGCACGATGATAAGACCGTTGCAATGGCCCACGCGACCGCTTACGAATTTTTCGCATCAACGGTGTTGTTACCGCACGATATGGAGACTGACATAGCAGAGACATGTCTACGCTACATGTGCCTCAGTCCGTTCAAGGAAGGGCCATGCACAAGTCGTGTGGAGATGTCTCGCCGCTTCCATGAAATGCTTTTTCTAGATTATGCCTCAAGGCACTGGGCGAGACATTTCAAAGAAATCGAAAATGTGGATGAAGATCTAAAGTCACTTGTTCGGATTTTCATTTGCAACGAGAGACTCCTGAATGCCACCGTTCAAGCATTACATTTCCGCATTGAGCTCGAGGATGATCTCTTGGAGTCGCTTTTCCATTCAATCCCTCAGAATCAAACGGCATTGCATGTCGCTGCTTACTGGGATCTCACGGAAACTCTCAGTACGCTGATCGAATCAGGGCTCAGTGTATCTCTAGCAGATACCCATGGCTGGACACCTCTTCACTACTCTTGTGCAAACCGTCATTTTTCCTCGGCGGAACTTCTCGTAAGAAGTGGAGCGGACGTCAATGCGACGGACAATCAAGGATGGACCCCTCTTTTCTGGGCGTCGTTCACTGGATGTTTGGACGTTGTTCGTCTCCTTCTATCCGAGCACGCACAGTATAGGATGCGTAGCAAATACGGTTGGACAGCATTACACTGGGCTATATCCCGTGGTGAAACTGACGTGGCTTTGGAGCTTGTGCGGCATCATCAAAAGCAGTTATCGCGTGCTACCAAGACTGATATTCGGTCCCTCAGCGTCGATGACGTGGGACGATTGAACACACCGGAGAACACTTCGCCACTACAAATAGCAGCTGAGGGCAAGAATGATTTGATATTTGACTTGCTTGTAGCTCATCTTGAAGCACCGGATTCTACCGAACAGGAAGAGTTCGAGGGGATTTGGTCCCGAGAGAGCTTCAGGGTCCCTGTTTCTCAGAGCACATGGCAAAACTCGATCAAGGCACAAATAAATGGGGACCCATTGCCCGGACCAGAGTCGATTGCCGGACAGACGTACGTCGAGGAGAACCCGTATGTACACTTCAGGCATGAATTGGTCAAGGAAGATCCATCAGTATGGAAGTCCATTCTACTTGGCTCCGCTATCCAAGATGCAGATTTCCAGGCAGCTAAACTGTTCTTTGAACTTGGTGCAGATGTGGAGTACATTTCTGAAAAAGGATCGCTGTTAAACATTGCTGCGCAGCAGAAAGACCCACGTTTTGTACAGTTTCTGCTGGAAAAGGGTGCTACAGGACTACTCACTCAAACGGGCCAGTCTGTACTCAACATTGCTATCTCCCTCGGAAACTTGGAAACAGCAAAAGTCATTCTCGACAGTGACTTTGTTCAAGCAAATGGATGGGGTCAAAGTGAAACAACTTTGCACTCAGCCGCGGGTCAAGAGGATCCGCAATTCGCATTGCTTTTGCTATCCAAAGGGGCACAGGTTGAGCTCCAAGATTGGTTGCAGCAGACTGCCCTGGACATCGCAGTGACGAACGGATTTGTCGAGACAGCACAAGCTCTGATTGATGGTGGCTCAGATGTCAACCATTTATCTCAGACTTCGTACGCAATGGAAATGCGAACATGCCTGATGAGGGCCATCTTGCTTGCTAGTGTAGACAATAAGGAGCCGGAAAAGAGGGCTTCGGGAATTGAAATGGCTCGCATGCTGCTTTCAAATGGGGCAGATCCCAGCTTCCAAGATGAGAAAGGCAATACTGCTTTACACGTGGCAGCAACGTGTCGTAACGTGAAATGCATCGAGCTTTTGATGGCGGCTGGGTCTAAAACTGCGATTGTCGACAACAGTGGGCGCACTCCGATTCATACCATGGTGGAATCCGTGGAGCCGAGCTGGGATGTGAAAGAGGTAGAAGATGTTCTTCGCCTGCTACTCCGAGGATTGTCAGAAGACAACGCCAGTACATTGCTGGCTCAGCAAACGTGTCAGACCAATGGTGTTGACTCTTCGGGCTCCAAAATCATTTACCGGGACACGCCATTGACTTGCGTATTGAGGCGACAATATTGGGGCATAGCTCGTATTTTTCTAGCCTTTGGAGCGAAGCCCCCGACGGGGCCTTATTTTCGGTCTATTTTGACCGATGCCGTTCGCGCCCTGGAATGTCAGATCGTGGAGTGCCTCATTGGGAATGGGGTATCACCAGGCAATAACGCTACTTTTGAATTGGTAAAGGGCATCGTTGACCGAATTGACAAACCTTCCTCTCTGCTATCTTCACTGGACAGAACAATGGTAAGTACAGCTAAGTTGATGCGTATGTTTGCCCGGAGACGACTTCCAAATCTTCCAAAGCTTTCGCAAGAGGGAATTTTGCAGGCCTTCCAGGGCATTCTGACCAGGTTGGCACCGGAAAACGCATACGTGAACTTTTGTGACCCGGAAGAAAACACCACTCCTCTTCTTTTCGCAGTTCAGAATGTTCCGTTTGCTGCGATTACAGCCGCTCTGTTGGAAAATGGTGCCGATTGCTTCCATTCCTCTGAAAATGGATTTGATTCTATTTTGACGGCCGCCCTAGTCAACAACACAGAGTCTCTGCGTTGCCTGATAGCGCATGTCTCAACCTCCCCAAAGCCGGGGAATTGGACCCAGCATTTGGAGTACGAGGGCCAGCTGAGCGACAAAGAAATATTCAACTGCATATGTCTGGCCTTGAAACGTGCTGGCAAGCTAGACTACAAGAACTCAAACGGTCGTACATTGCTGCACCTCGCCGCAGAAAGCGGAAACGTCAATTTGGTACTCAGCTTAGTCTGCCATGGTGCTCATGCAGATATATCGGACAAAGATGGCTTCTTTCCCATCCATTGTGCTGCATTTTCATCATACTGTCAGAATGATGAACAGCGCCGGCAGCCTCGTCGTGATATAGTACAACACCTTCTTCCGACCAATTTGGCAAAAAATACTTCCGATTGTCATCCCTATCGCTCTGTTGAGCCCAGAGTCTCCTTGAGCGACGCGGAAATATGCCAGCAAATATCAAGCATAAAGAATCATGAGGGAAGCACGATGCTTTGGAGCGCCTTGCAAGCCTGCGACGAGATCATGGTCCTGCATCTTCTTGAACTCGAGAGCGATGTTAACTCTTGTGCCATAATCTCCCCAGAACACCCGTCACTTCTCTACCATGCATGTGTTAAGGGATTGACAAAAGTAGTGTCTTTCTTGCTGGAGCGAAACGTGGACATTGAAAAGACTGATAGCTGTGGCTGGCGCCCACTACATGGCGCATCACAATTTGGTCAAATGGCAATGGTCGAGAGACTGATTACTGCCGGAGCTAGCGTCTGCACTCCCACAATACAGTTCCACGAGGATTCCCCCATGGGTGAAGATCATGACGGGGAACTATGGAATGGCCATCCGCTTCATTTGGCCGTGATGGAGGGCAATGTCGACATAGTTGAACTTCTTTTGAAGAATGGTGCAGATGTGGGTGCAAACACAGGATGCTTCAAAAGCCTCGATGGAAGCATACGTGGACCGACTGCACTTCATATAGCATTAAATCCACAGGCCTGGTGTTTAGAAGACGAGGACGACCACTGGGGAGACCGCAGTGAAGTCTTTTTGAAGATCGCTAGAATGCTGATTGAAAAGGGGGCTTCTGTGGAAGGTGTCTTGGACCAATTGCAGGTGAACGATATTCCAAAGTTTGAAGGATTCGAAGATGTCTGGGATAAGATTCGAGGCTATACATAATACTAAGAAATTGCAACGTGAATCACCCATTTCAGTCATCCAATGCTTTCAACCGTCCAGGATTCAACCCCATCGATTCACAAACTTAATGACCTTTCCCGCGGTAGCACTCCGCTCGAATCCTCCAAGACCATCCAAAAACACGATTCGAAACAGATGTTCATTCTCAGGGAACAAAAGGAAGAAAGTCTCCAAGCGTTTGGTAAGATCGTCATTCGATACAATGCCATCCCGCGGTGGGGACCGAAGCAGCCGAATTTCCAGCGTCGCCTGTGGTGTACTCTCCAATCGGTCTAAAACGAGCTGCCACTGCAGAATACCGGAGTCTTCCGCCTGCATGAAGGCTTCAATCTTCTCAAACTCAAAATAAGAGGCATACCACTTGAAGCTGAAGCGATGATCACGGCCGCGCATGCGCAATACACGTAGATGGTCCTGGTCAGCCTCGGGAATCACAGCACAGGCCGCGTTCGGGAGTGGGTGGATGGAACCAATATCACCAGTGATATAGCGAACTAGCGGGTTACGAAGTCTTTGTAGAGATGTCTGCACGATGAGGCCTTGTTCTCCCTCTGGAAGTAGGATCGAATCAGGTGACGATATCCCATCGACGGCGGAGGGAGAAACAATCTCGACCAGCATGCTGCGCGTGTCGATGATGAAGTCCGTGCTGTTGCTAGTCAGGCTCTGCTCTCCTGTCAGGTCGGGACTACTGATTGCCCAGGGGCCTGCCTCGGCACTTCCCATGACGGAAACTATCATGACATCACCCAAAATAGTCTTGATGAACGCTCGTTGAGAGCCAGTCAAGGGCTCGGAGGTGTAGATGATCTTGTCAAGACTGATGCGATTACGGTCTTCCTCTGCCATGAGGGAGATATGATGAACGGTTTGGACGACCTGGCTGCCGTCGCCGGTTAGAATGTTGACATGGTAGTCGGCCAGAGATTTGACAACATCTGTGGGTGACATGTAGCTTCCGGCGCTAAGAACAGTGGCTCCTGCATTTTCCATTATTTCCGTCATGAGATCGAGTGACCTTGTGGTTTCTTAGTTAGGATATTTGCGCCATCTCCTGTCAAGGTCGGATGAAGTACCTGTAAAAGCCTCCTGCCAAATGAGTAGATAGGACCCAATCCCCGCGCTTGATAACACCGCATAGATTGAGGAACTTCCCCATTTGAAATCTCTGTTGACGGTTTTCGTGGACATCCACGGCAAACATCATGGGAACTCCGCCAGAGCCACCGCCGGTGATGCTCATATAGGAGCTTTCTCGATAGGTGTTCCGCGGGTCCACATCATGTGTAAGTCTTTCAATGGCCTTGTATCTGAAAATTAATTAGCCTAGCTACAAAAGGATCTGCCAAATTTGACTCACAGCGTTTTCTTCCCCAGCAGTGGCTGCTTTTGAAGTTCAGACTCCACGTTTTGATCAGTTACCACCTCCCGAAGTTTCTGGATCGTTTCTTCATCGGCGGGGTATGCAATGTCCGGGTTATAGAAAGGGTGTTTCCTAGCGACTGCCAGCACCTCTGCTAATGAGTAACTTCCGGTTGTCATTGCTGCAGGATCTGCTGCAAGGGACCTCGATTGAAGGTAAGATTTTGAATTGCAAAATGTTCTGAATGGTTGAATTTGAGGTAATATAACAGGATATAAGCAGTAAAAAAATGAAAAGCAATCAATGGAGACCGAGAATGAGATTGATGCGATGTAGCGTGGCAAATGTTGGGGTCTATTGTGGAGTAGCTGAACTTCGTACTATTACACGCATCTGGTTCAGCTGAAGTACGCGGGAATGACTAGCAGAGACTAAATATGCATGATATATATCACTCATTTTAGCCAAGAAGAACAGTACTATAGTAATTTAATTGCGCTAGATTCCAAGGGTATAGTTCGTGCTAGGACCATTCAAGTGTAATTATGAATACCCATCAATTAAAAGTTATAGAACCCCAAACTAATATACACAAGCAGACAATTTCTCAACGTGAAACATATCTAAGGGTGTGCCTCTGCCTCAGAACGGGGCGCTTTGTCGGTATCTTCTGGTCCCAAGAAACACATTGTAAGAGTAGCGAGGAAAAGGTATACGAGACCTATCACTGTTAGCAAAGCAAACCAATGAGATCAACAAACTTACTCCAGGTCCAGCTCATGTATCTATAGCCGAGCATTTCTTTCAGCGAGCCACCAATGATAGGGCCAATGATCATCCCGAGTGAAGCAGCAACGTCCATCATAGAGAATACGCGTGACATGCCTCCTTTGGGCCCAAAAATGCCTGGCGACCTTTCCTGCATTGCCTTAGTAGTAGCTGGAGTGTATCCTTTAGTACCATCATGCTTTCATATCCAGGAAGGCACGACTTACCCGTCAATTCGACAGGCGCGATACCAGACACAAATGGCCGTAATGTGCCTAGAGCAACAATACAGGTCGCGTAAAGTGGTTTGCCCATATTCTGAGCGCTCGCCCAGGGAACATCGCTACCGGCGAGGCCCATTACACCGAGAACTATCGCCTGAAGGGTGGCGCAGATCACGGTGGGAATTTGCGTTCCGATTCGATCACGGAGACAACCAGCAACGGGACCGATCAGAACACCCGGAACGACCAGGCCAGCAAAGAGAAGTCCAGCAGTGCTAGGGCCCCACCCAAACTTCTCTTCGACATAGAGAGGAAGCGTTGCATCGAGACTCGTGTTCAAGGTTGTGCCCATGATGATAGTCAGCAGACAAGTCATAGCACGACCATTGCATAGCATTATGCGCCAAAGATTACCGATTTCGGGTGGGACTTGGTCCTCCTCGTGAGAGGGGAGCAGACTAGCAGTTTCTGTTGGATTTCCATCGGGAGTAGAGGGAGGGCTGGCCGGATTCTCGATCATACACACGCGTGCAATAAAGTCTATGGTTAAAACCACGAGCGGGACCGACCACGTTAACCAGTAACCAGCAACCTCCAAAAGAAGCCCAGCAATTGCAGGTCCACCGATGGTTCCCGTGTTGGCGCAAGACATCATTATACTCAATGCAAAGCCTATATGGGTCGGACTAATAGTGTCTGCGACTGTTGCAAAGCCGATAATCCATACCGCAGACCCTGCGATGCCTTGCATCACGCGGCCTAGTAGTAGCATAGGGACTGAACGAGCACCAGCAACTGTACCTGTGCCGACAATGCACCATCCAAGAGATAGTAGTAGTGCGGTCTTCCGGTTTTGGTTCTTGTCGGCATAATGGCCGATGATAGGGGCCGAGAGCACGGCGAGAGTACCATGGAGGGCAAGAACGACAGAGGTCAGCTCCTGAGCTTTGGACGGGTGGACATGGAGGCGATTTTGGATCATTTCTCCCAGGATAGGAACTAGAAAGCCATAGAGGAAGGTTTCTACTCGGTATTAGGATGTTTCAATTCCATGTGAGGGTATACAGACCAGCAAACAACGCGATTGCGACGGTTGAGAGAATGAACCATTTTGAGGACCGCCAACTGTGGCCTATTGGTAAATGCTTCTCCATGTTCATGTTTGGTGAGAATATGAGTGGGACTTGGAGCAAAGTATCCGATGCCTTATGGGGAACCCATCTGATCCAAAATTGCAGATCTCCTGAAGCTGACCCTCATCTCAGCCCCAGAGATCGGCCCTTACATGAAAGAATAGTCGAGTATTTACGAATGGGGCTTGTATTTTTTTTTTTTTTTTTGTTTTTGAATTTTTCTTGCTTTTTGTTCACATCGCCATTAGGCTATTCTTCAGACTATTCAGCTTCCAGGTCCCCGAGTCCCCGAGTGGACTCAGCTACCTCTGTGCCTCTTGGTGGAATTGTCACAATTAGAATGTTTTTGGCCGACAAAGGATGTTGACATGTTCATAGAACAAAGGCGAAATTTCTTTGCATATTGCTCAATCTGCATGCCTGTCACACAGCAACAATTACATGCGCCTTTCATTACCTATATGATCGGTCATAAGAGCTAAATCTAGATCGTGCTTCGCCCTAAACCGCATATGTATTTGCCTCGGATTTTCTTTTCTAGATATATTTTAAGGTGTCGGTATATGTAGTTGAATCGCAGACTATCATCCGATATCCTCATTATAACTCTTTGCTATAGGTGGTTGCGCAAAATGAATCGACTTTTCCATGCTGTTCCTACAGCCAGAGTAACGGCTGCGCGATATTCTACCCATTCAATTCGTATGTTTGATCTGACGTTTGTCTCTTGTTGTCTCTAATACTGACTAGAATCAGGGGATCCAAAAATTTCTAGTCTCGTGCCCCTGATCAATATTGCAAAACCAATATTTGCCTCTGATGCCTCCCACTTGAGGGAGATCCATGAAAACCTTGAAGCCAAAGGCGTGGTCCAAGTGCAGTTGGGGTTTGGCGACGAGAATAGTACATATCTCCAGAGCTTGATATCCAATCTTCACAAAAACCACAACCACGGTCTCCCCATAACCCACAGCGCCGAGCGCGGTTGGTTTTGGGATGTTCGGCCCTCTCCCGCTAGCTTCCAAAGCCATGGACACCAAGCTCGATCAGAGACAATGTCTCAGTTTGAATGGCACACCGACTGCAGCTATGAGGAGCAACCCCCGCGATTCTTTGCTCTTCAGGTTCTTCAGCCAGATCGTTGTGGCGGTGGGACACTGTCCGTTCTGAATGTCGATCGACTCCTTACCTTGCTTTCGCCTTTTGCGCAACGATGGCTCTCTAGCCATAACTACAAAATTACCGTCCCTCCCGAATTTATCAAGACGGAGGGGAAACAGCACATCGTGGGCAATCTGCTCGCTGTGAGACCCGGAGGAAAGCCCGGCAGTCAATTGCGGTTTAGGGAAGACATCACGGTTCCCTTGACATCGAACGCTACGCAAGCATTGGACGAGCTGAAAAAAATCCTTTACGGTGGCGCTCGGGAAGAGACTCTCCATCTCACACCCCAGAGTCTCCCGCAAGGATCAATCATCATGATGGATAATCGACGGTGGCTTCATTCACGTAATGAAGTCAAAGATCCCAACCGGCATCTTCGGCGAGTCCGGTGGGATGCATCACCATTTGGGCCTAGTTCATGACCGTCATTGTACACCTAAAAAAAACAGTGACATGTAATTACCGAAATCAATACATCCCTCCTGCAGGCCCCACATGTAGATCTCTTGCCTAGTATTTCCTTGATGGATCGGGATACATATTCGCACAGTCCAATATGCAGGCAATAGAGACTATCTAGGAAATCTGACTTGTCCACCTCAGCTGAGGGTACCTGTCATTAGCTTTGCTTCCAGCAAGCGCAACATATATATCCCGCATAGTCTTAATTTTCTGTGACAAGTCTTCTACTCCATACAAAATGAGAGACAAAAGTTTAGACCATCTTCATCTGATCAGCTTCCCTGATGATGGGGGCTACTCCCGCGTGTCAGCAGAAGGACTGAATGTGAACCTCCTGGACCAAGACCGTCACAGTTATATCTCAAGACTGAGCAACTGCTCCTCTTCTTGGCCAGCCGGATCCTTGGATGCATCATGTCCTTGTCCCGTGCTGACCACCCAACGACACGATGATGAGTTGAGAAACTTGCACCTGGCTTTGAAATTGGCACTCGAGGATATCATTGAGCGATGGTGGACAGATGAAGAAGCCAACTTCCCTCTGCGCATGCCGTTAGAACAGGAGGAGGAAGATCTCTTGCGCGTGGGTCATCCTTTCTACTGTAGCATTATGGAATACTGAATCGTTGTTCTTGAAATAGTGGATGCACTCAAACCGAGACCTGTTCCCACTATGGAACCAGCGACAGGGATCTTGGAGACCAGACTTTTTGGTGGAGCAAGACGAAGCTGGCAGGGAAGTTTTTCGCGTCTGTGAGATCAATGCGAGATTCTGCTGGAATGGCTACATGCATGCTGGCTTTGGTCAAGAATCGCTGGCGGCATTCAATATTGAATCACGGGGTCTGACTCACGCCGTGGCGGCTGAAACGGTAAGCAGAGTGATAGAGATCTGAGGATCGGGTTGAGGCGGATTGCTAATGATTTTGAACTATCAAGATTCTCGGTGGATTGTTGGAACTATTCGATAGCAAACTTCCTCTGCATCTTGTCAAAGGTGAAGAGCACGGTGTTGATATCGCGATGTTTATCGAATTTGCACAGAAGAGCCTTGGTATCAAAGTACGACTCATCACTCCAGACACTCTCCGGCTTATCCCAGATTCTACTCAGTCTGGGAAAGGGGGATACAAGCTGTGCTGTCTCGCTGAAACAGATGCCGTTGATACAATTACAACCGAGTCGGGCGAGATCGTGGAAGAGATTCATCAGATTGGTCTCGAACTCCACCAGCGGGAGATCAATGGTCTTGATTTGGAAATGAAGCGTCAGATCAGCCTACGGTGCTTCAACGACATGCGAACCATCCTACTTGCTCATGACAAGAGAATGCTGGGACTTGTTCTTGAAGAATTGAACTCTTTGATTCACAGGCACATCATCACCCCTGAACAGGCCCAATGGCTTGAGGGGGGCTTGGCTCACACGGTTCTACCGGGCTCCACAGGGTTAAACCAATTTATTGAGAATTGCAAAGCCTCGGTTGTGTTCCAAAATGACTACCTACTTAAACCGATTAGGGGTGGAAAGGGAGCTGGTATCTTGTTTGGCGATGAAATCGGTCACTCCGACTGGCTAGCTCTGCTGGAACCGATCCGGTGTCCAAGACTAAGACAGGGAAAGACGCTCTACGTTGTGCAGCGCAAAGTCCGCCAACCATACTACGATGTGCTTTTGGGATCGAGAGCCAAGTCAGAGCGCTGCCACATGGTCGGGACCTATCACGCCGTTAATGGTCATTTCCTTGGACTGGGGATTTGGAGATGTAGTCCTGGGAGATTATGTGCTATCTCTAATGGGGCTACCTGGATGTGTTCTGTTAAGCAGTCCTAGTTTAAAGAATCGACTCTCTGGTCTTTTGTAAATCGCCACGATTTCAGCATCATCCAAGGTTGTAATTTACCCCTACTATGTACGTAACTCTGTAGTTGTGGCGTAACTTTGTTTGTAGGCTATATATGTTTGTTTTTCTATATATTTTCCAATGCATCGATTATTGTATACTTTCAGCTTAGATGCATCGTACCGCTTATGGCTCGCTCTACATGTTGACTATTGGCTCTCTTGTAATATTTTGAGAAATTCGATACGACAGGTTTTAGCGTACCCTATTCCATTTTGATGCGATCGAGTGGATCGAGATTTCTCACTACTCGTAATGTGACATAGTTCAACTAGTGTGTTATTAGTGCGAGGCCGTGCAATATGTTCAGCTTGTATGGAGCACCGGTTCACGCTAGTACAGGGGTAAACGAGGGATCGTGGCTTGAGCTGAAGAAATGGATTATCTGATGGCTAAATATGCAGCTAAGTGGGTCTGCAGGACCCCTATATGCATGTACGTAATATGTATCTACTCTGTATTGTTTTTCTAGCCGAGTTTCAGGGGTAGTCTCAACCGAGGTAATCCTGGGTATAACCTATAGAGATCTGTGATACGGAGTACATGTAACCAGATTCTCCGATGCTGTAGATTGGGATCTTGCAGATCGCATGTGGAGCATGTGGAGCATGTAAGATTACTTATTGCACGGAGTAGTTCGTCGACCGAAAGTTTAGCAAATTTTGTCTTGACGAATCAAAATTACCTCACGGGCTTGTGCTGGATTTATAGGTCCTTGGCCTTTTTGTTGAAATCTCAGGCCATAAGGCAACATGTCGGTGCCCAAGGCATGAATTGTGACGGCCGAGAACCAGAACGAGATATCGAAACCAAGCAGTGAAGAGCTCAGAGCCATTTACCGAGAGACTTGTCTCGTGTGGTGTTGATGTCATCCAACACTACCTAACTCTATACAGAGCATTAACAACCATCTTTTCTTTCCTCCGCTGACAACAATTCTCAATGGTTGTCTCACTACCTACCGTCGTCAAGTCATGAATTATTCATGCATGATAATGCAGTCATGCGGGTGTATGACTACAAGGTGAATGTAATACCAGATTCAGTGTGACTGTGATTTCAATCCTCTCCCTGGTTATCAAGCTCCATATCAATTCTTAACCGCTCCAAAATCGCTCTCGGATGTCGTACGTTCTTGGACGAGCCAATTCCAGACCACGGTGTGTACAGAGCCCCTCTCTCCCCTTTCCCCCGGCAGAAGATCAAGCGGGATCAATTACAGACATGGGAAAGACCCATTTGACAGCGCCGTGGCATGTAAGTCATTGCATGCCACCATACTGTCAAAAGAAAAGACGGCCCACGACCTGTAATTGTTCCCATCAGCCTCCACGTCATGGGGCTCTGCATATCATCGTGACAGGTGACTGATGTTCACTAAGACCAACAAACACCCAAAGCACTCATGACAACAGCACATGGTTGGATCTGCTGATTGCAGTCGACATACACTGCCCCGACAATGGCCTCCATGGTAGTGGCCATGACATTAGGTCCGACGAAAGGCTGCGAGTTTTTGACGATAAATTTGTCAATCCCGAGATCGAATCCCTGCTTGGAAAGATTGGCATTGCTAGCCTTCTTGCTGATCGTATCCGAAATTTGACCTATCAATCCCCACACTATAAGTCAGTGGAATCAAGCCAAGGCGAAATACTCACCTCTGATCTGTTTTCCATAGTAGCCATGGGTCACAAGGACTAAGCGGAGGATGGAGTCGCCGATCATGGCAAGAGTCTTGTTGCCATCCTGGTTGAAGCCGCTGCTGGCTTGCAGTGCCTCGCGGATCAGAAGACGGTTGGTGAAACGATAATGGATCTTCATCTCGAGGACCTGGAGGTCCTCGTCTGAGGGCTGGCATGGAATGATGAGACCGGCCATGACGTCTGGGTACACTGTATTCCACAATGCTCGATAAAGGATAAACGGAAGACAGGAAAAAGGAGAAGTGTCTGGATGAGGAAAAAGCAGGTACATGTTGACATGGGTAGCTGAGCAATGGAAATTTAGATGATTGACTGATCAGCCCAATAGCTTATCAGATAACTACAAGGTTCGTTTGCTCTTCCACGCTATACCTCTCTTCACCTTTTCCTCTCTATCTTCCTCTGCCTTTTGCATTATGGGCTCAATGATAGAAGAAAGCGGAACCCCGTTGAAACCGAGTTCAACGATGCCTTGCAATGCATGGTGAGGCTTTTGCCAGTTGGCCCTCAAGCATATGTCAGACTTGACAGCACCCGTGGACACACCTGGGCGGTCTCTTTCCTATCTTGGAAATTCATGTAATCGATGTCAATGCATTTTGGCGCAAATAAAACCACGTGCAGTTTTGATACGTGCATGAACTAGCACCTGTAGGAGGTCACCGCGATAAGCTATGAACTGTCATGACTAGCGAGGGTGTGTTCCAGGTGATTGGCTCATTGATGTTATAGCCGTTGGCTAGAAATAGGCTAAGAAACTGATAATCCGCCGAAAGAATGGCACTCTCGACGTGGTCATTCCGCACAGGAACACCATAGTAGGTAAGCGGCCACATTCATATGACCATTCTGTTGTGCCAGAGTCAGGGCATAGATCAGATCTTTTGGTAGAGGTTCGTCGGATTTTGATAGTTGTTCCACTTGATGCAAATTTCCAAATTCGCTGACTTCTTTCAGATGTTCAAACTCCAAAGGCGGCTGTGCGTTGTAATTAGGATCGAAGATAGGGGACGGGTTACCGACAATCCAACTTGAGGTATCCATGTCACGTACCTCCATTCAAATCATCAAACAAACGTCGGGTCGACTAGACAGTGAAAGAAAAGAAGGTGATATAAGCATCTATAGACCAGCGGTGAGTATAACCAAAATTAAGAGGTGTCTAACATTAACAAGGCGAGCATGTTGCTCACGAGTAATAGAAGGAAAATCCCCTTATCTTCCTGAACAGGTATGTATACATTCTACTCGATTGTGTTCACAGCTTAGCTACTGCCTTTTGGGTATTCTCGGTATTCATCAAAGCCGCCCGGGATTTCAAGTTCAATCGCTTCCACATAGCCTTCCGACGCTCATGTCCCTCAAAAAATGCCCTCGCCCACTCGCGACGGAACTTGGGCAGCTTGCGTCCCTTGCCCTCCTCTCCCTCACCGGCCAATTGTCTCAGCGTCTCAAAGTAGTCTTCAAAGTCCGGGAAGAGCAGTGTAAACTTCACGCCATCACCCCGAGCCTTGATCCGATCCGCTTCCCACTTTTGCATTACCTCAACAGACGGTAGAGTGGCTCGACCTGCCAGCAGCCGTGCAGCTAAAACCGACTGCCATTCGAAGACCTTGAACGTCAAACCAGCCGCGATAGCGCCGACGAACAATAATGTCGGGTCTTTTTGCCAAACAACATGCTGGTACAGGTCGGGGACACGGTTATTCCGGACTGGAACTGACGGTAGGAATGGCAACGTCCAGCTGTAGCCTGTGCCGAAGATTATGTGGTCGACGTCCGTGATGCAATTTCCGTTCGTCAAGTGGACAGTCCTATTCGAGACTCGTTCTATTGATGGATGCTTTTGTATCTTGGGGTGATTGAATGCTTCATCGCCAAAGTAGCCGTTAGCGGCATGGCCGATTGTGATTGCGTGGACTGGTCCTTTTGCCGTTTCCACAAGATCGAATGCGATGTCGGCTGCTGAGACAGATGCGCCCACAACCACCACTCGCTGGAATAACCACGTTAGCATGGTGGCCCTGAGAAAATGTAACTGTCCAACGTGAGGATCTAGCTTACCTTGTCAGCAAACGCCTCTCTCCCGCGGAAGTGTTTGCTATGAAGTACGCTGCCCGGTCTGGTTTTCTCAAACGCCTCCAGGCCTTCTATTGCTGGTATATATGGGACCCAGAAGTGCCCACTCGCCACAACGACCGCATCAAACCACTCCACCCACCAGTAATCACTCTTTTCGCCATCTTTTCGGAGTGTCACTTTCCATTCCGCCCCCACCTTCTCGACCCGCTCGACTGTTGTGTTATACGAAACCCAGTCCCCGTAACCCCGGCGCTCTACCAAACTCCTAATGTATTTTCGTACCACATCCCACTTTCGGAATGGGGTTTGAGGTCCATGGTGAGATATGGAGAGCTCGCTGCGCTCTTCTGGGAAAGGTTCCTGATTGAATTGCATAGGCAGAAAGTCGATATTGGTTTCCAGATAAGGGTAAACGGATGACTCCGTGAACCGAGGCTGGTCTGACTTTGGAGTCTGCGCAGGTAAACTTTCGGGTATAGGGACTGGGGGATCGGCTGTTCTTGTCGCCAGAGATGCAAAGTCGCGGAGCGTTGGAGGTTGGGATGAGTCGCCAATCCTGGTTTGATGTCAGTTACGGTCGGTCAAGCTTCTAATAAAAGAAACGCACCAGCAGCCTCCAGGGCCCTCGCGACGCTCAAATACACGGATAATGTCAAACGTCTTTTCTTGTGCCAGAGCATCTATCGCAATGGCTCCCGCCGGCCCGGCGCCGATGACGGCGACCCGTTTTACAGGCATCATGATGGGAAGAAAAAAATCAAGAAAGTACTATTGAATGGAACTACCCCGGACTTCAAATAAAGATATACAATGCATGAGATCCCGTTGCAAATGCCGGGGGGAATTTAGCCCCGATCTAGGGCTCGCTGCTGTCGTCGTTTATGGGCCTCGTCACGCCATTTGGCGTCGCGGGGCTACGACTGCGAGCCAACCACTGACGACGCCAGAATCTTCACGATCATCTTTATCTTCAAATCCCTGCAAATCCCGTTCGCATAGGGTGTCCATAAGTTGTTCTTGGATCGGATTTCGAAGTTCTGGGGCGCGTCATTTATCGGATTATCATAGCACGCCATAGTGTAGATAAATTATGCTAGGGCTAGAGTAAATCCTTCGCAAGAAGACTAAGTCGTAAATTCTAGTGCATACATGAGGATCTCGGAAGCCATTATTCAAAGAATACCTCTGTCGTTGCTATTAGGTCTCTACCAGTCTACCGGAAGGCAATGATATAGTATGGAGATCAAAACGAACGATGAGAAGTTAGATCTCAAGGATAGTCCCTCTGAGTCGAGTTTATCCTCACTCTCCATATTGCCAGAATGGGATCCCAGCCAGGAGCAAAAGGCTCGCAGAAAGTAACCAATGCCCCTCATCCCATAGAGTATTCAGGATTGAATGCTGACATTCGTTGCCCACAAGAATTGATATGACGGTGCTGCCTCTACTTTTCCTCGGTCTCCTTGTCTTCCAGCTCGACCGCATGAATATTGCGAGCGCCTTGACTGGTGGCTTCGCTACCGATATCAACATTTCACAGTCTACAGTCAACTTGGGCAACCAGCTCATGTTCATGGGCATCGTGGTCTTTGAGATACCATGTAACATGGCCTTGCAACGAGTATGTATAGAGTCACCTCTCGAAAAAGTCTGATCCTAATAGGAACTTCGACAGATTGGTTCTCGCAAGTGGATTTCCGCCCAGGTTTTTCTCTTCGGTTTACTTGCCACCATGCAAGTCTTCATTCGCAGTCGAGGCTCCTTCCTGGCTATAAGGCTACTTCTAGGCCTGGCGGAGGCAGGGTATATTCCTGGTGCGGTATATACCTTGTCGTCGTGGTATACGAAAAGAGAACTGGCCAAGAGGGTTGCCATTTTCTTCTTTGGGATGTTTGGTGGCAACGCTCTGAGCCCTATCTTGGCCTCGGGTATTCTGCTTCTTGATGGTCGACACGGTATTCGTGGATGGCAGTGGCTCTTTCTAAGTATGTATGATCTAATTACAAAACATCATTCGCTAATACATCAATAGTTGAGGGGCTCTTCACGATCTTCGTCTCATTCCTCCTATCACTATTCCTACCTGGATCACCTGATCTTACCAGACCCTTATTAAGCCCAGGGTTCATCAAGTTCTCCAATTCCGAAAAGGAGATTCTCCAAAAACGACTCGAAAAAGATAATGGCGGGAGTATCGAGGGCGCGTACGGCGTGCATATCCCGTTAAAAGTCGTCTTTCGTACTGTCCGTTGCTATCGTCGCTGGCCGCACTTTATTTCCACATTCGTCGTGTTCTCGACGTGGAGTCCTCTAACCACCTACACGCCATCCATTATCATGTAAGTCTCAAGTCTTCACTTCTGTTTATAGATAGACGAATCTAAACCTCATTTCTACAGGTCACTCGGCTTTGACAGGACATCAGCAAATGCGCTGGCCGCAGTTGGCGCATTCCTATCACTTGGAGTAGTATTTTTCTTCGCCTACATGAGCGATCGGACCAACCGCCGAGGTGCATCTGTGATCGCTGCTCAAGTCTGCTATCTCATTGCCCTGATAGTGACTCTCAAAGTCCAGCCCCATGTCGGGAAATGGTCACGTTGGGGACTTTGGACTGCTGTGAACGGTTTGGCTGTGGGATATCATCCCATCCATAACTTTTGGGTTCAGATCAACTGCCGAGACCCGAGGGAGCGGAGTATCAGCATCGCGTGAGTTTTTTTCTATTTTATGTTCACTTTGACTGGAGCTAATGGGAGAGTCTTGATTGCAGTATGTGGGTGATGTCTGCAATAAGTGGTTTAATGGTTGGCACACAGTATTTCCAAGCGGGCGACAAACCATTGTAAGTGATATCCTCCGAAATTCATTGCCGAGCAGTGTTTAATATCAGCGCAGTTATTCAACCGGCCTACGTACCATGATCATTATGGTATCTGTAGGGATTGCGAGTGCTTTAGCTCAGATTGTTATTTACGTCGTTCATAATAAGCGTGTTGCTCAAGGAAAGTATCAGCCGAGCGACGGATCAACGCCTATGGTATATGTCCCTTGAAGATAGCAAATCATGAAATCTATAAATGAGAAGTAAATTCGCCTAGGTTACCTCTGGTGCATATTTCTATTACCATCTACTATCGGGAGCATTACTGCCTGCTACTATTAAAGTTTCCGTAAGACGTGAATGATATTTGTTACATCGGGTCATATGTGCTAGGACGTTTTGAGTATATGAAAGTACTAGTCTAACACTTGTATGTTGGATGATTCTCTACAGATTCCCGATCTCACGCCTTAGGCTGGATGTCTTCACCTTGAATCATCTCTGGGTCAACATCAACGTCATGAGCCATCGACTGTTCTTGGGCTAAAGTCGAGTTAGCAAGGATTACAGACTACCATAGAAGAACTTACTATTCCAAAGCTCGGCATAAGTTCCGTTGCGCTCAAGCAACTCGCGATGTGAGCCCATCTCTGCGACCTGACCTTCCTTCAAGACCAGAATTTGGTCACTGTCGGCAATTGTGCGTAGTCGATGCGCAACAAAGACGCTTGTGCGGCTGTTCTCTTTGAGAATGCTGTTAATATTCTGGAGGAGGGCCTGCTCCGTGTAGGTGTCTAGGGCGGATGTCTAAAGAGAGCATGATTAGTTATCTCAAGCGACCATTCCACTGGCGATTGGAGAGGGGAATGAACACTTACTGCCTCATCGAAGAAAAATAGTTGTGGGTCCTTCAGGATCAACCGAGAAATTGCCAGCCGTTGCTTCTCGCCACCAGAGATCATCATACCACGCTCACCAACTGCAGTTTCGTAGCCATCAGGCAGACCTTCAATGAGCTTGTGGATGTGGGCTCGCTCCGCAGCTCGGCGCACTTCATCGTCCGATGCATCAATCCGTCCATAGCGGATATTGTGCGCGATTGTGTCATTGAACAGCGGTGTGTCTTGTGGCACCACTCCAATCGCCTTGCGGAGGCTGTCGACAGTCACGTCGCGGATATCCTGACCGTCAACCAAGATACGACCAGACTGGACGTCGTAGAAGCGGAAAAGCAGACGTAGGATTGTAGACTTTCCGCAGCCGCTAGGGCCGACAATGGCGAACTTCTGCCCGGCTGGAATAGTGAAGGTGGCATTCTTTAGAATCGGTCGGTCTGGGTGGTAGCCGAAAGTGACGTTCTCAAAATGAATTTTGCCGCCCTGGGTTAGCTGCAGCGGCTTGGCGTTGGGTCGTTCCTGGATGGTGACGTTCACCTTCTGAAGGTTGAAAAGCGTTTCCATGTCCAGCAGTGACTGGCGCAGCTCACGGTAAACAGATCCCAAGAAGTTGAGGGGTACCGAGAGCTGGAAGACCAACTGATTGACCATGACTAGGTCACCAACGGTCATGGATCCGTTCGCAACTCCATTGCAAGCCAGGTACATCATTGCGGCCAGCGCAGAGGAGAATATCATGTTTTGGCCAGAGTTAAGAAATGCAAGAGATGTAGTGACCTTAATTGATGCATCTTCATACTTCTTCAAGGCCTTGTCATATCGTGCCACTTCAAATTTTTCGTTATTGAAGTACTTGACGGCCTCATAGTTGATGAGCGAGTCCACGGCAACAGTTGCTCCGCGGTTATCAGCTGCATTGGCCTGTCTCCGGAACTTTGTTCGCCACGCGGTTGTAGTAATAGTGAATGCCGTATAAGCTACCATTGTTGCCGTTGTGATGGCGGCAAATTGGAGGCCATATTGATAAGTCTACAAGATGTTAGTGATGTAGGAACAAGAGTATTCGTCATCAAATCATACCAAGATACCGCAGACAAGCGAGATTTCAAGTGCTGTCGGGACCACATGGAAGACCATAGAGGTTAAGAGGAAGCTAATGCCCTTAGTACCGCGATCAATTGCGCGGGTCAGACCTCCGGTCTGCCGAGAGAGGTGAAAGTTGAGATCTAATCGCAACAGATGTTCAAAAACATTTGATGCCACCTTCCGGATTGCCTTCTGCGCAACGCTAGCAAAGACTGCGTTACGAAGCTCCTGGAACAATGTAGCTCCAATTCGGGTTACACCATCTAAAACATATTAGCATCAAGTCTCCTCTTCCCTATGTTGCTATCCTTACAGGCAATAATCATTGACCCAGCCACGGTGTAGGCAGTTCCGCCAATGGAAGCAAAATCTACATTCATGGAGTCGACAATATTCTTGAAATAGAAGGGGATTTCCACATTGAGGATCTATATTGGACTCATATTAGCGTAGTTCAAACGAAACACAATAACAGATGAAGCTTGCCTTTGCTCCAACAAGCAATGAAAGTGCTGTACCGACACGGAGCTTCGTGCCCCAATCATCCTACCAGCCATAGTCAATACACTATTACCCTATACCAATTGCACTTGGGAATTACCTTCGGCCACAGATACTTGGCCATTTCTTTCATGATAGCCCAGTCTGCCTTCCTTTGTTCTTTTTTCCCGGTCATGGGCTCGCTGAGTATGTCCTTCTTTGGTGGAGTCCTCACATTGGCGCTATCTTCCGGCTTCTGGACGATATTGGCGTGTGCTAGTTGTGATGGAGCGGAAGTAGAAGTAGATGTCGCTTTGACAGATGAATGATCTTTATTGTCTGTGGATTGACCCCATAATGAATTGTTATTTGATGTGAATGCGCGCAGGTGTGTCCCATTGAGCCGTGTGCTCCGTAGCTGGCCGGCGAAGCTCGGATATGCGAATTGCGCTGTGCGCCAGCACGGCGATCGTGCGGCCCTGAGCAGCATGGCCGCTTGATATGATATTCTCTGAGCTCCGGGGTAGGTCGAGTCACCAAAGGGACGTTCAAGGGCGCATAGTTGGAGCGAGTAAGAAAGATTGACGTGTAGTAGCTATGTCTCCGATACCTCGTGGGGGGTAATCGCCGGCTTCGGAGAAAAAACCGTTGCCTCTCGATGCGAAGTCCAGAATAGTCGCAAATAGTCAAGCAAACGTAGGATGCAGAATAAGAATGTAAAGAATTGAAGAGCTTATAACAAAACTCCTAAATGTCGCAATTCAGAGGGGCAGTTGTGTACTTCGTAGGCCGCATCGCTCTCGGGCCCACGATTTTCCCGGTTTCCCTTTCGTCACAACTGACGTAAATTCTCCCTTCGGTAGCCCTGGAGTCTTTGCTCTTTTTCATACACAATGCGCTCCGTTCAAGGTGTTCGGCCTCTGTCCTGGACTCGAGTTGTTCCTCGCGTCCATCGGCAAACGCGATACGTTCAGATTCGCGCCGCGCCTTCGGGAGTGTCTTCGGTCAATGGCGACAATCTGCCACTCGCTAGCACGCCCAGCTCTGTTGAGTCACGAGGTAAGTACAATTCTTTTGTGGGGTTGTCGCTGAGACACTAACATTGAGGTCACATAGATGCGCGATTCGATGTCGTCGGCGCTCCATACTCGCTTCTTTCGGTTTCGCTCTCGGCCTCGCAAAACCTATATACCCGACGCGGAACGTTGGTGGGACTAAGCGGCAAGGCGGATAATGTATGCGATCCCGCAATCATGTCTTCCTGGGGGAATTGGAATGCTAACGCATAGTCTGCGCAGGTGGTTTCCACTCTGAGCGTTCTAGAACCCTTCCGGAGGGCTATCGTCGGAGTGCCTTTCCTCTATCAGAAGGTAAGATACGCAATGCAGATGAGGATCTAACAGCGATTGACAATCTTCCAGGTCTCCTCACCAACCCCTGTCACAGCTCTTGTTTCCGTTCGATCGCCCAATACCTCCTTCGCCGTTGTCAACGTCAATGGTTCCGTGGACTGGATGGTTGCCCAAAGACGGGCGTTGCTTGCATGGACCGGCCGGTCTCTGAACATCAAGCCAACTATTAACGCAAACCTGGTGAGTCGAGCTGCGATCGCGTGCGAGGAACCACCAGACTAATTTGCGCAGAGCCTGTCTCATTGGGGTAGCTCCGAAGTGACTGGCAGAGGTTTAATAGCGCTGGTTGGAAACGGTCAGCTATACTCGATCGAATTGAAGGATGGCGAGCAGTACATTGCGCATCCCAGGTAAGACCCTCGGCCGCGATTGCACGTCTGACGTTGCTGATATTTATCGACAGCAATGTGGTCGCTTACACCATGGCATCCAACCCTCCTCGCCCCTACCGTTTCAAATCCACCACTCTCAACTTCCAGGTCCCTGGGCTGAACAAGCTGCCAAGACTTCTACAAAATACCAAGTTCGTTCGTGATGTGTCCGATTCCAAGGCATACAAAACCACTATGCAGTGGTTCCACAAGCTGCGTACCTGGTCTCGAATGACCATCTGGGGAGACAGAGTATGGCAGTCCCAGTTTTGGCTCTTAATAATCACCAACTAACAACATCGTCTAGCTCTTCCTGCAGTTTGATGGTCCCACGACCATTCTCGTGCAATCCCGCGGTCCCCGCCTCAACGATGTTTTGTCCACAAAGGAAGCCAATGAGATCGCCAGTGTCCCTAGCGGGTTCACCTCGCCCGCTCCTCGGCCCATTGAAGGCGAGAAGACACATGAGGAAAAGACAAAAGCCGAAAAGGTTGTCAGCAATATCCCTGGCTTGACACGCTCTGTCGAGGAACTAGAGCAGGAAATCCGTGGAACTAGCCAAAGCGTTGCGAAAATCCGCAAAGATGGAAAGGTCGAGATTGACGAGGTCGCTCGCACAAACTAAATAGAACGACTCGCTTCAAAAAGGTCGACTTGGAGGAGTTCTCTTCGCATTGGGTTATGTACGGGCTAGAGCGGTCTCCATTTGGGATTATCACGTTGCATCCTGTACAGTATGGGCATTTCTTTTTATCTTGGCTATTGCCGACAAATCTTTTCTTTGCTTCGGATCTACAGGTTCCACTTGCGTTGCGTGTCATCTTCGCCCTTCCAGTAGAAAGAGCAGACATCAAGACATCGCTCAAGTAATGCAGCGAAAATAGTTGGAAGAACCTACAGATGGGTCATTGGCAAAGCGCACGTCACGTCATGCCACACCGTGTTGGTACAACTTAACCATAGAGCGAGAAAAGGCCAGGATGTTCAAGACTCGGCAAAGGCCGGAAAATGAGCTAGACAGTCACCACCCCATATCCACGCCTGCTGCTCCGCAAATCTATTAGTTGTGTCCCAAAGTTCAGGGAAGAGCTGTCTCTCGAGGTCATCAGTCACTGCATCAGTTGCTGGGGAAATACGGCCAGAGATCGCTTTATCAAAGTCAGACAAAGCCTGTGATATTGTTGGATCTTCCATGAAATCAAAGTTGGCGAAGTCGTTGACTGACACGTCACTTAGGTTTTGGCTCTCTTCTCTTGGGGCAGATTCAAAGGCTGCTTGGCCATCGTTTCGTGCAAGCATCTGTTTCAGTTCCTTTTCCATCACCAACTTGGTCAACCGCTCAAGAATTGCCAGCCCCTGGGCAGCTAGCTGCGACTTTGGTGCCAGGGTCCGTTGCATACCCAACAATCGATGCAATCCCATCTTTGACTTGTGTGACTCTAGTGTCAATGGCTCAATGCTTGCCAGTATACAAAGGGTGACACCTGCAGTAAAGGTGTGGATGCCAATGAATGCGGCTGCATATGTATCTGCTGCCAACGAGAAGATCGATGCTGAGCCAATCTCCGATATTTTGAGAGCAGCATCTCGACATGGGCCTAGTGTTTGGTATAAAGACCCAGTGTGGTTTTTGGGTATTCGTTTGTATTCCAGAAGAGGGCGATGGACCAGAATCTTTGCATTTTCGTATGCGATCTCAAGGGCAAGGGCTTGGAGTTGGTAGATATAATTCTCGAATTTCGGCCCCGATGCTCCAATATCTCGGTCCATTTCATCTATGGAGGCATATCCGATCGATGTGGTCTCAGGATTATTGAGGTGAAGCTGTGGAGGAATCTCCTTTTTCCACTCATGTAACTGAGCATCAAAGTGAGACGCCATGTGGGCTAGATGATGCTGTGTAGAAACACAACCTGAAAACCTGCATGGCTGATCTTGCCTGTGCGGTGTATTGGAGTTTGCTCCATACATCTCATTCAATATGGTTTTGGTGAGGATCGACAGCTTGGACATCAAGTACTTGTATGAAAGAAGGCTGACTCGATCCTGACTTCTTGTGTTGACTGAAGCAGGTAATTCTCCAACAGGTAGAGGTTCCAGTAAGTGGACATCGCAATCAACATCCCTGATGGCCTGAGGGTATCCATAAGACATTGAGCAGAACGTCTCAATCTCATAAATAGCCCACCAACAACGCTTCCGCGTTTCGTATCGGTGACGCATCTCCAACGACATTGATGCAAGACCTGATGTGGTCATGTCTATCTTGCGATGCAGATTCAGAGCTTGTGCAATTCGTAGCCCACAGCCACAGATCGGCCAGGCTAGCCCGGGGTCCCCATGATAGAGATAGTATGTGCCAAGCAAAATGCACGTTTGCGCTGCTTCCAGGGAGCCCAATGAAATTATGTCCATCATTTTAGCCCGGACTGCGTTGAGAATACTGTCTTTCAGGGTTACTGCATCGACATTGTGCGCTGCCAGAAGTTCCCTTCGGTGAGGACCCACGTATTGTAACCCAATCACAATGGCCATCAACAGTGTGCTAGTGAAGTCAAGATTGAAATTAGTCCCGGTGGACCTTTCCGTGAGATTTTGGTACAGCTGTTGCCATCTCTTGCGGAAATCATCTTGATGGAAGATAAGCATGAACCAATGTGCTCGGTCGAAGTAAGTATCCACAAGCAAAGATGATACCTCGAATGAGGGTAAAATCGAGATGAGTTCAACCAAAGGAGATTGGGCGGCTAGAGGGTGTCGATTTTGCGAAGGTCTTGCACCCGACTGCGCTGGATTCGTCTGACCTCCGGGAAAAGCATCCGTCATTGAGGTATCGGGGGTGTTGGTATTGTGGATATGGAATGCCTAGATCAAGTCAGCCATAACTTTTTGAACCTGACAAGGTAGAAAGCTCACCCCCGTCACAAGAGACATGGTCGAGCTCGAATTCCATTGCTGCTCACGAGACGGTCCTGCAAGGTTTGTGTGGGTCGATTCTGGAACTTCGCGATTGACAGAGACAAGAGTATTGCGTTCTGGCTCTACTATCTCTGTCAAGGGGCTCAGAATTTCACTTTCGCTGTCTGGATACCGTCTCTTGAGAGGGGTGACGTTCCGACTTGACTGTATGGAGTGAACACGACTAGCATGGGCAAGAGCTGTTGACGAGTGATTGTTCTCAGTCTGCTCGTTCCCCGTTGACGGGTGATTTTGATGGGGTTGCAGCATAGCAGCCTCGCGCTTGTCACAATCATCGATGATTTTATCATACCATCCTAATTTATTTTATAAGCAAAGACATAATCATCGTCCACTCGAATGGTTCTTACTCATAGCATGAGCTCGGAGTTCGAGTGTTGCTCTTCCACCGCGGTTACCAACATCGTCCAATGCATCATAAATGGCCGGATGATACTTTTTGTAATGTTTGCGCAGGCTATTTCGAGAGGAGAATAGATCCTAGGGGTCGAATCAACGGTCTGATTCTCAAAAAGTCATGATATCTCCCAAATATCAGACTAACCCCTTGGTGAAATGGAATTCAGAAACATCACTCACATCGTTTAGGCAGCCGGCAGCTCGACAGAACCGCTCGCCAGTATACATATGGTATTTTCCATCTGCCTATACATCCAAAATCAGTCAAGAAATAGGTAGTTCTGGACTTATCGCACATCAGGTGTGAGATGATCTGTCTGTAGTTTGGCAGGATTGCTCGCTACGTAGCGCTGGTAGGAAGGATAATCCGCGAGTGCCCTCATATCATGGGATTCGATAATCAAAGCTCAGGCCACAAAATTAACCCTAGGGTTGTTCAATTGAGAGATGTATAGGAAGAAACAAGGATTGGGACTGGGACTAGTCGTGGATTGGTTAAGGTCAGGTGATACACAGTTTCTTTGCCCTTACATAATGGATGTTCCTCTGCCCTGTCCAGGGGTACCTTAACTATGTTGAGACACTGATAGAACGGAAAATACATAGGACTCATATCATCTATATTTTTTCAAAGTTGAGCAAAGCTATCACGTACCAGAGAGAATGAGTTCTCAGGATACTGCTTAGGTATCGTGGACTTGGAAGTCAGGAAGTTATTATCCGCTTCTGTTCCTGGCATGTAGATGTGTTTCTTTGGCTGCAATTCGGGTCATGTCGTTAGTCTCGGGGATTCAGAGAACTAGTTTTTAAGAGCAATAACATACACTCTCTTCGCACGATGTGTCTGCATCGGCTCTTTTATGCGAGAATCATAGTCCTTTTTTGGGGGGTTGTAGTCAGGATACTTCTTTGAACCAGTTCGTAACTAGCTAGAAATTAGTATTTTGCCACTCGAACAACAAGTAGAACTATAGAACTACAGCCTTATAAATAGCAACTCCCACTGCAACGAGACCTACTCCAACATCCCACAGTTTTAAATAATCTACATCAAGCTTTAACTTCCCAGTGATTATCACTATGGCCCAAATCAACACATTGGCTGTAAGCCTTCCCCAACTGGCCAAAATGATCGACCACTCCCTCCTCCACCCAACAATGACAGACGAAGACATCATCAACGGTCTCAAAATCTCCAAGCAATACAATGTCGCCACAGCATGTGTCAAGCCCTACCATATTCCATTGGCCAAGCAAGAGCTCCAAGGCACAGATGTCGACATCTGCGCTGTCATCGGCTTCCCGCACGGAAACAGCACCACGGAAATCAAGGTGCAGGAAGCCATTGCCGCAGCCCAAGCCGGTGGCCGTGAGATTGACATGGTTGTCAACATCGGCAAAGTCCTAGGTGGTGATTGGGGATACGTCTCGCAGGAAATCGAACAGATCAACACTGCAGTCGTGCAACAGGGTGCTATTCTCAAAGTCATTTTCGAAAACGATTACCTCCAGCCTGAGCATATCGTGCATCTCTGTAAGATCTGTACCAAGTTGGGGGTTGCTTTTGTGAAGACTTCGACTGGATACGGCTTCGTCAAGCAAGCTGATGGATCTTACAACTACAAGGGGGCAACTGTGAACCATCTCAAGCTGATGCGCCAGTATTCTGGTCCTGGTGTTCAAATCAAAGCTGCAGGCGGTGTGAGGTCCCTTGATGATTTGCTTCATGTCATGAGTCTTGGTGTGACTCGAATTGGGGCTACTGCTACTGTTGCCATCATCGAGGATGCAAAGAAACGGGGAATTGGTATGGATCAAATTCAAGTCGAGTTCAAGCCAATGGTGGCAGATGGTGAAACCGGTGGGTATTGAGCCTTCTGTTTAGTCACTTGCCTGAGAGATGTAAGAGTGGACTATGAGAGTCAAGGACTACATACATCTATTCTATGTCTTGTTTTTTGTCTTCTTCTGTCTTGTCCTATACAAGGAACGGGAATCCGACCATCTCAATCTTTATTTGTGGACTTTTAGAGAAATATATAACTTGCTACGGAGGTATAAATAAACAGACTGTAAAAATAAAAATTCAGATTCAACCACTTCTGGACGAAGGCATGCTTGTACTTGCTTCGAGTATACGAGGTCACAACCCGCAATTTACCCCAAATATATTCTTGTTTGCGTCCTCTTAACTTCAAAGCTTCGCCAAAATAAAATCACTGGAAAAACCCCCATTTCAGGTTCAGAATCTTGCTAGAAAGAAACACACCAAAAGAGAAAAAACTTGAACAAGGTCATGCCCAGGACAAATCTACAGCCGGGTAAAATCAAAGAATGAATTGTTTCAGCTGCATCTAACCATAATGTTTCATATGCTTCCGGAGTATCTTAATGTAGTCCAGACTGAACTCCAGGACATCTGATAAACACGGAATTGACTCATTTTATTCCCAAATGAGCAATATCCCGGGAATTCGGCATCGGGCATCGGACTATTGCATATATGTCCGACTGCAGTTGGCCCTAGTAGCTTTTCAGTAGTCTTGGCCCGTTAGCGTCCGATTCAGATCTGGGGTCCCCCTTGGGCTAGTGGCGCCAATTGCGCTATGAAGAGAGCGACTCGGTAGTCCGTGGGCATCTCGGGCTTAGCTAGAACGCGAGGACCGAGGCGTGACCGCTCCGTTTTTTTTTTTCTTATTTATCATCTTTTTCCAAACGTGACTCAATTTCTTTGAGCAAAGGCCCTATTTCCAAAACGCACTCGAAGCTCTGGGTATTTTAATCTACGGAGAGCTTTGGGACCAAACGGCTCTACGACGTTGAGGTGAGTTTTGAATCAAACTGGTTTAACACACACAATCTTATTTCTTCATTTCATACTTCCCGTTGAGAACCATGATGATTGAATATGACGATAAATTCTAATATTTCGACGGGTTAGAGATCCAAGTCTATATAATTCGAATCGTCCTCAAAGATGGCAAATAATCAGACTGAGATTGCTTCCTCTACCGACAGTGCCAATATACAATTTTCCAACAGTTCAACTCCTACCGTGAGTATGCATGGAAACAATGACCCAGAAAAAGCTCTCGAGCCATCGGGAAAAGATGAAGTACAACCTACCGAGAAGTCAATTGCTGCTGGCCCAGCACCCGCAACACCGGTGATCGGTCCACCACCTGATGGAGGTGGGCAGGCATGGCTGGCCGTACTAGGAGCTTTTTGTGGTCTATTCGTCAGCTTCGGCTGGATCAATTGTACGACCTGTCGTAATACATGAGCCCAACAAGATACTAACATCATACAGGCATCGGCGTCTTCCAAGCATACTACGAACGTCACCAACTGAGCGAGTTCTCTACCAGTACAGTAACATGGATCACGTCGCTAGAAACCTTCACGATGTTCTTTTGCGTGCGTATCCCATTTCCCCAGAATTGGTGTACCAGATCCCTAAGACCCATCCTAACATCCTCCTTAGGGCCCATTCTTCGGAACTATGTTCGATAGCTACGGCCCTCGCTGGATCCTCCTTCTCGGCACAATCCTCCACGTCTTCGGCTTAATGATGGCTTCCCTCTCAACAGAGTACTACCAATTTATCCTCGCGCAAGGAATCTGTAGCCCAATCGGCGCAAGCGCAATCTTCAACGCCTCCGTCAACTCCGTCAGCACCTGGTTCGCCAAGCGTCGAGCTTTCGCCCTCGGCGTAACAGCCTCTGGATCCAGTCTGGGTGGAGTTATCTTCCCGATCATGGTCACCCAACTGATTCCCAAAGTCGGGTTTCCCTGGGCGATGAGAATCTGCGCCTTCCTCATTTTGTTTATGTTGGGTATCACCAATCTCACCCTGAAGTCGAGATTACCGCATCGCCCAAAGCCATTTGATTTCCTGAGCTTCTTGAGACCGCTGGCTGAGCTCAAGTTCGGACTTACGCTTGCTGGTGCCTTTCTTTTCTTCTGGGGCATGTTTTTGCCATTCACTTTTGTTATCACCCAGGCTGAGAGATATGGCATGTCTTCCAATCTGGCAGGGTATCTGATTCCGATTTTGAATGCCGCTAGGTAAGATTTCCCTTTCTAGTACATACATCTCGCCTCATTGATGAGCTAACAAAATCCAAATAGTATTTTCGGTCGCACGCTTCCGGGCTATCTCGCCGACAAAGTCGGTCGCTATAACATGATGGTCATTACAACGTTCTTCTCGGCTATCCTTGTCCTAGCCCTCTGGCTACCATCAAGGGGAAATGCCCCAGCAATTGTGTTCAGTGCCTTGTACGGCTTCGGCTCTGGCGCGTTTGTTTCACTTGCACCCGCTCTTATAGCGCAGATCTCCGATCTTCGCCAGGTGGGCGTGCGGAACGGCACTTTCTTTGCTGTCATCTCGTTTGCGGCCTTGACTGGTACTCCTATTGGTGGTGCTTTGGTCCCAGATGTTCTGCATAGCGATTATACCCGGCTACAGATATTTGCTGGTGTTGTTATGATTGCTGGATCTGTTTTGTTTGTCTTTGCCCGGGGGGCTGTTGGTGGGTATAAACTTAACAAGGTATAGACGGCCTTGTCAGTCTGTTTCAGTCTTTTTAGATGTCTTCTCGGGCTTTTTTTACATATAATTTTTAGACATTCTCACCTCTTATTGGTGTTGCAAATATATGATTAGACTTAATCGAAATTCTTGGTCTTCCTCTTCCTTTTCTATAACCCAGCTTGATCAAGCTAAAATTTTAATGAAATTCAGGGGAATTTTAAACGCAACCAAAGTAATGACATTTCCAGCATCTAATAATGGGCTCAAAGTACCATACCAATCAGAAGAATATGCTGCCTTAGGCTCCCACATAGTGTTGGTGTCAAACACAGTAGATTACCACTAGGCCACAACAAAAACCAAGGGTCCTGTTTATAGCCTTAGGGGGGCTTATACTGCGCTAGCACATAGAAAAGACCCTCATTTCCAGGAAATTACATACTGTCCTTAATCCTCACAGCAAAGCCCCTACTTTGACATGGCTTCATCAATATTCCCAGTATTGAATGATATATTCCAGGCTTTGAGGGGGCGAACACCACCTTCCTCACAGACCAACACGTCCCTGGTGCCGACCTGACAGGCAAATGGATCATCATAACCGGATCCAACAACGGCGTTGGCTTTGAAGCAGCAAAATCTTTCGCATCATGGGGCGCAAATCTCATCCTCGCCTGCCGCGAGCCACCTTTATGGGAACAGCATCCAGCAGCAGCCGTGAACGAATGCAAAGAGCTTGCCACGGCGCGCGGCCATTCGTCCTCCATTGAATGGTGGCCAATCGACATGGCAGACTTCAGCAGTGTTGAGGCTTTCTGTCAAAAATGGCTGGAATGCGACCGCGCTTTGGATATCCTATGCAACAATGCCGGGATTGCAGGGCCTACCCAGCAAACCCGCATAACGAAGGATGGATTCCAGATCGTTCATCAGGTCCGTTTCTCTTGGCGTCTCTGGGCCTACATCCCATACAAACAGACATTGATGAAACCTCCCAGGTCAACTTCTTATCGCACGTACTACTAACCCTTCGACTCCTACCATCTCTAGCTCGCAGTGCAGAGCCTCGAGTTATCTGCACGACCTCATGCTTCCACCACATAGGACAGTTTGATCTCGAGCATCTCAATAATGAACCGGGCAGCAAAGGCAACGATTATCGAGACAATAAGCTCTACCTCCAAATGTGGGTTGCAGAGATGCAATCTCGGCTCCTCAAGCACCCCGAGTACCTCCACATCACAATCAACGGCGTCCACCCCGGCTTTGTGGCATCGGGTATATGGAACGGTCTTGAGAATGCGGGGAAAGCCCCCGGTGGACTGAATTTCTTTTTTGCGCTATGTCGCCATCTCGTCGCAACAGGGTGGATTGGCTATTTCTCATGCGGCTACTAGTTCGGAGTTTGGACCAGATCCTCAGAAACAGGGTGTTGGTGCGGAGAATGGGCGCGGTGGAGGGAAATATATCAATCGGGTATGGGAAGCACCTATGAAATCTTATTGTAATGATCCAGAGGCTAGATCGAGATTGTGGATCAAACTGGATGAACAGCTCGGGTTACAAGAGAAGGGCCTTCTGGCGGTTCTGGGTCTTTGATACATAGATTCCGTGATAACAGGCAATCCAAAGCGTTATTTCGAAGAAACACCAGAGGTGGATGTTACAGAAGATGCTGTATTGTAAAAAAAGGGCCATCTAAGTGACCAGGCCTTCTAATCAGCGACCTAAGGAACCCTAAGATAAATTTGAGAAAAGAACTTGGATCAATGGCTATTATGGAAGATTTACAACAAAAGGGCACAGTAAGGAAAGTTCCCAAAGTACTTGTGGATTCAAAAGATAGACCAGAATACCCGGCAAAAGTATAGACACGAAAACGCCGTAGCACCGTCGCTGAAGGGTAATGCATGAAAAGAGAAGAGAAAGAACGATTATGCTCCGTTATATGCCGCCCAAAAATGCAAACATCAAGCAATTACTCCTTGTCTCATATTCTGGACTGTTTTGACCCCAACACCTTTCAGCTGGCTCAGTTGTGCCAGGCTGTTGACCTGAAATTGGGACTGGTCTGGGGCGGTTTCACTGTCGTTCATGTCAAATGATGCTTGGTCCATCTCGCAGAGGCAGTCAACAAGAGCCTCTGCCTTCTTAGCCCCCACACCCTTGAGTAATTTGATTTGGCTCACGTCCCGCGAGTTGATAATAGAAAGAATATGCATAGTTCGGGGAGAAAGGGATGGGTCCTCATCATCAAGGAGCTCGGGTGCTTCCTCGATCTGACCGAGCTTGGCTGCGGCACGCTTCTTATATTTTGGGCGAGGAACATCCTCGTCGCTTGAAAAGCCGGTATGAGTGTGGTTCATGTAGTCATCCTCGTGGCTCTCTACTTGGCGTTTGCCGAGGCTTTGTGTTACATCCTTCTTGAATGAAAGCATGCTACCTCTTCCCTTTGGAGGGGAATGGGCTTTCTCTTCCCAAGCCTTTGCATGAACGCGCTCCTTCAGGGCAGCGATCTTACCTGCCAGCTTCTCATTATGAGGAAAATGAGGTGCTGCCAGTTGGTACATTCTCAGGGCTGAGCTGTCTTCACCACGTGCCTGATATTGTTTAGCCATCAGCAGGTATGACAGACCCTCAGCCCGCGCATCTTCTGTACCATCAATGCGCTGCTCCAACTGTTCTAACCGCTTTCGAAGCTGCTCATTAAGCTCGTGGACTTGGGTCTGCCTCGATTTTTCGCTCACAGCCCGCACAGCTAAGATCTCTTCGACCTTCCTCTCAACCATCTCCTCGATCCTAGCAGCCGAGATGTCGTCATGGCGCGCGGTGGGTTGCGGGCCGAGGGTCTGACGAGTGGACTTCAGGGAGGGAAGTCCGGATGATGCGTTGGAGATAGAGGTGCGTTTCGGTGCTTCCGGTTTCCGGATCTGGCTAATAGGCTTGGCCTGCGGCTTGTCCGAATATACGCTGAATGCCTTCACGGGTTTACCGTCTTCCTTATCCGTAGAGTCCTTAGCAGCGGGCGCTGGCATGTTGACGTTCACAGAAGCTGTCAGTGCACGCAAAGGTTGCCGCGTTCCCATAGATGGGCGGATCGATGGCCGGGCCGGACCCTTGAACATGGGATCGTTTTCGACTTCCCGCACCTCAATCTTCCGTGTGCGATTAGCGACATTTAGAGAACTAATTGTGTCAAGGTGGTATGACCGGACAGGCGCCAGGTTAAGAATCATCACTGTCAAGCCATTGTTCTGTCCCAGGGACAAAATTCTTGTCATCTTGGACTCCCGATATGGGATGCGATGTTGCTTCTTGTTGATAGCCTCAACGCACTGCGCCAGAACGAAAAGACTTTTGTTGATGCTAGCCGACTCTACCATGCGCTCCTTGTCATTTTCCGTTCGTCTATTGTCTTCGGATCCTGCGAGATCAATAGCGGAAGCGGTGCTGACGCGAACCTTGTCAGGCGAGGTGATGGTGACTTTCACACCTAGAACGGCGTGAGACCGAGACGAATGGGCGTTGAGCTATATTTGGATGTTAGACAAGATAATATAGACCCTGACATTTGTTGTTATATCATACCTTTGTTGCGGATGTGGATCGATTAGTATTGGCCTGGTCATATAGCTGCTCAAACTCCTTCAAAGTGGTACATGGCTTCTCGCTCAGGCCACAAACCACGGTTTTGCCGCCATTATCCCGGAGGGGAAGACCCGACATTGTGCGCTTCTCGAGCGGCTCGAACAAGTCGTACACCTTGTCGTTGTAGATTTCATAATAACTTAGGGCAACCTGCACTGTCTTTTCTCCATTGCTATCCTTTTCAATCTTCCGACTGCGTCTGTAGATGCCACTGAGTAGGCGGGGAATTACACCTCGGTCCGCCAGGGTTTTCCCACCACGCATTGTGTGTGTTTTGCCTGTTCCGGTGACACCGTATGCGAAGAGGGTCACGTCGAATCCGTTGAGAAGATGCTTGATTGTTGGCGACACTGTTACACCGATCAGTATACTGGCCCCACAGCAGGCCTGGTGCGCTTGAAACGGCAACTCACCTTCAGCATCAAATAGCTCCTGTTGCGACACCTCCGCGTCGTACACGCCATTGAACTGGAATGCATACTCCTCCCCCTCATTTTTGGGGTTTGGAATCCGGACCACATTATCCCTGTCTCTCAATGCCGCCAATTTCTTGTCGCTCTTGTCACTCTTGTCGCCAACTATTGAATGGCGTGATTTGGAGTCAGCGGTAGCGGAGAATCCTGTACGAAGGATCACGTCGGCTTCCCGTTCGGTTTTGAGAAGGGGACGGATACGCGCGACAACTCGGACACTCATTGTGGCGGGATGTTCATTCAATTATCGTGTGATGGTATGGGTCCTGGACGTCAGGGATGCGATCCAATCCAAACAAAGTCGAAGAAATGACAGAACCAAATGTAAAGCCAATGAAAAAAAACGAAGAACAATAAAGTCCTCCCCAAAGAACCAAAGAAACGAAACTAACTACTCGGTGTATGCAGAACTGAAGGTTGTGGAACGTGTGGAGGAGTTCTCTTGTGCAGCAGCCGATGTGGTTGTTGTTGGCAGGGCAACCGCCTTTTTGCTCTACAACATACAACATATGTTATACAATACATTCTTCAAGGTTGAGCATCACAATGGGATAAATATATAATTGCCATAATACACTAGAACAAAATGATCAGATTGGCAATGCCATATTTTCACTATCACAATTGACAACACGGTATGATCTATGGATGTGCACCGCACTTAGACTACGGGGATAGCATTCATGTATTACCGGTCCAGATATTTGTAGATATAAATCAACCAGCTTGAAGGGAACAGTTATATATCAATTGAATATGAACGATCTTGAGCTCAATATCAGTCGTACATAAAAACACCCTCGTCACATGTTCCCTGGTCTCTGATTGGCTGGGGCACCTCGACCTAAAGGCCACCGTAGACCATCATCACCGCCTCTCTCACACTCCCTTGGTTTCTTCTGGTGAGCTGTATTTTGCTTCATCTCTGGCTTTGGTAATATTTCTGGGGGGTTTTTTGAAGGTATAGCCTGCCCTGTATATAACCAGGTCCACCCTGTTTTATTGACGAGAAACTGATTGTGGGGTTCCAGGAGCTGTTACCACCCGCCTCCTCATCGATTCCACCCGCCGACTTCGTGACAAGCGCAACCCTCCTTTCCTCCCAACCCTAAAGTACGATCAAACACAGCCTACTCGACTCTAATGGCAGCACCACAAGGGGGATTCCCTCCCCAAGAAGGGTATGGCCAGCCCACCTATGGCTCCCCGGAACCCACACAGTCCCCGGTCCATGGGCAAGGCGTGCCCGCACCAGCTGCCGCTGGAAAGAAGAAAAGAGCCTACGCTGGTGAGGCATTCGATTTCGGTTCTGGTGCCAATGCTGCGCTCGGTGGACAACCCACAGCTGGGGGGTGCTTACGGGGCCTACCCCCAGCAGCCCCAAGCTGCAGGATATCAACAACCCGCCTACGGTGCGGACCCCAGCCAGATGCAACCGGTGGCACCATCATATGGCGCGCCTGCTGCCGCCGATGTCACACAGATGACACAGCAATTCGGTGGAATGGGCATGAGCGAGCCTCATCACATGCCGCCCGCGCAGCCTGTGGCCCAACCCCCTATGCGACCTCAAGTCCAGCTTAACCAACTTTACCCCACGGACCTTCGATCCCAACCTTTCAACGTCGCTGAGCTGGACTATCCCCCTCCTCCAATTATTTTGCCTCCGGGAGTACGTATAGTTGCCATATTGCGCAGCTGGTCAACATGCTAACAAATGACAGACCAGTGTTTACCCATCTCCCGAAGCCAATTGCCCCACGAAATATATGCGATCCACGCTCAACGCTGTCCCCACAACAAACTCACTTCTAAAGAAGTCAAAGTTGCCCTTCGCCCTTGTCATCCAACCGTATGCTTCTCTTCACGACGCCGAGGACCCTATTCCTGTGATTCCAGACCAAGTCATCTCACGATGCCGACGTTGCCGCTCCTATATCAACCCCTTTGTCACCTTCCTCGACCATGGCCACCGCTGGCGTTGTAACATGTGCAACCTGACGAACGATGTGCCACAAGCCTTTGATTGGGATTCTACACTGCAAAAGCCCGCTGATCGTGCGCTGCGTCCCGATCTCAACCACAGCATGGTCGAATTCGTTGCGCCGCAGGAATACATGGTCCGACCACCTCAACCTCTCGTCTACCTCTTCTTGATCGATGTGAGCTATGCATCGGTGACCAACGGTCTTTTGGCTACCACCGCTCGCACCATCCAGGAAAGCCTTGATCGCATCCCGAACGCAGACCGCCGTACTCGCCTCGGCTTTATTGCAGTGGACTCAAGCCTGCACTACTTCAGTATTCCCCGGGACGAGTCAGAGTCCTCGGAGCCCCGGATGTTGGTTGTTTCTGATCTGGACGAGCCATTCCTTCCCATCCCTGGTGACCTCCTGGTGACGCTGAGCGAATGCCGGGAGAACATTGAGGTGTTCCTCAAAAAGCTGCAGGAAATGTTCCAGAACACTCAAAACAACAGCTGTGCCATGGGTGCAGCATTGCGAGCTGGTTACAAGTTGATCTCCCCCGTCGGTGGAAAGATGACCGTTCTGAGCTCATCTTTGCCCAACCTTGGTCACGGAGCACTCACTATGAGAGAAGACAAAAAGGTGCTGGGCACTAGCAAGGAATCCAGTCTTCTTCAAACCGGAAACTCCTTCTACAAGAGCTTTGCAGTCGAATGTTCAAAGGCTCAAGTATCTGTGGATATGTTCCTCTTCTCGTCGCAATACCAAGATGTGGCATCTTTGAGTTGCTTGCCCCGCTACACTGGTGGTCAGACCTACTTCTACCCTGGTTGGAACGCTGCACGGACTGAAGATGCCATGAAGTTCGCCCGTGAGTTTTCTGACTACCTCTCTTCGGAGATTGGTTTGGAGGCCGTTCTCCGCGTGCGCGCAACCACCGGCCTGCGTATGAACACCTTCTACGGCAACTTCTTCAACCGTAGTTCAGATCTCTGCGCTTTCCCGGCCTTCCCTCGTGACCAGGCCTACGTGGTCGAGGTGGCCATTGATGAGACGGTTACAAAGCCGGTCGTCTGCATGCAGGCGGCTGTCCTTCACACTACCTGCAACGGTGAACGTCGTATCCGTGTCTTGACCTTGGCGCTTCCAACGACTCAGAACCTAGCAGACATCTACGCCTCAGCTGACCAGCAGGCCATTGCCACTTTCTTCAGCCACAAGGCCGTTGAGCGCACATTGAGCAGCGGGCTCGAGCCCGCTCGTGAGGCTCTTCAGGCTAAGATCGTCGAGCTCCTGCAGACCTACCGCAAGGAACTTGCGGGTGGTAGCGTTAGCGGTGGTGGCCTCCAGTTCCCTGCCAACTTGAGAGCCTTGCCTGTCCTATTCCTCGCATTGATCAAGAACGTGAGTTTACTCTATTTTTTGTTGTGAAAGTGGTTCTGTACTAATCGATTTCTCTAGCTTGGTCTTCGCAAATCCGCCCAGATCCCCACAGACATGCGGTCCGCAGCTCTCTGCCTTCTGTCAACTCTGCCCCTGCCGCTCCTCATCCAATATATCTACCCGAGAATGTACTCACTCCACGACATGCCCGACAATGCGGGTGTGCCTGATGAACAGACCGGCGAAATCCTCCTCCCCCCTCCTGTCAACTTGTCTTCCGCTCGCCTTGTGCCCTATGGTCTGTACCTCATTGATGATGGCCAGACCCAGTTCCTCTGGGTTGGTCGCGATGCTGTTTCACAGCTTATCGAGGATGTCTTCGGCGTCCCTGACAAGTCCCAGTTGCGCGTGGGCAAGCAAACCCTTCCCGATGTCGAGAACGAGTTCAACCAGCGTGTACGGGCCGTTGTTGAGAAGAGTCGGGACCACCGGGCCAAGGGTGTGGGCAGCATGACCGTGCCTCACCTATACGTTGTTCGCGAGGATGGTGAGCCAGGCCTGCGTCTCTGGGCTCAGACAATGCTGGTTGAGGATCGTGCCGACCAAAGCGTCAGCTTGGATCAGTGGATGGGTTCCTTGCAGGAGAAGGTTTGAGCCCTCTGCTCTGGCCATTGTATCGGTCAGCACTGACGATTTGCTCTCAGGTCGTGCAGTAATGAGAAGCTGACCGGTTGGTTTCGGTGAACCTCGAAATTCATGTGTTCGCGAGTCCTCCCGCCTGTACCATTACATTAGGGAAGATTGCGTTTGGTTTTGTATCACGGCGGGCATGTTTTGGATTATCTAGTACTAGTAGATCGCTGGGTTATAGTTGACAAAGCGATAGACGGTCATCGCATCTATGAAGAATTAACGGTATCATTTTTCCATTCCATTCTGGTTTCATATTTTTTTAGTCCCATTACCCAGTGAAGGGCACGGCCTAAGATGATTTTAGCACCTTTGCGGGAAGTTGACTTCAATCAAAGCCAACGCCCCAGGCTATCTCTAGTGCGTAAAAACTGCCAATTAGATGGGTGGAGGATATCTGTTCGATCCCCAATTCCGGTCTAGTGGTAGGTCCTAGCAAGTAGTCATCTCTAGTACGGAATAGTTAAGTAGTCTTGTACTAATGCACCGGACCAACAAGAATAGGCTACCTATGTATATCCCTGCACTCTCTTCCTTTTCTTATATACGGTGGCCCCCGTCGGTCATTTGACATTTAACTTCCTATTCTACATCTTCCCTGAAATATCTCTTCCCCATGTTACCCTCAACAGATGATATAGCGAAGTTCATATCCATCGCTTCAGAGGCCAACGAAGGGACAGCCCTTAGATTTTTGGAGGTAAGACATTTTTTCATCCCTTCCCATATATACTAATACCTATCCTATATCTTAGGGAGCGGAAAGCGTCGACGATGCTATCAGCCGGTATTATGAAGCCCAGAATGAGCCCAATCCAACGGCCCTTACTATGGATGCGACGGATGCCGGGGCTGATACGCGCCCCCCACCGTATGCACGTTCAGCAATCAGCGGATCTACATATCATCACACCAATATTTTCATTGGAGCTGCCAGCATTCGCTCTAAAGATGAAGTACGATGTAGAATCCTTCCGTCTTGAAAAGTACTGACGTGTGTGTACTATGATAGCAAGATATGAAGGCTGCCCTACACAGCATTCAGCAGGAATGTCTCATCTTCAATAGCGATATTGAGCCAGAGCATACTACGCAATTTTATAATTGTGATTGTGATGTCCACAAATACAAAGATAGAAAGGCAGCCCGGCTTCCTGTCCAAGAATTGTGGTCAAAAGCAGTCATATATCCAGGTCAGCTCTGCCAACTTGACGATATCACTCATGTTGCGGCCACGGTCTAACCTTCTCTTTCTCGTCTGAGCAGGTGAATCAGCCTATCATGACAGCCATTCATCGGCTCTGATTATGAAGAATCCATATAGTCGTGTGCCCTCGCCATTTCCGCCTACAACTCCCGGGACTTTTAATAGGGCGAAGCCTACTGCGTCTGGCTACAACCAGTATCTTCAGAAGACCATACAATTGAACATATCCCTCAATGATGCGGCACAGGCTGCTATTGATGCCAAAGAGCCAGCCTCTACCATATGGAATATCGAAACCCCAGATCGCTCTGTGTCAAATGAGGCAGACGCTGCTTCTTCTGGTACCCAGCGACCAGCTGCCGAAGGGCTCACCCATCAAAATAATGCCTCACGTCCCCTCACGGAAAGCCCCAAGCGATCCGCATTTGGTAGTCTGAAAATGATCTTATCGAAGAAAACGTCGGAGCAGAAGGCAGATAAGGCAGTTATTCACAGTAAGGAGCTACGCGTGGCTATCTTAGAGGAGGAGCAAGGCAGATGGCCAAATCTAGAATGGCGACAGCTCGTGACAGCCTACCAAGAAGCAGTTAAAATAAGTCAGAAGATCGCCGATCTTCGAGCCCGGCAGCCTATTCAGTATCTCCATCTCCTCCGAGCAGGGTATTTTGAGCCTATTCCAGAGGCTTGGGTAAAGCTGACGTTTAGCCCTCTCAAACTGTCCATCGACGCATTCGGTGGGTGGAGAGGAGTCACCCCCAGTTGGAGAGGGTATAAAGATCTCGCCGAGGAACGTCTATACTGGGCGATGAATAACATAGAGGGCATTGTTGGAAAGAAAACGAAGCCCGATGTCATCTCCGCGATGAGTATGGCTCGATCTAGAATGGATACTGCGACTGGGGTACCTACGGAATACTTCTCACACGATGATATCTGCAACGCTCAACCCAACTCTAGGGCTTACTCGAAACAGGTCATGACTCCTTTCAGGGCTGGTGGGGTACCGGTAGCCCCTTCGGACGAAACTATGATTCTTCTAGAGGTTTCAAAGTCTATGGATTCCGCACCGCTTCGCCCGAATTATAATGAGCACCTCATTACAGGTTATTCCGTCTCAAACCAGCCAAAGAGCAAAGGCAAGTACATCTTCCTCGAGTCAGGCTATATTGGATATTAACTTTGAGAGATAGATATCGCCCAGGCCATCATACGTCGCTTTACCCAGGCAATGATCAATCACGACCACGGTACCAGAGGCTATCAATTTGTCACATTCGCAGATCAGGGCCGCTACGTAGGCCTCATCAACCACCAGAGCTTCGAACAGATATGGTCGAACATTAAATTCAGGGGAGAAACTCGGCTGATGTCAGGCTGGCAAAGAGCCAAGGAGCTCCACTTCCAAAAGCACTCTGGAACAGCAATCCATCACCCTATGTACGGGTGGCAAGCTGGTCCAGAAACACCCATACTGAGACTACTTATCATTCTCGATGGCGAAGCCGCAGATATGAATGAATTCCATCTCGATCTGCTCGGCCTATCTTGGGTTTATGTCACGATCTTCCTGATGGGTGCAGATAGATGTCCACAGCATCATCGTCTTGCAAACGAGCTACAGAGAATCAGCAATATCAATCCCCGTATCTCTTTCCTAGATGCGCAAGGGAATATGCCGGAGCGTTTCATTACTCATGAACTGCTCAAGCGACATCTCGGATACAATGTTTCGTTTTCTGATTTTGAGACATTGGAGCAAGCGACGGTGGATCTACCATCATATGTTGAGTGAACTACGCGTGTTCTATCGAATGGTCTGGACTCTCCCATATGTCTCAAAGAAGGTCAACCCAGCTCTGTGGTTATCTTTTTTGCAAACTTTCTTATGTCTCAAATGAAATGAATGGCAATAGGTTAGCCCTTTGCTGCTATCGTCATCAACCCACCTCTTAGTCTCCAGTTCACGAAGCCGCATTTGACTGGATATCGAGCACATTGAAGATCAGTGATCATCTGCATATGCATATTGACAGAGACAAGCATTTGGGTACTTCCAGGCCACTCACATCCACATTTCTATTTTGAATGTTTTAGCGCCTGTGATCAAACATCAGCCCAGCAAATGACAGCTTTCCAAATACTCATAAGGACCCTGCGCTCGTAAAACCATGAGAATACGGCTGAAAATCCGGAATATATATATATATATATATAGACCTGAGATCTCAGACCCCCATAGATAGGTCCCAGGATGAAACTTGGGCCCTGTGTAGAGCGGGAAAGATGTGACAAGTTTCCAGCAGGTGCAGTAGCGCCGTCCATAGAGCGCGACATGTGAGAGACTTTGGCGCTGTGGCGGATGATCCCCCCCATGGTAGATGTACTTTTAAACTACTTTGGAATGTATGGGTGACTCCATATAAATCCAGGTACCAGTTGGGTAGTGGAGATACTGATCCAAGGTTCATCCAAAAGACAGGGGGAAAACACCGTAACAGATCTCTCTCTCTCTCTGTTCTCTCTTGCTCTTCCTCCTTCGTACTTCTACGCTTCTCTCTAGCGTCGATCAATCCTAGTCTTCTCTTAATTAACGCCAATTTCCCGTTTCTGTTTCTGACTTTGTTTCACCCACTAAATTGCCGGAGCTTCAAAGCTCTCTGCCCCACCACCTTCTCCCTACGGCCCGCTGTTTCTCCAGATTCATCTTCTCTCCTTTCCATTCTTCTTCATTCTGGTAAAAAAAAAACAACAGGTGAAAGAGTCCCCAGTCTGGCCCGACCCGTATCCCGATGACCCCGCTTCGGCACAATCTTGGCTTATCCTCTTCATGCGCCCAAGCATCAATTCCACTGACATGCCACCTTCTTAGGACTTCCGAACTGGATACCGTGATTCCGGTAGAACGCCTCAACACGTGAACTTCGCGCCCCCGGTATATCGGGTCTGGACGCTGTACCTGTCACATCTTCCCCCACTTGGAGCTTCGTACGACCAAGTTCCCCTCTATCTTTTCTACACCTTTCATTTCCCTGAGATCTCCCCGGCCTTCGAGACCAAATTCGAGAGCTAAAGTGCCTTCCCGAAAACCCAATTCGATTGCAGCGCAAACGAAAAGTAAGCTCTATTTCTCCCGGTTTCCCTGCATTGTTGTTGCGTTTGTTCCCTCGCGCTAGCACTTGGAATCGAGTTGCTTGACACTTTGAAGCAATTGAACTCGAGTGCTATTGTCTTGCCTTCCCTGGGCCTGTGAATCGTGAAATTGCGCGCTATTATCCGTTTACTGTTTCGAATCCCCGGTTCCCGTTTCATTCCCCATGGACTGTGTTCGACCTTTCTTCCACTGGATCCCAAGGATGTTAAAAGCTGACAATCACCCAAAGGCCAAGCCTACCGAAGAAATCAAAGAAACCGTTCTCAGCATGGGCCAGCAAAACCCTCCCGCGGGTGGATCCCGAAAGATCTCCTTCAATGTCTCCGACCAATATGAGATTCAAGATGTTATCGGCGAAGGCGCCTATGGTGTCGTTTGGTAAGTAGTACGAGACTGTCTTTCGAGGCTCCTCTAACCCCATATAGCTCTGCTATTCATAAGCCGTCCGGCCAGAAGGTTGCCATCAAGAAGATCACGCCGTTCGATCATTCCATGTTCTGTCTGCGTACACTACGTGAGATGAAGTTGCTGCGATACTTTAACCACGAAAACATTATCTCCATCCTGGATATCCAACGACCCCGTAACTACGAGGGATTCAATGAAGTTTATCTGATTCAAGTATGTCGAGTCTTGCCAGCCGATAAGATGCACATATATGGGATGTGACTGGGTGACTAACAGTACGCAGGAGCTGATGGAAACGGATATGCATCGGGTTATCCGCACACAAGACCTTTCAGACGACCATTGTCAATACTTTATCTACCAGACCCTGCGTGCGCTTAAGGCAATGCACTCAGCCAACGTCCTCCACCGAGACTTGAAGCCTTCGAATCTTCTGCTCAATGCCAACTGCGACCTGAAAGTCTGCGACTTCGGTCTGGCTCGTTCGGCCGCCTCCACCGACGACAACTCCGGTTTCATGACAGAATATGTGGCCACACGTTGGTACCGTGCACCGGAAATCATGTTGACATTCAAGGAATACACCAAGGCTATTGACGTGTGGAGTGTCGGCTGCATATTGGCTGAGATGTTGAGCGGAAAGCCTCTCTTCCCTGGCAAGGATTGTATGGTCTTACTGTTCTCTTGAGCAACGACAATAACTAACATATACGCTTAGATCACCACCAGCTGACCCTCATATTGGACGTCCTCGGCACGCCCACGATGGAAGATTACTATGGCATCAAATCCCGCCGCGCCCGCGAATACATCCGTTCCCTCCCCTTTAAGAAGAAGATTCCCTTCCGTGCACTCTTCCCCAAGAGCAATGACACAGCTCTGGATCTACTCGAGAGACTTCTCGCTTTCAACCCGGCTAAGCGTATTACTGTCGAGGAAGCCTTGAAGCACCCTTACCTCGAGCCGTATCATGATCCCGAAGATGAGCCCACTGCGCCACCCATTCCTGATGGCTTCTTCGATTTCGACAAGAACAAGGATGCTCTGAGTAAGGAGCAGCTGAAGCGTGAGTGTATCTATAATGCGTTTTGTCTTCTCTTTCTTGTTTTACTAACCTCTCCTAGTCTTGATCTACGAGGAAATCATGCGGTAAATCTGACTTGACGATTTCAAATGATATTAGGTTGGCTAGGAGGAGGATGGATTCTACCCTGCACGCACTTTGACTCGACGGCGTGATTTGATACATGTTAGAGATAGCAAGGCAACTCGAAATGTGATTATGAGTGTTCAAGTAAAGCAGCTCACTTGCACCGTAATACCACCACTCTGCCAGCTCCTAACCCCGATTCTATATACTTTTAGTTCCACTTCTAGTTATATACATCCCACCCTGCCCAAGCACAAAACATAGTCTTACACACCCTCATTCCCATCCGCTAAGTCGAACGCATAAACGCCTCAATACCCTCCAGCACACCCTCGGGACTAGGCTTCGGCGCACAAACATGTGCCTCAAACCCGAACTTTTCACGCAGATGATCCCGCGTCGTAGGCCCAATAGTAGCAACAAAGACCCGTCCCTTCCCAGTCCCAGTCCCAGCAAAAGGCCCCAACCCAAGAACCCGCAACATAGCCTCACACCCCGTCGGCGAGAAAACAACAACCCAAACATCTCCCTCTTCCCTCCCTACCACATCTGCAAAATCCCCCTCAAAAGACCCCATAACCCCAGTCTCATACACAACCAGCTCCTCAACACCAACCCTCTTCCCAACCGGTAATGCGTCATCCATGAGCGTTTTCGGAATGATATCCCTCCTCACCTCCCCGACAAGGAAAAGAAGCGATGGTTTATGCGTCGGGTAGAGACTATCATAATGCTCGAGTATGAGATGAGCGAGGTTTTCCCCGGTTCCGGTGTCTGCGCCGTGGATCGTTGCGTCTGGGAGGTGTTTTTTATGGAGGGTTGTGAGGGTGCGGGCTGTGGCTGGGCCGACGGTGTAGAGGATTAGATTTGGGGTGTTGAAGGTTACTGGTTTGGTTTGTTAGTTTTGATTTTGGCTTTGGTTTGGGTTCTGTGCTGTGTGCTGTGTTCTGTGGGAGCTGGGATGGGTTGGGAATATACCATGTTTTTCGTCTTCGATCATCTGCGCGAAACCTTCTACTGCGCGTTGGCTGGTGAAGATTAGGCCGCCGTATTTTCTGGGGGTTGAGGCATTGTTTTTGAAGGCGCCGGTTGTGAATAGGTCGCGGACTTGGGTGAGGTTGTTTTTGAGGAAGCGGTGTTCGAGGACGGGGACGAAGGTTGGGGTGTAGTTTTGTGCGGAGAAGAAGTCTTCGTAGCCATCGTGGGGGAGGACTTTGTTTTGAGGAGGAGAATTGGTGTTGGCGACATTCTGGGTTGGGTTTGGGGGTGTGAAGATGAATGTGAGGGTGAGGGTAAGTAAAAGATTGGAGGGATTTGATATGATGTTATCGAGTGCGGGGAGTTCTGGGGAATTGGGTTTTTGATATTGGGGCTTTCTAGGAATGCGAGGACTCTTATTCAAGTTGCAGCTTAGTTCATGGGCTTGTCTACTCGTCTAGTTTGTATAGAATACACTATTCCAACACAAGGAAATCGAATTTGAGTCTAGGAAGGCTTATTTACACATTAAAAACACAAACTACTGATCGTCCAGCACGTGCAGGTATCGCTTGTCCTCCTGGCGCTCGCGCTCCGTGGAGGGAGGCAGATCGTAGTAAGAGGCACTACGGTAGCCCTGCAGGTAGTGGAAGGTCAAGTTGGCAAGATCGGCGGTCTCGTCCATGCCCAAGTCCTTGAAGGTCTTGGCTGTCGGGTCGATCACCTGGTCGAGGAACTCGCGCTCCACCTCGTCGGCGGAGAGGGTGTGCCACCACAGGAGCTTGTTCATGTAGTGGGCGAAGGGCTTGAGAACGGCCTTGGGGACGTTGATGTGACGGCGCTTCTTGATGATTTCACGGTCGACCAACTCGGCGATCTCGGCGGTGGAGTAGTTCTTGGGACCGTACAACTCGAAGGTCTGACCGGCGGTGGTGTCATCGTGCAGCATACGCTCCAGAGCGGTACCGACATCAATGGCCTAGCTATGGTTAGTTCAATGCAGCTTGTCCGCCCGGGGAGAATGACATACGTGAACGGGCCAGTAGCGCTCCTGCATGTGGTTGGCAGTGAAAACGTTGCCCATCTTGGCCAGCTTGTGGAGCAGGTTGTCCTCGAAACCGAACATTGGTGCAGGTCGCACGATTGTGGTCTCGGGGTAGATCTTGCGGACGATCTCCTCACCCCATGCCTAGATGTCATCAGCACTCTCATTCTTGTATGATTCCGATAGATGTGCTGACCTTGGTGGCAAAGTACTCGGAAGGCGAGTCACGGCGAGCGTTGTAGGAAGAAACGTGGATGAAGCGGTCGACATCGTACTTGGCAACAGCATCGGCAATACGTTCGATACCATCGACGTGAACGTCCTCGTAGGAGAAGTTCCTGGAATGGTCAGAAACCATTTACACATGTATGCCACTCATTATAACTCACTTGGTGGGATATTGGCGACCGACAAGGTTGTAGACAACATCGGAGTGACGAACGCTCTCCTCAATGGACTGGGTGTTGCGCAGGTCGTATTCCTATAGTGGGAGTCAGACACCTCCCACAATTCAAACCAATTATACAGTGACCAGGCTCCATACCATGAATACGACTCGTCCAAGATCACCAGTGACCTTCAGGTGTCTCTTTGCCATCTCCTCGCGGTAGGGAATGACAACGGTGCAACCCTGGCGAGCTGTGGGTCATTAGTCCATGATTCGATTGCAGTGCAGCAGACCCTCAACTTACCAAGCTTGTTGACAATGTAGCGACCGAGGAAACCAGTAGCACCAAAGACGGTCGCGGTGTGGCCTATAATTGTGTGAGTACATCAGGGCCGAAGCATAGCATCAGAATGAAAATGGCTTAGCTACCTCCAATGGAAGAACTATAGGACGAGCGCGTCAGCAAGCAAGAACACTAATACTCAGAATTGATTACTTACCGACCACCTTGGACCTTCAAGAGGGGCTTGCCAGTCCGGGTGATGCGGACATCCTGAATGTTGCGCTGGAACTGAAGCTGCACTCGCGGAACTGGCACAAAAGGCCGGGCCCCCAGGGCAGTGTTGATGGTGCGAGACTTCTGCATGGTCTCTGGCTGAGTATATCTCTCGAGACCAGCTAATTGGAGCGGAGTGTTGCCAAGAAGGGCGTGGTGATGTGCGAGTGTCTTTCGCAGCGTCAAGTCGGAAGAACCGCACGGGACTATTACGCTAGTCCTAATTCGGGACTACGGACCACCACTTTAACAAATCACTTTCTCGTCTTTCTTTCATTTCGTTGCTTACGCTCGGTTGATATGGTGTTTCTGGCTATTCAATTGATTTGGAGTTAGTCTGTTCACCGAAAGCTACAGGCTGGTATAGCTACACCCTCTGTAGGATCAAATCTCCGTTTTGATCTGACAACACCTGGACTGTGATTGGATGCTCCCTGGGCTTCATTCATGTCTATAAAGTACCACTGTGTATGCTTTCCATCTTTCTATCGCAACTGAAATATGGCCAGTGATTTTTGTCGACGCTATGGTTCCTGGGAAATAAATAGATTTATGTATGATCATTTTTTTATCAGTTCACTTATAGTCTTGCCCTAGCTATCCATTGCACACATAATGTATAGAATCAACAATGTATGAGGTAATACAGCATTCTACCATATCAAACATCAAGCTCTCTATTCATGGTGTAGGGATCGCTGTCTGGCAGGCCAAATTAGGTATATGAAGGTTGTTACCATGGAATTGATATAACGAGATCTTCATAGCACAAACATGATGGAAATAATAGCCTGATAATTGGTAGCCAGACAGTTATCCGGGAATAAGTGCTCATTCACGTTGTTTTATGAACTGTGTTGAGAATAATCACAACCTTAGACTATATATATATCTTTGGCTTAGGATTACGCCCCCTGAGATTCCCCTAAAACAAGGGTAAATCTCTAGTTGAAGCATGTAGTTATTAATTGAACAATATTTATCAAAAATTTGAGAACACAAAAAATTAATGACAGCTGTGTCATTGTAGTTCCAAAGATTCATGAGAGGAGTTTTGTGGGCAAATCACGGCCATCTCTGGTAAAAGGCAAGAAATGGGTTCTGCACTAACTTGTCCCACTCCTCGGGTACGCTTCCCTTGTCTTTCTTATAACGGCCCTGATTCTCATTTGGACACTCGGTCCGGATCCAAAACGGTCGAGGTTCGAGTCGGACCAGTCGATTTCTTCTTCTTTTCTTTTTAAGACGCGCTTTGAAAGGCGGTAGATGGAGGGCGGTGAAGTAGACCTGCTTGGGGTTTCGGAGGTGGGAGCGAAGGGTAGATCACCCAAATGTACACATGTCAATTCGCTGTATCTGATGGATCTAATTTTCATATAACTTCATAAATATATTATAAAATTATGGGAAAAAATCATGCATGTGGAGGTTCAGCATCGGTGTTTTTGTAAGCGTTCGGCGAATAGGGTACTCGGCGGACAAGGAATGTGTGCATGGTTATTCGTGTTGGGGACTTATTTGAGCTTCATTCCTAGATCATATATCCCGACAATTAAAATTCCAATTGAACACAATGTCGTCTGCTGCCTGTATCTTCTGCAAGATCATCAAGGGTATGTTTATTGTTTACATCCATGGATGTCTCTACTCTCAATCCGAGCTACACATCTATCGCTGTGTCCAATTCGGCACGTCATAGCAGAAAAATGAGTTACTGACCTGCTTTCTCGGGAGTTCTATAGGAGATATCCCTTCCTTCAAGCTCTTCGAGAGTGACAAGGTCTTTGCTTTCCTCGATATTCAGCCGCTCAGCCGTGGCCATGCGGTGCGTTCTATCTCCTACCATTCTCTTCCCCGCATCCGGCATGCCCCTCGTAGCGGTGCGCCAGCGAAGTTGCCTCAACTGCGGCGATAGCTTCAGCCAAGAATCGAAGCCCGATGATTTAAAGAAAATCAATCTGACAACATGCACAGCTCGTCATTCCCAAGTTCCACGGTGCAAAGCTGACCGACATCCCCGATGAGGACCTGGCCGAGATCTTGGTAAGTCAACGAGAGAACAATCCGGAGTGACAAGAAGATAGATGAGAAGGATCATGTTTTTGATCTATGATTGAATGCGATGACATTTTCTAAGGACCTTGGGGGACAACCTTGGGGACGATTCCACAGGGTCCCTAAGAGGCCTGGAATTTGATTGGCAAAGAGGGACATAGCTAACGAATCTGTACGCAGCCCGTTGCGAAGAAGATCGCCAAGGCCAGCGGCGCCGAGGACTTCAATGTCCTGCAGAACAATGGACGCATTGCGCACCAGGTCGTTGACCATGTGAGTTTCAGTCGAGGATCTTGATGTTTGTCACGGTACTAATCGGCAATCTCGAATAGGTTCACTTCCACATGGTATGCTCTACTATCTTTTGGATATTTAGTTTCACGCCAGGAACTGTCTTCGGAACATACACTAACAACACAATAGATCCCCAAGCCCAACGAGAAGGAGGGCCTGGGCATTGGCTGGCCGACTCAGGCGACTGATATGGACAAGCTCAAGGCTCTTCACGAGGAGCTCAAGTCGAAGATGTAAAGTGCTTTGGCTTAAAAGATCACTAACTCAAGAACAATGGAAATTGAGTTACTTCTATACTTTTGCCTTACGATTTGGAATATCGCTGTATTCTGTACACGGAATAGTGTTAGTTTGATTAGAGGAGGTCATCAGAACTTCCGAAGTAGGACTCTGCTCCGTTTAATGTAGACCGAATTGTGCGTATATCCTCTACTTGACAAGAACCAAGTCTGCGTATGCTACAAACATGCAAAATCAGACTCTAGATATCTAGCAGGTTAGCATGAGAATCAACTACATCAAACACACCACCCAACTCATGTACTATGTGCAGTTTATGCCGATGCACTCTCTGCTTTCTTCTCTGAGTCAGGATAGAAGTTGATCTTTCCGCCGCCCTGAACGATATTGAGTCTGTCGTAGAGCGAGCGAGCCCGAACATATGGGTCAAGGACCCAGTATTGCGTACGGAGTTGGGCGATCAAAGCATCCCGCTTCTCCTTGGCCGCGGAGGCAGCGTCGTTCTCCTTCTTGAAGCTGGCGCGGATCCACTCAATGGTAGTGTCCTGGATCTCCTTGGCGAGCTTTTGGCGCTCGGCCATCAGGGTATCCCGGGTTTCCTTGTCGGCCATGCTGGGATTCTCGTTCTCCGGTACCTCAACGTATTTGTATTCCCAGTCTTCGTCGCCTTCGAGCTCCTTCATGATTTGGCTTGGGTGGATGAAGTTTTCGAGATCCGCGCGGTTCTTCGTGAAGTGGATCTTGGCTGCGACGACTGGGTCGAGCCAACCCTTGATAACGCTCCAGATGCCTGAATTATAGTTAGAAAAGGGTGTTTCGGATGGATGCTGTGGTGTGGAATACGGACTTGAGAATAACCAAGGGGCCTTGTGGATGAGTACTGCTCCGAGGGACTCGGGGTAGTTGGCTTCGAAACACTTGATCATGAATTTCACGGGGGCGTAGTCCTGGGAGATATCAGTACATATCGTAAATGACATTGGGACGAGAAGCTTACCATGTTGGCCATACCGAAGTCCGTCATATCAAAGACAATAGTCTGCAAGAGTCAGCCTCCGAAATACAATCCTCACATCAGGAATACTTACCGCAGTCTCAACCGGCGGTGCAAGCAACAAACGCGCGGTCTCAATAGTATAAACAGTAAACCGCTCCAAGCCTTCATTGTCCTGGTCACCAGCCTTATGCAAGCGCACACGAACAACACAGATTGGCCGACCAGCGCGATCAACACCATGCAAGAAACTCTTACCCAGACGCATCTGTGTGAGGAAGTCCTCACCCTTCTTCTTTTCCTTGGCATCAGAGCCCTGCGACTGCTTCACAGCCGACGCCTCACCGTTGAACATGATATCGTCGTCAACATGCATTTCCAGCAGTCGCCAGCGCATCGTGGAAATCAACATGACAAGCGCCTTCTTGGTGTCCCACTTGCGCGCCCGCAGGAATCGCAGTAGCAGCGAGTCAGGGTTATCGCCCTTCACCATGCTCCAGAACGCTGTCCGGATCTCTTCAGGCTTCATGTCCTCCAGCGCCTGCTTAAACTCCTTGGACTGGCCGTACTTGTCGTCGCCATCGACAACGCTGAGGGAAGCGGCGCCGCTGTCAGAGCCGCTTTTTGTATTGTCGTCGGCGCCGCCGAAAATTCCCCACCGGCTCTTGGATTTCTTCTTATCCTGGGCTGGGGCGGATGTTGCGGCATCGCTAGTAGCAGTGGATGGAGGGGCTTCCAGTTCTTCCAGTTTTAGGCCGAAGACTTTCAGTGCCAGGACCCAGAATTCTTGTAGCTTGATTTCTTGTTCTGGGGTAAGGTTCCCGACTGTTCCGGGGGCGGGTTCGGCGGGCATCGTCGCGAGGGTATCGATTACTCCGAGAGCGGGTTTCTCAGGGAGCCGGGGCTGCGAAGTGATTTTGTTTTTGGGATTGAAGTATTTGTCCTGAAGCCAAGCGCCTCCTCCAACGAGAGCGAGAGTAACTGTTAAGGTCCAAAAAGATGAAGCCTGCTTTGGTTCTGGGTGCGTGAACAAGGGTCGCGCAAATGAATACCGAGCGACAGGAAATTTGGCCGAAGGATAGAGGCGACGTAGAATTGTTCCACGCATAAGCAATGTAATTGGGGTGATAGTGAGCACTAGGTGTTGGCCCTGGGGGGAAGAGGGAAGAAAATATGTGAGAGCGGGATCAAGGATATGACGATGCGGGGGAAGATCGTCGCCCTAATAGGTGTACTAGTTTGGAAATGCTTCGAGGTTGTATTTATTCCAAGTTCATCTAACACATATATTCTACAATCCAGTTTTCATATCAAAGTTGAAGTATAGAGGTGTCGCGTGAGAGATCTTTCCGGGGAGATCAACAAATCCCAAACACAACCCACTCAACATCACACCCCGACAACAATCCACGGTTGAACAATAACAACACCTATTCTCGCTGGCTCATTATCTCTCGTTAACCCTCCTAATTGATCGCATTCTCAAACACCTCACAGACATGGACGCACCCCGATCATCCTCGCGCCCGAGACCTTCATCCAGGCCTACAACCCCCCTGCGCCCCAGCTCGCGCTCTTCGATACGGGAGGCCCACGGATATGGAAACAGTATTGGAAATGCAGGATACACACAACCCGCTTTCAATGCATTGGAACCGCAATTCGCCGAGCTGGCCGATTCGATGGCGGATCTCGAGGCCAACTTCATGCACCTGCAGCTGATGCACGAGAGCCTGACTCGCTTCAGTGAGAGTTTTGCCAGTTTTCTCTATGGATTGAATATGAATGCATTCTGTGTGGATTTCCCAGAGGTATGGTTGCAGACGCGTCACCGACAGTGGTGGCAGTAGTGACAGCGCACGACAGGGTTGCTGATTCATTCGACACAGGCTCCGATTTCAGACTCGTTCAAGAAGGCTAAGCAGGATGAAGAAGAAAAAGGTATTGCGACAGCTCCCTGTGGGAACTACCGTCGATCGGGTTTGCTAACTGCATCAAGAGGCGGAACTAGAATCAGAACCAACACGACAGGTTGATGATGGCGAGATGACCTTTATGTGAGTCTAGAGAGCGATGCAACAAACCCCCTGCAAGAGGACACTAGAGCTAATAACTTGTCACGCTAAAGGACTACGGACACGACTTTTGTTGAGAATCCGAGCACGACTCCCTCCGCTAGGCCGACATCCAAGTATGCTGCGGGCTCACGAGTCTCGTCGCGTGGCACTGCTCGTGGTGCAGCAAGCAGCCGGTATACTACACGAGGTACTGGTCGTGGCACTCGTCCCAGCGCATTGCCTCGGGGCAGAGGGGTTGGAACTCGATGAAGAGCCGGATATTCGAGCACTTACAATGGCATGATTATGGGCAATCAGTTCATACTACATGTTAGACTATTGGTATCCAAGTGCTGGGGACCTTTCTAGATTCCAACCGCAATGCGCTGTTTGACACATGCTTTATGACTCCCTTAAAATGACTGAATGAAACTTCCATGTCACAAATGTTGTACAACATTGATACCCTACATATTTAGAATATACTGTATAGATACTTCTCTTGAGAAAAATAAATAAAAATTAAAAAAAATAAAGACGTCAAGACTGACTTCTGCCAAACTGTCCGATCTCTTATCCGGCGGTAAATCGGTAAATCGGGGTCAGGCGAAAAACCACCGCCCGATGGCAAATCAACCTCCCCCGACTGCTATTGAAATCCTCACTTAGGCCTCATTGGTTGGATAGACTTTTTTATATTTATATTCTTTGCTTGAATAGAGTCTGGTTGTCTGAAATTGGTTGTGAAATCGAATTAGGTCATTCGCAACCCTTTGTGGACTGTATAGCGTCCGTCCATTCGTCTGCTAATTGTCCTTGTTCACTTGCTTTGGTGAGTTCTATTGTTCCATTCTTCTCTGATTGGTCATGTCATTGATACTAATTGTTCTTATAGTGCAATGCTGGCCCTATTCATGGCGAGTCCTTGAGGCTGTACCTGGTCTCTTTATATCCAGCCCTTTTCTCTCTCCCTTGACTCTCTTTCAACCTCTTCTTGTCATCCCACGTGGGTAGAAGTCTGGAACTTCTAATAACGTGTTTTTCACTACGTATCTTTGCTTCGTACTTCTGATCAACCCTAACATTCTCCCTTCCATCCTATCTCTTTTACTCTTTCTTCTCATCCAACCACACCTATGTCGCTCACTATGGCAACCCTCGATTCGGTCCAGCTTCTTTCTGAAGCAGCATTCGGCTGTGGTAATGATTGACAATTGCCGTAACTCACTGATGCCTAGCTGACCTCCCGTTAGTACATCTTGCGGCTATCCTCGCCAAGGACGAGAAGACTGCTGGCCAGTTCAGAGAACAATTTTGCAAGAAATACAAGTCGCTAGCTCCATTCTCAAAAACAGACACCGTGGCTGTTCCGACCACTGGCCTCCGAACAGTGGAGTCGCTGAAACCGAAATATCACTGTTTGAGTTGCGCAGAAGTATGTCTGGGTTCCAAGCGAGCGGAGCATACTGCGGCCACAGGACATGTATTTTGTAAGCCAATGGGTTCTGACTGATTAGGCTGCTTCATACTTACACAACGGTAGACCTAGAGTCTCGGAACCGCTTTGTCTTCTGTGAGAAGTGTGTCGATTTCATCTATGACCACACCCTGGACAGACTCCGTGGCCCTTCTGGCAAGTTTGAAGCCATTGGTGAGTCCCGGGCAATTCCAAAGCATCTTCCCTTGAAAACCCACTAATATCTGGTAGATGGGCGATCCATCTGGGCCGAAGACTCGGCCTCTGAGATCTACGTCAAAAACAATGCCCACAAGAACCCATGCGCCATTCGCGGCGCTCGTGGTGTTTGGAACATGGGTCAAACGTGTTACCAGGCTTCTATATTGCAGGCCCTGCTGCATGACCCTAGCCTCACTGCCTATTTCCTGGGAGGTGGCCATGATGTCCACACATGCTCAATCAAGGACTGTCTCGCCTGTGCGACAGCTGAAGTCTTCATGGAGTTCAACAGCGCCGAGAGAAACGAGGCAGTCTCCGCAGCCATGCTTCTTCATCATGGTTGGCAGAAATCCAAGGTATGCCAAGGTCCGAGTTGAAGAAAAGAATTGGCTAACCAATTCACAGGACATGGCTGGATACCGCCAGCAAGACGCCCATGAATACTTCCAATTCCTTGTTAACGAACTGCACTCATCCACCCCCGGACACGTGGAGAGCTACGAAAAGCCATGCGAGTGCTTCTTCCACCAGATGTTCTACGGCGAACTGCGCAGCAGCGTCATGTGCCACAAATGCGGCCAAACTACCAACACCCACGATCCCATGGCCGATCTGAGTCTTGATGTCCAGCTTCAACATAAGAAGCGCAAGCTCGGTCGGTCTACTTCTTCGACCACTGGAACCCTCCTCGGCTGCCTGGACAGCTTCACTGCGGCTGAAGACCTCCACGCTGATGCTGCTTACCACTGCGAGAAGTGCGGTAACACTCCCCAGCGGGCCTCTAAGCGATTGCAGATCCGAAAACTCCCTGTTATGCTTTGCATGCAGCTCAAGGTATGTTTGGAATTTCAACTGCCTTGAAATGAGATTCCATGCTAACGTTCGCATAGCGTTATGAACATACCTCAAACTCCTCTGAGAAAATGAATGGTCACATCGACTTCCCCCTGTCTCTGAACATGCTGCCATACACGGTCAGAAAAGACAACCTTCCTGTTGACATGTCTAATTACATGTACGACCTGTCCACGGTCATCGTCCACCAAGGAACAATGGACTCTGGGCATTACTATGCCTACACCCGTATTGATAACGACAAGGTTTGTTCTATATAACCATCCCACCCTTGGTGTCTGCGCTAATGGATTATCTTCGCAGTGGGCACTAATGGATGACAATAAGGTCACCGTCGCCGGTGTCGCGGATGTCCTCCGCCAGGACGCCTATCTTCTCTTCTACAGCGCTCGTTCTATCCGGGCCGGGAAACCAAAGAAGTAGATCCCTGATGCACATATAGGCTTCAAATTTAACTAATACTTTCATAATTCGGTGGTCACTTGATTATTTCGCACATACCAGCGTTACGCTATATCATTGTAATATTGTACTAACATGTCTAATTGTAAAAAAATGGTAGATTGCTATGAAACAGCCACGGGATACCGGCTCATTCCCATGTATGTCTTACGGATGGAACACACTTTAATTCTCAGATCCTCTATCAGGCGCTAGATCGGTTTCTTTCATGTTGCAATTGAAGCTGGAAACAACAGATTCTACCAAGTTGGATAACTTGAAGACCAATTCCTCGATAATTCGTTTCTCGGCCGATTAGGCTGTCGCACGCACGCCAGTCTCATTCCATCCTCGGGGCGCTGACATACCGAGGTGACTGGATTGCCTTGAGCTTTTTCGATCAAAGCCTCGAGCTTGGAATGAATTATGACGTGTTCTAAGAGGCGCTGATGAGACATGAGCAAATCAGGATACTAAGAGTACCTTGACGGAGACGAGTTTGATGGATGATTGTACGGCAAGTCGGAAGGTCATGACCGTTTGACCTGATAGAAATCCATGATTATCGCCGTGAAGCCTTCAAGGATTCAACTAATGTGGAAACCGAAAATAAAGTATAGACGCATGGCAGGCAGGTGCTAGATCAAGGCCGATGGTAGCAGCAGGGCACAAGTGGCAGGATTACCATTCTCGGTTTCGCTCCCACAATCGACATATTTCCTTGGCCCATTTGTGGGATATCATTGATTAAAGGATAGCCATGTTCCTGGATGGCTTCGGCAATTCAGACACATTCATTATTGGTTGGATATTTTCACCATGCACAGCTAGCAGGCAGACAGGGGAGGAGGGTATTAATAATATGTATATAACATGCTATAGGGGAGATGGATGTAGAAATACTAATTCTCTGTCTCAGACAGAGAGGACTATCCAAGGAGGGAAGAGAGGAGAAAAGAAAGGAGAAAAGAAGGAACCTGTATTCTCTACAAACAATTGATGTTAATTAGATAGCCAGTGGAAGCCCAAAAAGCAAGGAATCTCTCTCAGCACAAGGTCAACACTTATATTTTTTGTTTCTTTGTGTTAATCACCATGCTTCTCCTGCACTCTTCCACGGTTGCAAACGGTGATATGGACCCTCCAATGAGGCTATCCCAAAATTTATCACCGGGTTGATATTCCAAAATGTGTTTCTTGGCTTTGCCGTTTTTCTCATAGTCAGTCTATGCCAACTGTTCCATGACTGGGAGAGACGCCCACCGGTCTATAGAATTGGACGAAGAATGTCACAGAAAGGCTTCATTTCAAGAGTAGGCCATTTATTTCAGTGCGTGAGGGTTGCTAATGTTTCTCAATTTTTCCGGGGTACATACATTTGAAAGGGAATTAACCCCAACTCCAGTACGAAGTGGTGGTTTTATGTACATAACCTTATGAGCTCCCCCACTACAGCGGGTACATTGGATTTACAAGAGAAGTACGCGACGCATTTGTGATCTCATAGCGTTAGAAAATTTCAAATCAAGTCAGAATATCTCCCTATAGCAATCTTGAAAAAGCAAAGTCAGTCAAAGCCATCAAACTTGAAAGTTATTTGAAGTATAAGATCTGGCAGCCTGAGGCATCGAGATTTGATCGCCCATTGGTCACATGATCCGCCAAAAACAGCTAGCGCAACCCAAGCGAGTTGGCCCGTGCCCTATTCCCCATTGGGGCAGCACACAACGTAAATTCCAACCCTAACTCTTGTCTCCGTTCTTAACGCCCAACGCCAGCGACCCTCGTCCCGTCAACAACCCCGTCAACTCCCAGGTCCCGCCTTTAAAACCTCAAGATGACTCACGAGAGCGTTTGGTACAGCCGGCCCCGCAAGTAAGTCGAAACTGCACCACGCACACGCAATATCTCGAAAAAGAACGACAAGCTAACCATAATTTCTCTTCGCTCAATAGGTACGGCAAGGGCTCCCGCGAATGGTGTGTTTTCCCTACCACAATTCCCCGATGAACGATCCAGTCGACACCGAGAAAGAAACTTGGAGAAAGCCTGGATGGAATCGAAAATCGATACAAAAGGAACGGACTTGCTAATATTTGTGCGCCTTCAGCCGTGTCTGCTCCCACCGCGCCGGTCTGATCCGCAAGTACGGCGTAAGGAGAAACCGAACCCTTGAGCATATTGCGTGCTGCAATATGTGGCGTGACGTGGACTTGTGTGGCTAATGATTGTTTTAGATGAACATCTGCCGTCAGTGCTTCCGTGAGAAGTCCACCGACATCGGTTTCACCAAGGTTCGTTTCAATTCCCCGCTCGACAATCCTATCCGATCCAATTCGAACACCACGCAACCACATTCTTCGACATGAAAATTCAATCATCAATCGACAAATTTGCCACTACCACTATCACAATCACACACGCACAATGCAAAGACACAACACTAACCGCGATTTTCTCAACCTACAGTACCGCTAAGCGATCAAAAAAACTGACTCCCTCCTCTCGAACCGTTCGCATCCACGGAATCCATCTACGCACCCGGCTCGACTACGGTAGCGTCCAGTGGAGCAATGTTTCAGACGAGCTCAAAAATGGCGTCTTTGATGTTTTTGTGAATGGAGGAATAGACATCGGGCTTGCGTGTCCGGTGTCCCGGGGTTGCGAATCAAATCAGATCTTGGCTCCGAGGGGAGGATTTGGGGTTGTTGCGTGGAGTATCTTGAAAAACGAGGATGTTCTGTTATTTCCCTCATCCTGGTTTTTTCTTAACAATTTCAATGACGGAATTTTTTTCTCTGGGAATCATTTTCTCCTCCGGCTTGCCGTACAAATTGCTCGTGGTCTGGATGAGGGCGGGCGTGCTGCTTGCATGGCTCCTCCTGTCTCTGGATCTGGTGTAGCTTTTGATGATTGCCTGGGTGAGCCTTTTGAGGTGCACCGATGATTTATGAGTCTACGAATTCTTCGTAGCGGCTTTGAATGTCAGCATATCGGACATGTCTGGACACTTCTACTTCTGAGTATGTAGGATTTGGTGACTCGGCTGCGTGACCAATCTTCATGATGACTCATGCGTTGTAGAGCTGTGTGCAACACGACTAGCAACCTTCGAAGGCATGACATTTATATAATAGGATGTAAGTCTACTGAAAGAAACCGCCATGCTCACGGAGACTCCATTTTGATAGGACGAATATACGGTACCCCTGGCTTCCACATCAGAGCCCAATCTAGATATCGGCTTTGTGAAGGACCCCAACACTGGAAAGGACACCTGATGTCAGTGGTCGCATATTCTCGTACCTGGGGAGTTCAAGTAACCCGGCAGCTGACACACATTCCAAGACATGCCTTGACCTAGGGAGGGTACGCTAGAGAAGTCCTTGCGGCTCAAGATACCCGTCGATTTGCCTTGGGTGTTACTATGTGGATCCTTCACGAGTATATGGGTGTTTGACAATCTTGGGCGTTCAAATTGTTTGATATTAACGAGAATGGGCTTCAGTTTGTGCCCACCATTCTCAGTTTCCTTTGGACCAGAAGAAATATGGATTTGACACTGCGATCGCCATGAATCGGACCCAGGTGTTTCACTAATTGTCAAAGACTCTTGGTGATACACAGAGCACAACGAAGAAGGCGAGCTTCATGAAGCCACCGAACGAGAGACCTTTGGTGTCGCACGGTATCCTGTTCGAAATGCTCCACCGTAGCATCCAGTAACCCACCGCCTTCCCCAGTTTCTCGACTTGTCGCCCTGCACGACTATGGCAAACCGATTTTCAAGACAAGCACTCATTCGACCCTGCTTGCTGCATTAGAAGATTGTGCTTCAAGGCATCAGTCTTTGCAACGGACAGGGATACTTCATCGAAATATCTCAATTCATATTATATTGGTCAACGACGACGCAGAGAACCCTTCGTGGTCTTTGTTAATTGATCTTGATCTAGCTGTTAAACAGCAGCAAGTCGATGTCTCGGGGCAACTGGAACGACTGACACGAGGGCCTTTGCAGCAATTGGCGTACTTCTGGATGAGAGGTATTCTTTCATACATGATCTCGAATCGTTGTTCTGGGTGATCTTTTGGATTTGTATCCACTGCCAGTGTCAGGCAATGTTTGACAAGTGGAACTTTATGGATGTAGAGGAAGTAGCTGATGTGAAGAAAGGGGAAGCATACGAGTGAGGACTTTACAGAATACTACTGGCCACTGATGCCGTGCGTCAAGCACTTCGGGGCTGGTTTCTCATGGAAAGAGACGGCGGGAGGAAGATACAGGAGTGTATCATCCGATAAAAGAGATACTTCGGGATGCCCGAGGGCCTGAGTCGTCCCCATCCTTCAAGCTAACATTCTGACATGACTCTCAATATAATGTGTGTTTAGTATAGATTAAATTTTCGGATTTTAGTAAAGAAATGGATAGCGCGGAGAATTAGTCAAATGCTTAACCCCCTTGGACAACATTGCAACCTTTTTAAATGCCCGATGTCCGATCTGCATCGGTCCTCAAGAGGACTACACCATGGCTGAAAAAGTCACTGGATTTCGGGTATTAAAGATATTGCCCTCTAACTCAGCTTGTTCACTGTCCAGGCCTTCTGACTCGCAAATACGCTAACTCGGGAACGCTAGGTAGTGTACGGAATATACTTTGCGGCTTAGCGTCTGGTACTTCTAGCCTGGGAGTACTTTTCAATCCCTGCCTATGTATTCGGCTGTATTCGTATCTACGTCGATGCCCGAGTCCTGCATGCTGATCACACGGGATCTCGAGGTATTCACACTATGCTCATTGGTCCACAAAGACCCCTGGCGAACGGCTACAGATCAGAGCCGGAGACCGGACAGCAGTTGTGCCGGACTTCCGATTACTTACTCCATAGGTATGCTCAGCTTGGCAAATATCCAGCTGGACATGGGATCTCTCGGAGCTGTAAACATGTCGAAAGTTTGATATTAGCTGATCGAATTCGACCAGGAACAAATATCCATGACTGTAGGTTGGCATTACGAGAGCTGAGGGTCCTACCTAGATGTCAGTGTTAGTAGTTAGCCATCCTTGGGCGTAGAAGCTGCTGGAATTGACAAGGATTAAAAATTGAAGCATGCAGTATGGCGCCAGGTCACACCGTCAGATTCTAGCCGGACACAACCGCCATGGAGATATGTGGACAGCCACGGCGTTAGGGAATGAGATGCCTAAACACGAAGTTAAAATCACCGATGTTGTAAATCGACTGCCTAGAGGGAGCATAAGATTACCGCCATGAGCAAGCATGAGTCATATGATAGCTCATACAGGTGGAAACACGAGCTCGGCGACATATACGGTGTACGGTCACTTTACAGGCTCGGAGTTCGGATGTAAAGCGGAGTTTGCATTCCGATGAGATTTCAGAGATTCACAGGTTCGCAATTATTCAACGCAGATCCTCGGGACGTGCAGGTGCGTGGATGTAATATGCCAGACTTTTTTGTCAGGTCCCCGGATGCTCACGGATGCTGATTTACCAATCGCCAAGATCGGGCTCGGTCTTGGCTCAGCCCTCTGTTGTTCTTGTGTTTTGCTATTGTAGGAGATGATGGCATTTGTGATAAAGTAGAATGTATTATAATCCGTAGTCCGTAGATTATGGAGAACAGAGTGAAGTGGGGACATTTAGGTTGTCTTATGTGAAGCTGTAAAAGTCTGGACCGGGATGGCTGGGAGATACCACATGACGATATGCATTGGGTATGTGTTGAATATCAGGTGGATGGAACAGTGTTTTTTTTTTTTTACATCTTACTATTTCATTGTGTACGGAGTACTCCGTATAAAATTGTGTATCGGTGCAACCTAGAAGAACATTCGGATTATTCAATAAGCGAGACTACACTACTTTAGCCCAACTACCTCAATATCACCTCTTTGGGTAACAAAGCAAGGTGCCGAACTTCCGCTCAAATCCGTTCTCATTAGCTTTTCGTATATCCGTAGGGTCCGGCATTCAATTTTCATGCTCTATACCCCACCAGTATGGGGCCACCTCAAAAAAAAAAATTGCGGCTCGGAGAACAAAGGGAGGGAAGTCAAGGCAGGGATGTGTATGGAGTATGAAAGTACAACATACACGATTTTGGGATTCAATGCATGAAAAGGGTGGTGATTGGAGGAACAGGTCCCTGATGATCGTCTACTTCAACGGCGCCAGACTTGTACATAATCATGTCGAGAAGTCAAACTGAGAATTTCGGGCTATAAGCTAAGCAGGTTGTCTAGCTGCCATGTTGATGTGTTCATCCTTTACTCCGTAGCTCATACAACTATACGTCTATATGGATATATGTATCAAGTAAGAGAAAGACGAGAAAATCAGACCGTCCAAATAAGGTAACGATCGACTACGTCATTGACCAGGTTATATTTCTGTATACCGTACACCGTACATGAATACATATGGCATCATGCATGTTTTACAATAAAGGCCAAATTTCCAAATATCCATGTAGTCATAGTTCCCATGAAGTCACCAAAATCCACATCAAAAGGTTCCCGAGATACCCGAATGAATAGACGAGCGCAAACAAGAAAAATCAACGACTTCAATTTCCATGATCAGTGTACGAGATAGTCAAAAACACAAAGTTTGAAGGTGAAGAGTACAGCATATGTTGTATATCGAACTATAAGCGGAAAAGAATACCAAATTGATTGGGCATATATCGGCCCCGGGGGCCCTTGGTTTTTCCACGCACTTTTTTTTTACGCTTTTTATCTTTCATTTTCATTTTCTTGTTATTTATTTTATAATTAAAAAGCATTGGAAATCAGCGTAGGCAAGCTCTTTTCTCTAATTTGAGCAGGTTTTCCGGTACTTCGTCCCTAGCCCCGCCTGTGGGCTTATATATTGCATTTCCTCCCGGAGTCTCATAGCTCATACTTCAGCCCTACAGCTTTCCAATCGAACAGTCTAGTTTTTCGCCTCCTTGTAGTCCTGGACGTGGAGGACTATTAAAAAAAACACTAAACACGGGTCTAATTACCGGTTTGGCAAGTTCGCTACGTCACCATTTGATAGAGCTTCGACCCCAGGCTGGTTGGAGCTCTATATCTCACAACCATTTGCATTTTTGCACATACATACACATTATTATCTCTTGCACTATCACATATACTCTTCCCAATGCGGCTTATAACTACTCGAGCCGTATTGGCGGCAACTGTCACTCTGTTTTTCGCATCCCTGGTGACCGCGCTTCCACACGATGAATCAATGGATATGGATATGGGAATGGATATGCACGCAGTGACCGAGGCGCCACAACCTACAACCACTGCGATGCCGGCTACTAGTGAAGGGCCCATGAGCTATTTTGCATACGGCAAGCACTCCGGCGCCATTATAGCACACATTGCTCTCATGGTCCTGGGCTGGTGCTTCGTTCTTCCTGTTGGTAAGTGGCTCTCCTGTTGAGATTTGAGGGTGAAAAGGAAACGGACAACTGACAATTGATATTCTGAATAGCTGTCATGCTGAGTGTTGCGCGCTCGTGGCTCGCCATTCCATCACAATTGCTTTTCCTGACCTTCAACGTTTTCGGTGTTCTACTCGGAATTGTCTATAACAGCCAGACGCCAGACCTCTACGAGAACAACGCACACTACAAGATCGGTTGGATCGCGACCTTGGTTGTCAGCGCCCAGTTTGTCATGTCTTTGCTCTTTGCCTACGCTGGCCGCGGCAAGTCCGACACGCCCTCTTATGAACATGCTTCGTTCTTCCCTGTCGCGACGGACGACCATGATACTGAGCATGCTTGTCTCAATGGCGCGATCCGCGAGCATCGTTGGTCTCGTGACAGTGGCCAGGGTACGGACAGCAACTCTTCTATCCATAGTCCTGGATCGTCGTCGTGTGAGTCGCCTACCGATTACGATGGATTCGAAAAGCCCGACGAAGTGCTAGCGAAGATTACCTCTGAACGCAGCTGGATTCAGAAAACGCGTGTTGGTCGATTCTTGCTACAGACAATCCCTGGTCTGATTCCCAGCTGGCTTCTCCGCGTTTTGAATATCGTGTACAACATCGTTGACCGTGTCATTCTTCCATTCGGATTTGTGGCTATCGCGACTGGGGCTGTGACGTATGGTGGAATCATGAGGGGTCGTGAGATTTTCAACGGCCTTGCGCACTTCATCAAGGGGGGTATCTTCTTCTGGTACGGTGTCCTGACCCTGGGACGCTATATCGGTTGCTGGGCCGATCTGGGTTGGGCCTGGAATAAGAAGCCCTCTGCGTCTATTGTTGGTTGGAAATCCAAGGTTCCCTCGGGTGAAGCCACGGAGTCCTTTGTCATTTTCCTGTATGGCGCGACAAATGTCTTCCTCGAGCACCTCAATGGTGCGGGCAAGGCATGGTCTGCCACAGATCTTGAGCACGTTTCGATTTCCGTGCTTTTCTTCGGTGGCGGTCTGGTACGATTTTATCTTGTTTCCCGCTTTGTATAGGAATCATTCTGGCTAACATGAAAAACAGGCCGGTATGCTTTTCGAATCCGCTTGCATCCGTGACTGGGTCAACAACACCATCCTTCAACCCCCGGCTCATGGTACCTCGGATGAAGCCTGGAGGCCCCCGACATCGCAGGGGGTTTCCTTGAACCCTATGCCAGCCCTCGTCATTATGTTGCTAGGCATGATGATGGGGTCGCACCATCAAGATAGTATGACATCAACTATGGTACACAAGCAGTGGGGTAACATGCTGGTTGGGTTTGCGTTGGCGCGCGGTATGACATACCTTTTATTGTATCTCAAGCCACCGACCTCGTACCTCCCGGCTCGTCCCCCGACAGAAATCATTGCTGCATTCTGCCTTATTTCAGGAGGTCTGATTTTCATGTTGAGCGTAAGTTCATATATATCCTTCTTAAGCTTTACAGCGTCACCCTAAGAGCATGGCTAATGTTGATCCAGACCCGTAATGTGATTCAAGCGATGGAGTATTACGAAGTGGACGCAATGTTCACTTTCACCGTCGGCTTGGGCTTCAGTGCTTTCATCATGGCGTATGAGGTCTTGACAATTGCTCTCAAGGCCTGGGCTATGAAGCGTGCTCAGCGCGCACGACCGAACTTCCGCTTCCAATGAAGAGTCCGCGACGTTTTTTTGTTTTGATACCCCTTTACACTTCTGAGGCTTTTTCTGTTTCATGGAATATACGGAGTCAATTGCTTGTGAATTCTTCATGACATAATAATCCCTGCAGAGATACCCTGGGAAGGATAGTTCCTTGGACAACCTCGGGACATAATATTTTGCGATGTTGAATGTGTGAATGGAATTAATGTGGTAATAATGGTTTTGATTGGGACTTGACGTTCTAATCCCCGAGATATATTGAGATATATGCACAGATGTTCGGAATTGCCTTGGAAAGTATCGAGATATTCGGATTTAGTAGCTTAATGCCGAGCCGGTTCAAAAGGGCTATGAGGGGCAAGTGGAGTCACAGAAGAGAAAGACACAATTGGCGAGTCCGATTGGAAGGAAATGAGAATTGAAAGACTTTGAAGAGTTTGATTGGAAGAAATGGTAGAAGACCTCACTCATCATTGTACAACGCCCGATACCCCCCATAGTACTCCGTACATTTATAAGCAATCAACCCCTCTAGAGATCTACAATTCGACACAAACTTGTAAAATCTTCATCTTTCCATTCAATCCCCCTTTTTCAAAATGGCTTCCAACCCTCCCGCTGCCTGCTGTGCCTCTGGTTTCAAGCACGAAGGTACACCCACTGGCGAGACCAAGAACATCAACGGAGGTAAGAGGAAATTGCCTCAATTCACTCGAGACCAACCATTGTTAACCAAGCTGTTCTCCAGTCGATACCTATATCGTCTATCCTAAGAACAATAAGACCCCCGAGAAGGCCATTCTCTTCCTGACCGATATCTTCGGCATCTTCACCAATGCGCAGATCCTCGCCGACGAGTACGCCAACAATGGCTACCTGACCATTATCCCGGATCTTTTCCAGGGCGACAAGATCAACCCCAGCGACATGGCGACTGGCAAGGCCGACCTGCCCGCATGGCTCCCCAATCACCAGCCCGCGAACGTCGAACCCGTTATCGACTCGACTCTTAAGTATATCCGTGAGACTCTTGGCGTCAAGAGGGTCGGCGCTGTTGGCTACTGCTTCGGCGGTAAGGTATGTAATTATAGACCAGACCTGAAATTCAAGGATCCGAAACATTTGAAACCCATTGGTGCTAACAATTCTTTGTTTAGTACGTCTGCCGCAACCTCAAGCCCGGCCAGATTGATGTTGGTTACACTGCGCACCCTTCGTTCATCTCCCACGAGGAACTCAGTGCCATCAAGGGTCCCTTTTCTATCGCTGCTGCTGGTAAGTTGATGTTTGCCATGGGTTTAGAAAAAAGCATCAATGGCTAATTGTGCATGTATTAACAGAGATCGACTCGATCTTCACTACCCAGCTTCGCCACGAGTCCGAGGAGATTCTCATCAAGGCTGGTCAGCCGTGGCAGATCAACCTGTTCAGTGGTGTCAGCCACGGCTTCGGTGTGCGCGCCGATCTGAGCGACCCCAAGCAGAAGTGGGCTAAAGAGCAGGCCTTCTGCCAGGCTGTCGCTTGGTTCAACCAGTACCTGTAAATAAAGAGGATCTTGCATATGTAAATATCAGATAGTGTCTCCACCCCCATTTGATGTCTGATGATTAGACAATCTCATTCTAGCCAGTACAGAGTAAATTAAGATAATTTTCTCACACTACACTCCAGCCCTGGAAGACTGTCTATCCGACATCCGCTAGTTTACTGTTGCGCGGTTGGTCTTTGTCGCGGAGCGTAACTTCGCGGACAAGTCGCTTTAATGATCCGATTAGTCTCCCTTGACCTTTCTCTTCAAATTTGATATTTCATTTAGGTTGTTTCTAACCTCGAAATTCGGAGATTTATTCGTTGCCGGTTAGGTGCGGGCTTCCTGTATCTGTCTTTCGATTCCCTGACGGGATCGCGTGCGCCTTGTGAGTTATCCCTGGGACCCCGGAAATTCGACTAGGGAAACAGAAACTGATTGATCTTTCTTCTAGTCATTAATTGTTTGATCCGCAATCTGACATTTCAATTTAATTTGTTAAATCTTCATCACGGCTTCGACCGCATATCCTCTCCTCCAAAGTCGTGGTATATACCGACTTGCCAGCCCAACTTTACCACGGCCGCCCTGAGTGGTTTCGTCACTACATTTTGTTGGAAAGTGATAATAAACGAAATATCAGCAATCAAAAACCATGGCGACTCCCGCTGCTTTACCTCCGTTGCCCTTCAATCCTGGTCGGATAAGAACATACCTTTTCCGACTGCCATTGTTCACTCGGCTGGTGCTGTTGATTATTCTGGTCTTCTGGCTGCTTGAATTTCAATCTGTGTGGGGTGTTATACAATGGGGTGCATTGATCCCAGAGGAGATTAATCTGGGGACTAGTATGTTTGATTCCGTCTCGAAAGAGCATATTGGGTACATGCTAACTTAACGGTATCACCAGTGTACCGACTTAACACCTATCCCTTCATCCATACAGGCTTCTTCCATGCTTTCCTTAATGCCGCAGCGCTCACACCGCTGCTGGAGCGTTTTGAGGCCGAGCATGGCACTTTGACTGCTATTGCGTTGTTTGTTGGACGTGAGTGCTATGATAAAACCTAATACTCGTTGCTATTTTGACTAATTTTGCATATTTTAGCTCTCTCGACTGTCCCTGCTGGGCTTTACATCTTGGTTGAGAGGTTTATTCTACACAGAAATACCTCGGTGGTTGGCGCAAGGTAGGCTTTAGATTAACAAGTTGGATGTTTCGGTTACTGACCTGAATCTAGTATCTGGGTCTTCCTGCTTCTTGGTTCGGAAGCCATCAAGACCTACAAGTCTCACCCTAACTTCAGGTAAGCATCACTGGGAAATAAACTGCTCCAATCTTACTAACGCTCTTCAGTCTTGGCCCGTACAAGATTCCCACCTGGACTTCACCCCTCTTCGCGTGTATTGTTGTATCCATCTTGATCTCGAACGTGAGCTTCCTCGGTCATCTCTGTGCGATTCTTGTTGGCTATCTCCGTGAGTTCCCTTTTTCCGACTTTCCCTTTCCCACTGCTAATCCTCGTTAGTTGGCCTCGGATACCTCAAGGTGTTCGTGCCCCCTGAGAAGGTCCTCCGCTGGATCGAGGGCAAGCTGAACCTTCTGGGGCGCTTGCCTCACTACGTCTCCGTCGACCAGAAGACCTATGGTCGCTATGGAGTTCTCCCAACCACCAACTCCGCCGGCGCCAATGGCACCCAAACACCCATGAGCTACTTGGGATCTACCCAGCGCCTGGGAGCCTGATCCCAGTATTGATGCATTCTTCATTTCCCATTTTAATGTATATTTTTCACTATAGTTTTTTTATATTGTTGCAGGCTCGGGGAGGCGGGGGGACATTGGATAATAGCATAGCGTGTGCATACTCCCACTTAATTTGCGCTGTTGGTCTTTATCGTTCGGTGTAAATTCCACTTCTCCGCGCATAAACAAGCTCTCGATCTCCACTACTTGTAAGACTCCAAGTTCAGTCCAATTATTCCACTCCTTTAATAGCTTCGCCTTCGCGGCACGGGAACTCATTTCCCGATGGTCAATAGTCAATGGCGTTGAAAAGTGAGCAAACACCCTGGAATACCACCTGTCCTTCCTGGCAGCACCGGAAACCCCATACTAACAAGATGCCAGCTGCAATCCGCAACTTGCGGAATAACCCCAACCTCCTCTTCGTTCGCCTTCCAAATCTCCTATCATTTATCTGCATTGTTGTCGGCGTTGTCTGGCTACTTCTCCTGCCGTTGAACGAGTACTCCCGACAAACCTACATCTCCGAGAATGCGCTCCTGCCGGGCCAAGTCCACGCGTATTTCACGGGAAGTGAGCAGAACATCTTCCGAGGTTATCAGAAAGAGTTGGAAGGATTGTTGAATGATGGACAGGCGAGAGGCGGTCAAAAAGATGAGGCGGAAGTGACAGCGGCGTAGGTCGAAAGAACCCAGCACAACCTGGACTATTCGCTGATACTCCAACAGGGTTTCGGACAAGTTGCAGTCAATTCTACAAGCGGCGGGGCTTAAAGTCGCCACGCAAAAATACGAATATACCTCCGCTGGGGTTACGCACCAGGGAGAGAACATTTATGCTATTATCCATGCGCCGCGCGGTGATGCCACGGAGGCAATTGTACTGGTTACGCCATGGCAGACGGCTGATGATAAGTTGAACCTGAATGGTGTCACTCTGGCCCTGACCTTGGCGAGATATTTCAAAAGTGAGTTTCGTCGTTGCGCTTCTCTAGTCGGATTGCTCACAATTGATGCTAGGATGGTCATTATGGTCCAAGGATATCATCTTCCTAATTACCCCAGACAGCAAAAGTGGAACTCAGGCTTGGATCGATGCCTACCACGATATGCACCCGGCTTCAGTACAGCCACTTCCTTTGAAGAGTGGAGCATTGCAAGGAGCACTGGTCATCGAATACCCCTTCGATCACCGGTTCCAGTCGCTCCATATTGTATATGATGGGGTCAATGGCCAACTCCCCAACCTCGACCTGTTCAACACGGCTGTTGCCATTGCAGGGGGGCAGATGGGTATTGGGGCCAATCTCCAGGAAATGTGGGGCCACGACGATAGCTATGAGCATCGTCTGCAGACCATGTTCCGTGGTATGACCAAGCAGGGTCTCGGGTATGCAACTGGCGCACACAGCAGCTTCATGCCGTACCATATCGACGCTATCACCCTACAGACCAAGGGCGAGGGATGGGAGGATGAAATGGCACTGGGCCGGACGATCGAGTCTCTTTGCCGCAGCTTGAACAACTTGCTGGAGCACCTGCACCAGAGCTTCTTCTTCTACCTGCTCATGCAGTCCAACCGTTTTGTCAGCATCGGCACCTATTTGCCCAGTGCGATGCTGATCGCTGGAAATTTCACTATCATGGCAATTGCCCTCTGGATGCGCACCGGTTACTACGCCGAAAGCAAAGCAAACGCCAAACCCAAGAACGAGAAATCAACCACTGAGGACAAATCCAAGATTAATAATATCGCAGAACGACACCTTGCTCTACCACTTTCGCTTGTTGTTGGACTCCATCTACTCGGCCTTGTCCCGCTCTGGGTCTTTAATAATATCTTCCATCAAGTAAGATCTGCCAGCTTACAAGCACAATAATGACAGATGCTAACAAATCTACAGTACTTCACAATTACCACGTACATATTTGTGATCGTGGACCTCGTTCTTCCGCTCTTCCTCGCCGCAATTCTCTCCAACGGCTTTGGTCTAGCAAAACCAATCATTCCCCAACAGTACCACCTCATAAAATCCTTTTCCCTCCTCCTACTGGGTCTCTCCCTCTCAACCCTCGCCACCCTCAACTTCTCTCTTTCATTCATGATCGGTCTACTCTGCGCGCCACTTAGCTTCGTCACTCGCCTGCGAGGCTCTGCGCCATTCCGCTTAGCAACTTCCACTCTGGGTCTGGTCCTTCTCAACCTCGTCTCCCCGCCAACTGTTCTCCTTGGCGTCTGCTGGTATATGGGTGTCTCTGTCGAGGCTGTCCTCACCCAAGCGGCTTTCGGTTGGGATGTTTGGGGTATGTGGACCCAGGTCGTTGTTTGGTGTGTGTGGTGGCCAGCTTGGTTGATTGGGTCTGTGTTGCTGGGGTCGTCGATGTTCTGATTATATTGTTGTACATTTTTGTCCCATGCGTTCTGCATTGATCCAATGATATAAGTATTAATAAATACCATTCCAGGAATCTACATACTATGGCTATCATAAAGAAACAGGGGCAGGGGTCACAGCAGGGACTCCCTGTGGTTGACGTTCAAAGTCCATATACCAATGCACTTCGAATACCACATCCAAGACTAGAATGCCAACATGCACACTCTTACCACACTTGCTCAACCAAGTCCAAATGCGTGGCTCCTATTTGATATGTTTGATTTGCCACGCCGTACCTGTCTTCAAAGAAGGGAATCGGTTACTAATTCTTACTCTAGGGCCAATTATGATCGAAGAACACTCAGCATTCGACGCCAGAAGGGCCAAGGACAGATTGGACAAAGCACGCCTAACTTGGTATATACCATATCAGAGAGGTCATGCACGACTGATTCGAGCGAACAATGAAAAACATCCCGGATTCTAAATTTCCGATACGACACATTTCCCCAACTCTTTGTTAACCCTTGAACAATACTAACATCTCACATTCATAAACTGCATGAATGTTAGATTGTGCTTGACCAATTCACACCTTTCTTGCCCTAACACGTAGCTAGTGTTCTATTTCTTTCATGCGGTGCCTCTCTCCAGTCTCAATCTCATGTTCACAACTATCTCTATTAATCTATATAAAGAATGAGCCTTGTTACTCGACAAGTGCCTGCATCCTCCAGGTCAACACAGGATGGGTCTCTTTCGAATCGACCTTCTTGCTCTATGGCTTCTCTTACTCCATATGGCGACAGCCGCAGCCCCAGTACCAACCAAAGACGGCTTTTGTTTCAAATATATCATCCAGGGTTATGATACATGTGCACTGATTGCCCAAAAGCACGGTATCACCGCGGCTGACATTGAAAGCTTCAATAAAGACACCTGGGCATGGCTGGGATGCAGACAGCTATACCAGGGTGACTTTATCTGTCTCAGTGCCGGAAAGCCTCCTATGCCAATGGCCCTTCCTCAAGCCACCTGCGGCCCACAAGTACCCGGAACAGTACGACCATCCAAATGGAGCGACCTCGCCGGTTTGAACCCGTGTCCATCATCTAAATGTGTAAGTAAACCTCATACCCCGTTCTATAGGACAAATCCTAATAGCCAACAGTGCGCATTCTGGGGCCAATGTGGTGTCTCTGAACTATATTGCCAAAAATCAGGTTACCGTGCACCTCCAGCTGGTCCTACGGCCACCGTGAAAGGAGCAACAGAAGCTCCGAAATCCCCATCTACCAAAACAAACGCAGCCGGGAAACCCGCCGGCACGGGCGCCAACTCCAAATCTAGCGCCCAGTCGAAGACTACCAAGGCTAACACGCTCAAGGTTACGACGACTTCCAGACCAACTACCACAAAAGCGACGACTTCTAAAAAATCGACTACAAAAACGACGAAGTGGACGCCTGAGCCAACTGTATCCCAATACCCCTGGAACCCACCCTGGCAGATCACGATGTACAGCGATCTGAACTGCAAGGGCGACTATTACCATCTTGAGGGATATAACCACAAATTCCTCGATGAAAAGGGCTGCTTGGCTCTCCACGGGGGATCAATAGCAAGTTCACTGAGACGGGCGTTACCTGTAAATGGTTCACGGAAAATGGTCTAACGTGGGAAAGTTGTGATGTGGGAACACTCAAAAAACCGCTGTCGTGGAATGTCAAGAATGGGTTTTGCAAGGCCTTCAGTAAGGCTAATTGTGATTGCTCTGATAATTGGAGTTTGTATTATCGCTCTCAGGGGTGTTATAATGGGGCGAAGAAAGATCATCTGCCTCAATGGGAGGCTCTGCAGTGTTCGATTGATGGCTTCTAGAGCTGTGTATGTGGATATACTGTGTCGAATGAAATTGTTTTAGTTTGTTATCTGATTCTATGCATGTTATATTCTTCGTATTCTGCCTTGGCTTTGGATTATGAGGAAAGTAGATATGTCGAAGACAGATGAAACATACATATTCTGCGGGTTACAATCGAAAAGATGCCGAAGTCGGGATAAAAGACGACACCATTGTATTCATTATAATAGAACTGAGAACACAAGTGAGATAAGAGATCTATGCAGCCCAAACATCCTTACCAGCACCCTCAATCCAATGACCAAGCTGGTTTACACCAGCATCCCAGTCCTTGAGACGGTTTCGCATGCCATCAATCTGCTTCATATCCAGAACCTTGGGTTGAACCCAGTGGATCTGTGCAACCTGAGCAACCTGGTCAATAGATCCACGCAGCAAGCCCAACGACAAAGCCTTCATAACAAGATGCTCGATCTCATCCGGCTGCACCTTAGTCTCGGATGCGATAGCCTGGAAAGAGAGAGAGCGGTCGTGGGGGGACGGTGGAAGACCATCTCCGTCAGTGCCGCGAGTGAGATCTTCTGGTACAGGAATACCCGGTGTGACTCCAGCAGCTTGTTCTTGCTGATATTACCGGCCAACACGTCGTAGGCAGTCAAGTCGCCCCGGTTGAAGGCGAAAAGAAGCTCGCGGAGCCAGTTGTGCGGGGTCTGGGTCAGCGAATCCAGAATCGGGTGCAGGAGGAGCTCTCCGAAGTTGTAGATCGTCTCTGATACCAGGGCAGCTACGCTGAGGTTGTAGGCGCGGGATGCGCGTTCGGTCTCGGTGAGTTCATCCAGGTTAATGCAGGCGAGATAGAGGAGGGCGTTTTTGTAGAAGGAGGCGAATTCTTGCTTAGCCTGTTGGAGAGGGGTGTTAGCCTTAATTCTGAGTAGGCGAGTCAGGCTGAGACAAGGTTATTTAAACCACGTACATGGTAATAGTCCGCGTTCACTTTGTAGAATGATGCGTGCACGACGGTCTCGACCGAGTCGAACGTGTCTAGCACCCGCTGGCAGGTGGCCAGGTCTGTCTGTGCTCCTTCCAGGTCCTTCAACGACAGCTTGACGTTAGCCACGTCAGCGAGGGCATAGACATATGCATCCTGTGTATCGGCCGTATCCGTCTTGCTGGCGAGGGATGTGAGGAAAGCCAGTCGTTCTTGATCATCTAGAGGGAGATGATTAGCTTACATCAACACATCCGAATGCTCATTGTGGTAGATTTTGGAGCTTCCGGGCTAGACTGTGGACCACCAACCTGCGCATTCTGTTGCTGCCATCAATCCCAGAGACACAAACTTGAGCTGATTGATCCGGTCGGCGAAACTGAGGACGAATGTCTTAAAGAGGGCTAAGCGATGGGGAGCACTCTCTGGCATGCGGAAGAACTCGACCAACGAGTCTGTAAGCTGATGCCATAGTTTGCGCTCCCAGTAGTCTTCGAAGGTGAGGAAATAGGGTTGTGTCTCTGGGCTTCCTTGTGCTTGCTGCTCGAGCAAGAAGTCGGGGATCTTGGACTCCATGGTTGGAGGTCTGGGTGTTGTATGAGTTAAAGTCGCTGACAGGTGACGAGATTCCAGACTAAGAGACAAAGGTAGGTAAACTCGGACGGAATTGGAGGTGTTGATGGTTGATGCGGACTGCAAGAGAGCTGATATGATGTCCTCACGTTGGCAGTTCGGAGAGCTCTCACTCACCGCCCTAGCTTCCACGGTCTTCGATGCTTTGCTGTTTTAACCTCAGTCGTCTGCTTGGATATTGATTCTTAATTTTTATATCATACAGCTAGGCATGAGAAGATAGCATTAGAGGATGTGGTCCTAGTGTGGTCCTAGCATATATGCTGTCTGTTGGAGATTTCTTCCGGTTATACTACAAAACACATATAATATATATATCGGACGCCTATGGGAGGTTTGACCCGTCTTCTCCATTGCCATTGTATCCAATCCAGACTCTACATGTACCAAAGAACAACCAGCAGGTTTGATACGAATGAGAAGCTCAAATGAAACAAGATAGCATGCAGAGCGAAGAGCCGCTTGCACTGGCCTCCTATTAGAAGTAACAAGCAATTGGTTAAACGAGGACAGAGGATATGAAATAAGACGAAACAACTGTTTCCCCAAATCAGAAAGTAAATATCAGTTACGCGCAGCGACGAGTCAAAACAACTTTGAGGAAACGGGCATAAAATTACTTCCATCTATGTACCCAAAAAGAGAGGCATAAAAGAGCAGTCGTCTGTGATAAAACAAGGAGAGAGGAGATAATGCACAAGTATGATTTATATAAAAAAAAGCAGATCGACCGAACTGACGACTCCTACGCTTAGCCCTAATTATATCACGAACTTAGATCATGGACAAAACGGTTTCCCTTGAGCGAAACCAATGGATGCCATGAAGGAAATGATGATTTTCAGACTTGGTAATCAAATGCATGAAGCCCTTGAATCACACATTGAGATGTAGTATAGACGCCGAGGACAAGCTTCGAGGGATCCCAGACATATGAAAGTGGAGAACTACATGGTGTACTCAAGTGACCTTGAAATAACTTTTCTAGAGCGATGCGGAAGGACACTCCAACTACAGTGAAACAAATATTACAAACTAAGACAAGACTGATATAAGGTTGCCCCAAAGGGAAAAGGTATTTTGTATTTTGTAAAACCCCGACCACACCCCAGCTAGGAACATGGAATCATAGATGCTAACGAAAAGCGACACGCTTAAGCGTCATCGACGGTGGTGGTGTGGAGGCCCTTGGGGTCCTTGACGTTGACGGCCTGGACGTGGGAGTAGAGACGCTCCTTGGCGTTCTCCTCGTCGTTACGCTTGCGGGAGATGCGGACACGGATACGGAAGGGAACACCCTTGATACCAGCCTCCCAGACCTTCTTGTTCAGCTGGGGGTCGACGCGGACGTCCTTGGTACCCTATTGTAAATTGAGCATGTCAGCGTCCCAGATTCCAAGGATCGGAGGGGAGGGAGAGCATTGCTCAAACTTACCATAGCCTGGGTAGCGAAGGCACGGATCTCCTTGATGGCCTTAGGAGCACGCTTCTTGAAGCTGACGCCGTGGCACTATAATTCCGGAAAAGAAGTTACAATCAGTCTTCCGCCCGAATGCCATCTGCAAGAGAAAACTCTGCGCGATGAATGTTTCTGGTCTTTCGGCCATAGTGGACTTCATAAAACTAATTCTTCTTTTGTGTTCCGGGTGCGGATATGTGTGGATGCGAGAGAAGACTTTTTCAAGATCTCCTCTCGGCTGTCTCTATCGCGAAGCAGACAAAAGACAAAAATGCCATGTCCTACCTGCAGATTTCTCCACAGGTCATGGTGAGGCTGGTGGGTGGTAGCAGAAGAGGGGATTGGTTTCCCATTCCACCCTCTACGCACACACACACCAACCCACACCACACACATTCTTTTCCGTAACAAATTCCATTTTCAGGAAAGATTCTTGTTCTCTGTCCAATATATGCCTCCAGAACTGAATCGTATTCGAATCGTCGCAGGTAGACTTGGGAAAGGGTTTGTGTTCAACATACTCGCTTGTGCAGGTTGATGGTGTACTCGCGAGACACCACATCGGCGATAGCCGAGCGCTTGTTGCCGGTCTTGACGTTGGACATCTCTGCGGAGAAGGTTAGAAGGGGATTTCGGAGTGGTGAATGAGAAGACTGACTGAAGGGGTGGTCGACGGTGGGCGGAAGTGATCGATTGACAGAAGGAGAGTTCGCGGTCAATTTTCGAGTGAAATTCAGTGTGGTCTCGCTTGACTGTGTGGGATCTGATTGGATGGAGTGGGGCCAGCTTTTAGCCAATGATCGATTGGTGGTGGATATTTGTGCCTCAGGCAGCATAGACCTTATTCAACTATCAAAAGATTCATACATGGTGAATACATGTATTCAAGCCGTTTAAACTATCTCTAGACAGATTTGATACAACTTCTAACAAAGATCTCTCCACGCTCTTCTATATTTCCCCATTACTTCTGGCCTGCACTCACATCGGCGTAAAGGTCAAATCGTCGCTGAGTGGAGATAGGAATTCCACTGCGAATATTTGCAATCGAATCATTATCCAAATCAGCATAAATGATGGTCTCTTTCTCTTCAGCCTCAGCGACAATTTTTGCGCTAGGGTCAGCGACCAAGCTGTGGCCATAGGCATGGTAGGCGGCATTGAGATCACGCGCCGGGCTGCAGAGCGCCACATACGACTGGTTATCAACAGCTCTGGCACGACCAAGGAGCGACCAGTGCAGAGGACCAGTGGTGGTGTTGAAGGCTGCCGGGTAGACGAGAAGGAAAGCGCCCTGGCGGGCGGCAATCATTGCTCCTTCTGGGAAGCGAATGTCGTAGCAGATGGCCAGACCGATCTTTCCATACTCTGGGAGATCAATGACTGTCAACTGGTTGCCAGGTGAAAGGACATCGCTCTCCTTGAACTGAATCTTGCCCGGGATATCAATGTCGAACAGATGCGTCTTGCGGTGAGTGCCGATCAAGGCGCCTGTTGGCGAGAAGACCAACGAGGTATTGTAGTATTTCTTAGTGGAGGGTTCCAGCTCAGGAATACTTCCGCCGACAAGGTATGCATTTGCCTCTACTGCGATGGCCGACAGGGCGTGAAAGGAGGGCGATTGTTCAATCGTAGGAGGAGAGGGGAGGAGGGTCTCGGCATATTTTGGGAAGAAATTTGTGCCATAGGGTGAGTTGAAGCACTCAGGAAGAACGATCAATCGTGCGCCGGCCTTTGCAGCTTCAAGGACTTTGCCCCGAGCATGAGAGAGGTTCGCGGCCTTATCCGCTCCTAGATAATTTGGTCAGCTGGGAGAACATGGGGTAGATCGAGGAGGGATTCAAACCTGACGCGAGCTGGATAAGAGCCAATTTAAGGGGCTGTTTCAACAAGGTAGCCATTGTTAGGAATGTGAAGAAGAAGAGTTGAGGACTGGAATGATATCGGAGTTGCGCATTGCGGGGACGGCCATTTCGCCGATAAGCCGACATTCGACATTATTCGTTCGAATTGTTCATACTTTCTCTCCAAATAATATTCGACTTGATTCGAAATAATTCCATGTAGATATGCTTAGAGCCTTGTCTGGATTTAGATAGGGCAAATGACAATTAGTGATTAATTGGGACATAGTGCTGTAGCTATAATATATATTCTCGAAGTTTATATGGGTATTTTAGGGCTTTTGTTTTTTAGTCCTAGGTGACAAAACAATTTTAGTATTGGGGCAATCGCACTTCGTTCAACTATTGCACGAGAAGAACAACTCCCATTTCAATGACCCTTCACTATGGGCTGCAAGAATACCGAGATACCAAAGCCCAAGCAGAACTGTCAATCATGGGTGTAGGAGGTAGAACCCTTCAGAGATCACTGCTATGGGCTTCCATAGAGATGGAATTGCTCGACTGAATAAAAGGCGAAATGAAACAATCAAGTGAGAATTTGAAAATGATTTCTTTTGCGTCTGTATCATGGAAGTGGAATCATCAGTGTGATTCGACGTAACGTTCGATCTTGGTAGAGATCGAACGAGATAGGGACGTAAATGATCGGAATAACCGAGATTGTTAGTACATTTCGACTCGAAAGCTTTGTATGGCATAGCTACCAAATAGCCCAACACAGAAACCTGGTAAAGAAAAAGATACAAAGTCTAGGGGCATGCAGGTGGAAGGCATGTATCAGTTAAGCATATTTATGTTCCACCCTCGGCCATAGGTATTCCCTAGAGTCGACGTTTCTAAATATAATTTCAGGAGTCTTGTCGAGCGTTCCTTTAGGCTTTCCAAGATTCTTAAGTTCTTTTCCCTATCGCAAGATGGGTGGTTGGATATCAATACTTCATCAGCATTGCCCTCCGAGATAACGTTCAAACAAGTCCTATCAGACTTGCGTTTCCGTTGGAGATACCTCATATGTTGTGAGAGAATCACAAGCATGCCAGATTGTTGTATCTGATTACTGAAGGAATGAAACAATTCAAGGCGTATATAAAAAAGGTGTCTGTACATACATGACGCTAGGGTCCACAGTGATGTCGCTCCACCAATAGGAAAGCGATCAAGGAGACTGACGCAGAGTTCCGCTTAATTCATTCCCATCAGACAGACCGGACTCGTCCACCAGTTAACTACTCTATTTCAGTAACGCGATTTGAAGCTCACAGCTGGCCTTGTACTATGTCATGGACGGAGTCGGAACCCGCCCCAAGGCGTGCTTAACATGTGCCAAGGCGAAAGTCCGATGTTTACCAGAAACCGATGGCCCTTGTCAACGGTGAGTATATAGTTGAATTTTATGCATACAACCTATCTTAATGTGTGTTAGTTGTCGTCGCTTAGGAAAAGAATGCGGAAACCAATTACCCGGAGCCCATCGTCGAGAGAAAAAATCGTAAGTATACATCGCTATTAAACCCCCTAAAGAACCCTCTGACATTTTAGTTAGAGATGTGGCTGCACTCGAGGCTAAGTTAGACCGCATGGTCGCCATGCTGGCAGCTTCGGAACGAAATCACAGAGAGCGGGCAGAAAGCGGCTCAATGAGATCATCATCTGCTGTGGAAGAAAACACCTCTGTACCCGATGACACCGAGGGCCAGCTATTGATGGATGTGTTCTTCAAGAAATTGTTTCCTCTCTTTCCCTTTGTCTTCATTCCCCCGAGTGTCACCGCAGATGAACTACGCCGGGAGAAACCATTCCTCTATCTGAACATCTCAATGGTCGCATGCCAAAACGCTCGACGCCAGCGAGAAATTGTCAATATAGTCCAAGCATATGTGGCCGAGCACATCATCATAAGAGGAGAAAATAGCCTGGATCTACTTCAGGGACTTCTCATTAATGTGGCTTGGTTCATTTCAATCAGTCGTTTCCCACAACACTGTTCTTATGACCAATCTCCCGATGCGCCCAAAATCGACGGGCCTCATGTTGCTCGAAGCACTAACCAGCTTGATACTTTTGCGCACTTACTCGTGGCACAGTCATACAGCTTGGGCCTAAATCAAGGGCTGACTTACCAGAAAAACATGAACTATACCTTGACTCATTTGAAGGAAGCTATGAACGAGGAGCATCCGAATCCCGTGCGCACACTGGAAGAACGACGAACCTATCTTGGGTGTTATTATCTAACTACCATGTATGTATATGACCCCTAGTCTTGCTGGACTCGAGCTAATCATTTAAAGGCTATCAACATGTGTGAAAGACTTGGGACCGATCATTCGCTTTACAAGATACATGGACGAATGCTGCAATGTACTAGATCAGGTCGCGGAATATCCCTCTGATGCCTATCTCGTACAGCTAGTCCGAGTGATGAACCTCACAGAAAAGATTCATCAAACACTATACAACACCGAGCTCCATTCTTTATCAGCCTCATCAGTGCCTCCGCCTCTCGGATTGACCATACGATGGCTTGAGGCTGAACTTGAAGAATTGAAAGCTAGAACGCCGAGCGAGTCACCGTACTCGGGTGAGTATTCTTATTTCCACGTACAATCAATAATGACCTGACGAAAACGACAGCCACCCTTCTAAAACTTCATTACAACACAGTGGAGTTACATCTTTATCGAATATCCCTCAATAACGAACCCTCTGAATCCAACTACGGCGATCATCCTTTGATGCGGTTGAATCTCCTATTCCGCTGCCTGGAAGCGACAACCTCCTCTTTCCAAAGCACTCTCTCCCTCCCATCAGATCTTTTTCCTTTCTTCCCTTTCAGCATCATGTGTCAATTTGGAAAGGCAATCATCACTTTGTCCCAGCTCTTGCTCTACGACCACCCCGGATGGGACCGAGCATACGTGGAAAGTATAATGGACTTCGATCAGACCATTGACCGTATGGACTCCAAGCTCCGAGCAGAACTGCCCTATTTCGAACAGGTTGCAAAAGCTTCTAATGATACTGAACTTCCAGAGATATTTGGAAGAATGGAACTGCGTGCGAAATTGCTTAAAAGGATGCATCGGCGGAGAAAAGAAGCACTAGAACAAAACTCCCTGCAAACCAATGTGCCCCCGATGGACTTCGAGTTCATGATGAATTACCCCCTCGATTTGATCTTTCCCTTTGATGAAATTCCACCCATTCCTGGGCAATATAGTTGATGGGCCCACTGCAGTGGATCGGATGGAGTCCATCGCCGAAATCCAGCAGATCTAGCGATCTCGATCTGTTTGTACATGTTTCGATATAATGATGATTTATGATTTATCTCTAGCTTCAACTATAAAATCTCGACAGTAGTAAAGAAATTGGTCTAGGATGCTACACTTAGCACTTTTCTATCTAGTCTGCACAAAAACACACGCTGTGGTTGCATCTCAACCTCAAATCCCCATACTTCAAACCATGTTTCCGATGCCATCTCAAGCGATAGCCTGATCCCAAGACAACCAGAAATATTAGATTGAGCGACCAATCTAACCCATGAAATATACATATCTATAAATTTAAATTAATGTGGAGAGAGCTTTGGCACTGGGTCTTGCCAAGCAGACGGGTCATGTTGATCGGCGATGCGGTTCATAACAAAGGCGAGCGACTTTTTCCAACTTCTACAAGTCGCATTTATAACTATTTATCTAGATCCGAGTCCCTCCATCTCCCAAAGTCGAGTACATCCAACTTCCAAAAGGCATAAGCACACAACCAGGTAAAAATTACAGCACCATAGCCCCGACCATAGCAGCCATCACGGCCACGACACCAGCCGCATTAGAGGCAGGTGTAGCGGCAGCGTTGGGAGCGGACGAGCTGGTCGCGGCAGCAGAAGTGGAACTAGAACCACTAGCCTCGTCGGAGGAGGCGGAAACCTTCAAAGAAGTTGCGAGAGCGGCAAGACCAGAAGGAGAAGCCGTGATCATGCTATCATCAGCCTGAGTGCGGGACGCGGATGAAGAAGAAGATGCGGAAGACGAGTCCGATGACTCGGAAGTCTGCGTGGCGGAAGCGAGCACAATATCAGTTGACGATGCAGTCGATGCCACGGTGGTTGTAGAGGCAGCCTGTTTGCCATTGGGTCCATAGCCCTCGATGTAGTCGGGAGTCAGGGTTTCGGTTCCGCTGTATTGAGGACATCCGGGTTGGGTGGTTTTTGGGGGAGCGCGGCCGCCGCCGCAGTCGAGGAATGAGCAGATTTCGCCGGTGTCTGGGACGTACCAGAGGTAGCTGGCGTACCAAGTCTCGATTATGACTTTGGAGGAGACGCAGCCTTCGAGGTCAGTGCGGGCCGTGGCGAAGCTGGCAAGGCTGGTGAGGCCTAGGAGGAAAGAAAGAGTGACTGGTTTCATTTTGGATTTTAAAAGAGTGACAGGGCAATTAAATGAATGGGAAAAATATAATCAAAAGAGAAAAGTAGAAGAAGGGGGCCATTTATTAAGTAGAAGAATCAGTTTAAGCCTTTTACGGGGGTCGGGGTCTCGGCTCTTAAAAAATGAAGAGCCTCAGGGGTTCTTAGCTTCATTAGCTTACTTGTATTTTATTTGAGAAGAAAATTCATGTTTTTGAATTCGTTTTCACAGAAATACAATGTAGACCCCATTATCTTCACTCAAAAAAAAGGAAAATTCGACTTGGAGCCCGTGGACCAGGGAGACACTCACCTGGGCCCTAACTGGGCTCAAAAGAGAGAAGACCGCCATTGGACCGGTGACACACGGCGTGAAGACAGGTCAACTTTGTCTTGGAACCCGTGGGCCCAGGGAGATACTCACCCAAGCCCCAACAGGGTTCAAAGGAGAAAGAGACCGATGCCAATCGGAAGCTGGCCCACTGCGCGAAGCCGGGCCAACTTTGCTCAAGGGGTCGATGTACAAAAGAAAACACTAACAGAAAGCAAGAGATCAAAAAGAAACCGAATCACAGTAGAAGACGCAAATGCAAACCTAGGCCATGCGCTTGGACATAAACATACACCCCCGAAAGGAAGAACAAAGATGGAGAACATATGGAGAAGACATGAAAAAGAGATAGAAAGAAATCTAATTCTTGATCTCTTGGATCAGCTTGTGGAACTCTTGCAGTCTCTCACCCTTCACACGAACTGCCCAATGAGTGAGCTGGCCAGTCTCGTCGGGCACCAGGAATTGAACGCTGTTAGTAGTGAGCTTGTAGTCAAACTCTTTCTTCAGGAGAATGTTCAAGGTGACATTTCCACTCGGCTCAGCACGGGCGACGATTCGCGCACGTCCAGTAACAGGGTGCTTCAGAAGGCGGACGGGGCCGGTTCCTTTGGGCAACCAGGCCGTTTCAAGTTTGAAAACCCGGGATTTATCTTCGAACACAACAGTTTCTTCTTCCTCGCCGCCATTGCCCTTTGTCAGATCGAAAATTTCACCAGGCTCACCATCCTCATCTTCAGTGCCGGTGGGAGTGGACTGAGCAGGAGGGGCCGAAGGAGCGGCTATCGTGGGCTGTGGGAAGGAATTGGTCGAAGGAGCCATCGGTGCTGGAGTAGAGACCCGCCCAAACAGACTAGCGCCTGTAGAAGGAGGGGGAGGCGACGGCTTCGTCTTTTTTGCGGAAGAATCATCCTGGTCACTTTCATCCGCAGAGGCCTTGCGTTTGGGCGAGGTAGGCTTGGGTCCGAAAATGTTCTGCGAGGCTGGCTTGGGCCCGCCAAAGATGTTCTCGGGGGCCTTCACCTTCTTTGGGGGGGAATCATCATCGTCATCGCTTTCATCCGCAGAGGCCTTGCGTTTTGGCGAGGCCGGCTTGAGCCCACCGAAAATGTTTTGAGAGGCTGGGACTGGCTTACTGGATGATCCGAAAACCGAAGAGCCGCTGGAGGAGCTTGGAGGGCCTGCGCCATATGCACCAAAGAAAGGGGGTGGGGATCCAGGCTTGCCCCCAAAGAGTGCGGCATCTGCAGGTGAACGCTTGGCTGTTCCGACGAGAGTTGAGAATTCGGAGGAGTCCGGAGATGATTGAGGGAATGGGGGTTGGTTTTGCGAGGAAGACACAGAGGCACCGTTTGCGCCAGCAGAAGCAGACAACGGAGCGTTGAAGCGCGCAAATATGGGAGGAGTAGGATTGATAGTACCCCCAAGGTGCTGTGCAGGGGTGGCAGGGCTGGCAGACGTAGCAGGCTCCTTAGCGCTTTGTGGAGCAGTGTTATCATCGCTATCAACGAACTTGAAACCTTCGCCAGGAACGAAAACGGCACGCTTTTTAGACGCGGCTTCGAGTTCAGCGCGCTTCTTGCGTTGGCGTTCCTCGTCTTTGCGCTCCCACTCCTCCTCGTCATCCTCATCGGAGTCGAACTCTTCGGCCTTTCTTTTGGCCTTTGCATCAGATAATGTCTTGTCCGACTGAGACTTGAACTGTGCCGCAAAATCGGCGCCAGAGGCTGAACCAAACTTAGGGATTTGGAAAGCAGATGGGGTGGTCGAAGTGGCCGCACCATCGAACTTGGGAATTTTGAAAGCAGGGGCAACGGAAGTGGCTGCACCATTGAACTTAGGAATCTCAACAGCAGCCGAAGCTGGAGCCGGACACGGAGACGAAAAGCCACCAATATGGGCGGGAGAAGCGCTAGCGGAACTAGTCAGCGGAGCGGGAGTCGAGGTGGCAGAAACGACGGGAGCAGCGGAAACAGGAGCCGCAGGCGGAGTTGAAGGACCAGCAACCGCGGCGGAAGAAGCACCAACAGAAGTAGCCGCCGGAGCAGGAGCAGGAGCCGGAGAGGAGAAAGACTGGGCAAACTTGGAGGAAGTAGTAGATCCACTCGAAGGCTTGTTGGGGGAAGCTGTGCGTTTCTCATTCAAACTAGGAGGTGACAAAGTTGGAGGTGTCGGGATCCGAGGAGGTGCGTATCCATCAGATGCTTCCTTGGCAGCATCATCTTCATTGATGGCGGCGCGTTTGGCCTTTTCGACAGGGTTGATAGACCCAATAGGGAGACCAAGTTCACGGCGAAGTTCAGCATAAAGAATGAGGACTTCGTCGATATCATCAGTCATGGGGTTACATTTGGCGACCTCGCGCTTCAACGACTCAGTCAGGGCGCCGATCTTCATGAGAAGGTTGGCTCGCGTTTGAACCTCGCCCGTCGGATCCTCAGGGAAGAGACGTTTGAGGGGCATGTCGTCTGAATCTTTAGGTAAAGAATAGTCAATTGATACAGTAGACTCAGGTCGAGGGAAAAGACTGTCAGGGTTTGAGGCAGTGAAAGTCTTGGAGATAGTAGAAGTTGAGGAGGAGGGGAGAGAAGAAGGTAAACAAGACGAGCTTTTATGGTCGCGTGGAGACTGCACGAACGACACCTGAGGAGTTTTCGTCGCTCCTTCCGTCTGAGGTTCAGTAGACACCTTAGGGCCAGCAGTGAATGGGGTGGTCAGGGAGCTATTGACAGGTGCAAAGTTATTCTCTTTAGTCTCTTTATTGTGGTCAACTGCTGTAGTTGCACCAAAGGGAGAGGCGCTCGGTGCCTGGGGTTTTGCAGCCTGCTCTGTCGGCTTTGGCGCGAATGGGTTACTAGATGCATTCTGCCCTGACAGGTTCGCAAATGGATTGACAGGTGTCGCCGGGGCTGTCTTTTCTTCCCCAAGCTTCGACGGGGCAGGAGACGCCCCAAACAGTGAGCTGAATTGCGAGGTCTCTGCAGGCACAGGAGTTTGCTCTCCACTCGTAACTTTCGGCGTGAAAACACTACTCGCCGCTGATTGTTCCTTTTCAGTCTCTGCAGGCTTTGTGGCCACAGATGTTCCAAACATGGACTTGAACGGCTGGTCCGCCGCAGGCTTTGCAGCTGTTTCCTCAGCAACCGGCTTTGGCGAGAACATACTGCCAAATGCTGGCGAAGCCGTCTGCTCTTTTCCAGCCTCCGAAACCTTCGATGCTGCAGGTGTACCAAACATGGACTTGAATGGCTGGTCCACTGTGGGCTTTGCAGCCGCGTTCTCCACAGCCGGCTTTGGCGAGAACATACTGCCAAATGCTGGCGAAGCCGTCTGCTCTTTTCCAGCCTCCGGAACCTTCGATGCTGCAGGTGTACCAAACATGAACGGTGATGCCTCGGCAGCCTTTCCAGAAGTTTCAGTTCCAGTAATCTTCGGTGAGGAGAAACCGCCAAATGAACTTGGTGCTGACAACGTCGCAAACGGATTGCTTGCCTTTGGTTCTTCTGCCGCTGGCTTGGGCGCGAAAAGATTGCTAGCAGGCCCTGAGGCCTGAGAGCTGGAGGTCGACCCGAAAAGAGCACCAAAAGGCTTAGCCGCCTCTGCGGGCTTTGCAGGAGTTTGCTCCGCTGCAGTTATCTTAGGGGCAAACAGGTTGGTGCTGCTGGCTGAAGCCTGCCCAGAGAGATTCGCAAATGGATTGCTAGCTGTTGGCTGCTGTTTCTCTGCATCCGAAGGTTTCGAGGCGGTGGGCGTTGATCCGAAAAGAGCCTTGAAAGGTTGGGTCTCCGCAGGCTTGTCGGTTGGTTTCTCAGGCGCAGTTGCCTTTGGTGCAAATGGATTGCTGGCCAAATTCTGTCCTGAAAGGTCCGAGAATGAGTTTCCAAGGGCCGACGGACCTGCGGCTGGTTTCGGTGCAAATATGGACGCTCCCTTGGGCTTAGTATCGGGCGAAGTTTGCATGCTGTCATCTGCAGGCGAAGTCATATGTGTTGTAGACTGCCCAAATAGGGCGGGCTTTACTGGAGTGCTTGTGTTCTGTTGTGCTCCGAATCCACCGAACGACGGAGTGGACTGGTTTCCGGCACTGAATCCTCCAAAGCTGAATCCATTGGTAGTTGATTGAGAATTTCCGCCAAATGATGTGTCTACAGAAAAGGGATTGCTCGGTGGTGCAGATCCAAATGAAGTAGGGCCCGCACCGAAGCTGAATGACGCCTGACCACCCGCCTGGCCGTTAGTGCCCGACGAGAACATTCCACCCTGACTGGGCCCCGAGCTAGCCCCGGGGAAGCTCTGACTCTGAGTCTGACCAAATGTGAACCCAGTCGACTGGGTGGGTGCTGGTGCCGCGGCCGGGGCCACGGATGCGAAAGGGTTGAACGAAGCCGCATCAGATGCGCCTCCACCGGTTGTGGGAGTTGGAGCCCGGCGTCTGCGAACATCTTTGATTCTAAAAATTCCAGAAATATCTTCGGTCAGTTTGTGGTCATCTGCTGATATTTGATCTATCACTCACTTTCTGCTGGCTAGCTGGGCGGCGGTCGCCCGATGGGGTTTGTCATCGGGGGTGCTGGCCATCCCGAAAGAACCCTCGTCATCCTTGGACCCCTGAGGGCCTTGAGCTCCACGTTTCAACATATTAAGCGTATGAAAAGCGCTGTTGGTTGTATGCTTGCAAGCTCGAACTGCGCGAACTGCCTCGTATCCCTCGGAATCTATGCGAGTTGGTTTAAAGTCCTTCAATCAAGCCCAACTATTATAATGGACCTCGATATGATGTCGTGATGAGTTTCCTCACTTGCGGCAATCGAAGCAGGGAGCTTTCGGTGTGCGGCGAGGCTCTTTCCAACTCCGCAGCGACTCCGAAAAGCAACGGCTTCAATGAAGATTACCCTCCACTTATATCTTATCAATCGTGGATAGAGCAAAACCCAATTTGTCTCTAACGTCTTTGATGTGGTTGTGTTGTAGTGTTCGCGGTCCTCCGTGACACGTTCGAGATCCGTCGCGCAGGAAGCCGTCAGCACAACGAATGAGCTCTCGAGTTGGGAGAAGTGAGCTCGAAGACAAGTCGAGGACGGATTAATGTCCCTGATGATATTTGCCTTCTGATTTCGATATGTCCCACAAAGCAATGAAGGGAGGCACGACTGTTATTCTCTCTCTCTCTTTTTTTTTTTGCAGGAAGCATCCAAGGCGGAAAAACCAGATCACGTGAGAGATCTTGGCAATCAAGGTCCATGCTCCATGACTTTACAAGCTATTGTTTTGCCTGCATTGGATAAAGGGGGGTGTGATATGGGATTCTCAGAATTGATCACAATTGTCATGATTTCTTTGTGCAAGTTGATCATTCTCTAGCAAATGAAGCCACAGAAAGGTGAATATGCATTTCTGTGCTCAAATAAAAGCCCCGCTCACTTGATGATGCCGCTAAGCTTGACCAGCAAAATATCCACTTCAGCAACACTTCAGGGTGTACTTCGTACTAGAGCCTAAGAAGAAGACAAAGAGTAATGCTGTGTGCAACCGAGTCTGAGTCCATGTTTCTGTCGAATTTGGCCTGTGGGTTTAAGTGACTTCTATTCTCAACCTCTGGGATCTTTGAAAGGCAAGCATATTAAGGCAACCCCGAAACTCCGCGTGATGCTTGTCCATATTCTACCAGGGAATACAAAGCCAAGAACAGTGGAGGAAAAATCTTGGCTTCAGCAACACTATAATGTACACCGGAGGCCGAGAAGATAAAAGATGTGTAAAGCATGGTCCGAGTCCATGCGCCCATTGAAACCTGCCTATGGGTTCAAGGGCCTTCTGAACCCTTGAGACCTTTGAGAGGCAATTATACAACGCGGCTCCGAAACTCCGCGTGATGTATGCGGATATTATACCAGATAATACGCCAAGAAGAAGTGGGCTGCACGCCATGCGGGTGACCAGAAAATCATACTCTTCTGGGTAAGTCTGCCACTACTTTTATTCACGCTAAGAAAGTGTTTTAAGGTTACAATATCAAGGTGAACAAAGTCAAGTGTAACATATTTGGGACCTGAAGAGTCTCGTTGTGTTCCCGTGAGGATCATTGCTTAAAGGACCTTATTCTCATTTAAGTTAATTAGAGGGACGAGTTAGGGTTTGGATTTCAACCTCACCACTTGATCATACATCCTTGAATATAACTGGCTTCTCTAATAGGTCACACACACTCGTGGACTTAGGTCACATACCGCAAATGGTGGCTGCAATTTCTCAAGTCATTTTCCATCCCTATTGGGGAACGCTAACGGACTAGCAGCTTAGGCTTGGGGGTTAGCTTTTCTGCACAATGTGATGTGCTAGATATCGATTGGTTATTGGCTGATATGCAGGGTAGAGGCAGGGGACTTCATTTCTTGCGGGGAAAGATCAGCACTATCGCTTCATATTCTCATTTCCACCCGGACACTTCATTTCCACCTGGCATTTAACATCAGAAGGTAGAGAACATGGCGTGACAGGACATTTGAACTATTGAATTTCCGGAGACAAATAACCAATGGATACTCCTGGTCTACAGTCACTCGCCATATATTACTCCGTCTCGCGTGGTATTTCGAGGTGGGATTCCCTGATCTGTTTCGCTTCTAGCTGAAGATGCAGTCTCATTGGCTACGTCTCTTTACTATCATGTGCATGCGTGCATTATACGCTCGGTTCTATTGTCAAGATGGCCCAGAGGGCTCTATATAAACCATCTCTCCCCGGCCCTCATTGTCAACATTCCTCAAGCAAGCGACTCGCATGCACCCCCGTCTTGCTGACCTCCCTCCTCGGTGACTCCAGGTCAAGATGCATTATTCTTCTGTGATCAAGTATCTTTCTCTAGTAGCTTGTGCCAATGCACAGCTTCTAGAGATCCCGGCTGTGGATGCTATAGTCAGTTCTGCTATACGCCCCTTTGAGAAGTATATGGCCCTTAGTACTGCAACAAAAGTTGCCACGGCTGCTGCAGGTTTCAAAACCAAGGCCGCTGCGAGCACTAAGCACGAGGTTGCAGCGGTAGCAGCCGTAGACTCTCCGTACTGGCTAGCGGATATCGCTCATCAAGGAATCGCAGCCTTCAACTCGAACCCTCCTGGCTACACAGTGTTCCGAAATGTGAAAGACTACGGTGCCAAAGGTGAGCATTCAACGATTACTACTGAAATGTGAGAGTTTACTAAAGTATTTATAGGTGATGGTGTGACCGACGACACGGCTGCCATCAATGCAGCCATAAGTGCCGGCGGTCGTTTTGGCCCAGCAAGCAGACAATCTTCCACCACGACTCCCGCGATAGTTTATTTCCCATCTGGAACATACCTGATTTCAACCTCGATTATTGATTACTATTTCACCCAGCTGATTGGTAACCCGAACGCAATGCCAGTTATAAAAGCAACTGCAGGGTTTGTCGGACTTGGCCTGATTGACGGCGACCAATACCAAAATGATGGAAACCAGGGCTGGACATCGACGAATGTGTTTTTTAGACAGATCCGAAATTTGAAATTGGACTTGACCGGAATCCCTGCTGGTACTGCTGCTACTGGTATTCATTGGCCGACTGGCCAAGCTTCCAGCATCCAGAATGTTGTCATTGCTTTGAGTTCTGGGGCTGGAACGCAGCACCAGGGTATCTTCATTGAGAATGGTATGTTGATATCTGATTTATTTTTGAATCTATACTAATCCAGCACCAGGCTCTGGCGGCTGGATGGCCGATGTGACAATTACTGGTGGCCTTTATGGTGCGAATGTTGGCAACCAGCAATTCACAATGCGGAACATTGTGATTTCAAATGCAGTGACCGCGATCTCCCAGATCTGGGACTGGGGCTGGACTTACCAAGGGCTGTTGATTTCTGACTGCACAACTGCTGTTTCGATCAGCAATGGCGGTGCTGGGGCCCAGCTCGTCGGCTCGGTCAATATCCTTGACAGCACCATCAAAAACTGTCAGAACTTTGTCGAAACTGCTTGGCAGAGCTCAGACCTCTCAACTGGCAGTATCATTCTGGAAAACATTGATCTAAACAACGTCCCGGTTGCTGTCAAAGGAGTCAGCGGCACTGTCCTTGCTGGAGGTTCCACGACCATTAGCGCGTGGGGACAAGGCCACAAGTATACTCCAAATGGACCGACCAACTTCCAGGGCGCTTTCACTGCGCCGACACGCCCCAGCGCTTTGCTTGCTAGTGGATCGAACAGGTATTTTACCAAGTCCAAGCCTCAGTATGCACAATCACCGGTAGCTTCGTTTGTCAGCATCAGAAGCGCAGGCGCCAAGGGAGATGGTTCAACCGACGACACGACCGCCATTCAATCGGCATTGACATCTGCCGCGTCTTCAGGTAAAATTGTGTTCTTCGATCAAGGAACATACAAAATCACTAATACTCTTTACTTCCCGCCGGGCTCGCGGATTGTCGGCGAGGCATATTCTGTCATCATGGCCACCGGCAGTGTATGGTCGAGTATTACCAAGCCCGTTCCCGTGGTCCAAATTGGCAAATCTGGAGAGTCTGGGTCTGTGGAATGGTCTGACATGATAGTGAGCACTTCAGGCTCCACGCCGGGCGCTGTGCTCGTTGAGTGGAACTTGGCGGCGACATCAGGTTCTGGAATGTGGGATGTTCACACTCGAATTGGCGGCTTCCAAGGATCTAAGCAGCAGGTTGCTCAGTGTCCGACAAACGCAGCTGTCTCTGTGGACTGCCAGGTTGGTTACATGTCCATGCACATTACCAAAGCCGCCAGTGGTGTTTACTTGGAGAATGTCTGGCTTTGGACTGCCGACCATGACCTCGAAAGCCCAACCAACACCCAGATCTCCGTGTATACCGGTCGTGGTCTTTTGATAGAAGGAAAGAATGTCTGGCTGTGAGTGACAGAGGATCCTTACCATGTTCTTTCAAAGCTAACAATCGCGCAAGATACGGAACAGGCTCCGAACATCACTCGCTGTATCAATATCAGTTTTCAGGCGCAAGCTCGATCATGGGAGGATTCATACAGACAGAAACACCGTAAGTCATTCTATAGGATACCGCCCTTGCGTCTTCTGTCATAACCAATTGCACGTAGATACTATCAGCCAAAACCCGACGCAGCCAACGGCCCATACCCCACTAACCCGGCTCTCAACGACCCCGACTATAGTAGCTGTCTCGGCGGAAATTGCAACTCCCTTGGTCTTCGGATTCTCAATACCAAGGATGTGATTATCTACGGGGCTGGGCTATACAGCTTCTTCAACAACTATAGCACCACATGCTCCACATTCCCCCTTCCAGAGGATTGCCAAAGCATGATCTTCAGCGTTGAGGGCAGTACAACTGGACTGGTGGTATATGGGCTCAACACTGTTGGCACAAACTATATGATCGTAAAGGACGGTACTGCATTGGCGACGGTGGCCGACAATCTGGCTACATATGCTGCTACCATTGCGTACTTTACCTTTTGAGGTACAGGATTGAGTTCAGCAATGTCTATCTCCACCTGATTATACACTGAAAAGTCAAGACAAGGGTGGAATCTCCGGGGGACGGACATAGTACATATCACATATCCCAGTGGAACAAATCATACATATTCAAGGCTCGAAATCCCTTTATCTCATCGTAAGCTTTCATTTATGTAATTTTTCCTATTTTAGCTGCCGCTTTCCTGAGGGTCCTCATTTTATAATAAAAAACAAGATGCTCTCAATAGTCTCAAAGTTGAATATGTACACCCATCTAAGAAAATTCAAGGGAAATCGGATATGAATCCGGGGGTTTATAGATGAGGGGTCGGATACCCCGGAAAAAATAGTATATAAAGACCTCGGGATACAAGGACTTGTCTAACTCCCAACCAGGCACCATGACGAAAGAAGAAGAACCAATCTCGTTCGATTCCCTTCCACTAGACCCAACAGGCCCACAAGGGAATGCCTGGGGTCGATTTGGAAAAGATGATCAACTTGGGACCTTGAACTTGCTCACTCCCGATCGGGTCGTCCAAGCCGCGAAAGAAATCAAAACTGGCGTGCGAATCTCACTTGATTGGCCCTTGAGCATGCCTTCGCATCCAAGCTTTAATCGCCATCCATTCAAGCAGGAGATTGTTCTTCGAAATCCAAACTGTGTCTATGATGACATCTTGACATTTAATAGTCAGGGATCAACCCAATGGGATGGTTTCAGACATTACGGTACGTGACTGAGACTGAGCGTCTATGTTCTTGAGGTTACTACTTACTAGCTGGCGGTTCTAGCAAACCAGAAGACCCGACAGTTCTATAACGGACATACCACGGAAGAGATAGAGAGCTCTGAAACTATTGGAATGCACTGTATGGACCAGTTCGAACCGATTCAATCCAGCGCTAACCCCCGACCACTCTTATAGCCATTTGTGAACATGGTGGAATAACAGGCCGCGGCGTCCTTCTCGACTACGCAGAATGGGCCACCACAAACTCAATCACCATCTCCGCCCTCGAATCGGAGGCCATTACTATAGAGAGTCTAAAGCGAGTAGTGAAAGATCACAGTCTCAATTTTCGAAAGGGTGACATTCTGTTCATCCGCAGCGGTTTCACGGCTGCATACAACAAGCTAGACACTCAGCAGCGAAGGGACCTGGCACTCCGCTCATCGCCAGATTTCAGCGGTGTCGAGGCGACAGAGAGTATGGTGCGGTGGTTATGGGAACATCAGTTCTCTGCTGTCGCTGGTGACGCGCCGAGTTTTGAGCGTGCGCCTATAAGAGGTGCCCATGCGGATCCGAATTTCAATTTGCATGAGTGGGTGCTGGCGGGCTGGGGGACTCCAATTGGGGAAATGTTTGATTTGGAGAAATTGTCGGAGCATTGTAAGGCTAGTGGACGTTATAGTTTCTTCTTGTCCAGTATGCCTCTGAAGGTTGGTTTCTTGATGATTGGCTTTGTTGGGAATATGCTAATTTTGAATTTAGGTGATTGGTGGTGTGGCTAGTCCACCTAATGCATTTGCTATTTTCTAAATTTATTTTATTTGGAATTAATTGAAGGGATCTTTCACTCCAGCGAACAGAAATCCTGGCGGGATTGTCCCGCCGAGTGTCCCGCCGGGTGGAGAAGGACAACATCGTGAAGACCACGACTGACAAGTTGCATAATTACACAGTGGGAAAGATAGACCCGAGCCCTGTGGTAAAAAAGGTATAAAGTCTACATATATTCCTCTATAGCCCCTCCATCCTGAAAGCAGAAATTCTCAAATCATTCCATCTTCCCTTCAATATCTTCAAGACAGCCCTCCATTAACCCACCCACAATGCCCATCGAAATCCCCCAAGCCAGCTCCCTCAAAGACCTCTTCAGTCTCAAAGACAAGGTCGTGGTCGTCACCGGCGCCTCCGGGCCCCGAGGAATCGGTCTCGAAGCAGCCCGCGGCTGTGCCGAAATGGGCGGCAACATCGCAATCACATACTTCACACGACGCGAAGGAGCCGAAGCAAACGCCAAAGCCCTACAGGAGGAGTACGGTATCCGAGCCAAAGCCTACAAATGCGACACATCGAAATGGAACGACGTGCAAGAGCTGGTCGCGAACGTGATCGCCGACTTCGGCCGGATCGACTCGTTCATCGCGAACGCAGGCCGGACCGCTGACTCAGGTGTTCTGGATGGCTCGGTTGAGGCGTGGGAGAATATCATCCAGGCGGATCTCAACTCGGTCTTTTATTGTGCCAAGGCTGTTGGTCCGCATTTCAAGGAACGTGGCAAGGGAAGCTTTGTGATTACTGCTTCGATGTCGGGACATATTGTCAATTACCCACAGGAGCAGACTTCGTACAATGTTGCCAAGGCTGGGTGTATTCATATGGCCCGCTCGTTGGCTAATGAGTGGAGGGACTTTGCTCGTGTCAACAGTATTTCGCCTGGATATATCAATACCGGATTGGGAGATTTTGTGGATGCCGAGACCCAAGAGGGTTGGAATAAGATGATTCCTATGGGTCGTCAGAGTGATCCTAAGGAGTTGAAGGCGGCTTATGTGTACTTTGCTAGTGATGCTAGTACTTATACTACTGGTGCGGATCTGCGGATTGATGGAGGTTACATTTGTCGGTGACGAGTGTCTGCTTTGAAGATATGGAGAAGCTATTGTGTTGTTTCTTTGGTATTTGAGAGAATAAACAAAAACCGAAGACATTGCTACCTTCCTCAAATAGTTACAGAGTCAATGTCCCTCCATCAATAACAATATCAGTACCAGTGATGTATCGTCCTGCACGTCGACTACAGAGAAGAACAACAGCCCCAGTAATTTCCTCAGGGTCTCCCATCCGGCCCATTGGACAACGGGAATCCCAAATCTTTCTAATACCCGCCAAACCATCTCCGGCATTGAGAATAGTATCCATATAACCGGGACTAATACTATTCACTCGGATCCCATGAACAGCCCACTCCGCAGCCAGATTTCGAGTCAGATGCGCGACACCAGCCTTGCTCGCATTGTAAGCAGCCTGCGGCTGTGGGAAGTTGGTATAATGGGCGGACATCGACGCAGTGAACAAGATACACCCGCCTTTGCCCGAGGATTCCATTTTCTTTGCTGCGGCTTGGGCACAGAAGAAAGATCCATTCAGATTGACGTCTATGACTCTGTTAAATTGGTCGGGTGTTACTGTGAGGGATGGCTGGCAGCCGGGGATCCCAGCGAAGCAGCAGAGAATGTCAATGCCTTCCATTGTCTTATTTGCCTGCTCGAAAGCGGCTTCGATTGATTCGATTGATGTCACATCCAAGGAAATTTTGGTTATATTGGCAGAGGGAAACTTTGATTCTAGTAATTGAATTTGTCCTTCTGATGTCTCTAGGGTCGTGGGGAGGTCCATGATGCACAGTGAGGTGAGACCATGCTCCAGGAGAGCCTGTGCGGAGACAAGGCCTAGCGCTCCTGCTCCGCCGGTAATTATGGCTTTGCTGTGGACTTGGAATCGTGCTTCAGCCCGTGAGTGAGCAGATTCAAAAGGTACTGGAGTGAGGGGGCGAGTGAGGGGATTCGATCCCTCCGAAAGGGTCATGGTAGGAATGAATCTGGAAGTCAGCGAGGCTCGCTGGTCCTCAGTCGCTCCCACTGCTGAAGTATCGGTAGACATGTTGATTTTGTACTGAATTTCAAGACAAATAATAAGTGTTCTAGAGATTAGGGGATAAGTCGTTTTGACAATCGGCGAAAAGATGCAACAAGTGGGAACCACTTGGAGTATATGGGGTGACTAGAGTACAGTATAAGAAAAGGAAATGTTATTGACGATCACCTCCAAGTAGGTCGAAGCCCAAAACGGTTCAACTTGGAGCATTCACCTGCTGGGGAGCAGGCGGCTGCGAGGCGGGGAGACTTCCGCCAAAGCGGGGGGGATTCGTTCTCTACTGAAGCGGAAATGTCAAGACGTCGGAGTAGACCCATCCGAAATTTGCCAAGTAAACTGGCAAGGTATGAGGTTTGGTTTATTTCTTAATTCATTGCATTTTCTATATAGAGAACTAAGTTATGTATACAACCTATTGAGGTTCCTCATAGGAACATTTCATCCGCTCAATCACAACACATGCCCTTTCCTCACTTCTGTCCAAGCTCGGATTGTTCTGTTCACGGAGCGACAGTTTTCAGAATGACATCAGTCATTGCCAATAATTTCTCCTCTTCGAGTCTTCGGCCAACTAGCTGCAGGCTTACTGACATGCCATGCACGGACTCGGCAGAGTCTAGCTCTATTAGTACTTGAATACGCTAAGATGTTGAGTATGAGCCACTTACAATCTTTTTGAATCTTCGCATCCATATCACTCAATGCCTTATGGTCAGTATATGCTGCATCAATAGTCTTATCGGTCTTCACACCACAAGGGAACGAAACAGCCGGATAATCCAGGAGATTGAAGACGCATGTATACCCGGCGTAAGCAAATTTGCCGTTCTCAGCGCTGCTGTATGGAGTCGTGGGGCCTATAAAAAAATGGTTAATAAAGAAGGCTGCCTCGCTGAACCGGCAGGACTTACATAGAAGAGCATCGATGCCAGTCTCATTCCATCGATCCAAGTAAGCTCTGCACAGAGCGTTGCGACGAGCATGAATCTGCCATAGATCGTACACGCTTATTTCCTTTGCATCCTCATAGGGCTTCATTTCCGGGCGAAAGGGCTCCCCTGTTGGCTCAAGAAGATCCCGTACAGATTTGCCCCCGTCTGCGAGGAACAAGCGTCCGAGTATCATTAGCATCTCCATGTGCTCAGTCGACGGCCAGTCGACAATCTCGTGACCAGCTGCCTTTAACTTCTCGACGGTCTCCTTTAGTGCACGAGCAACAGGAGGCGTTGGGGAAATGAATCCATCGTCCCAGAGGACACCAATCTTGAGAGACTTCTTTGGTTCCACAGAGCGCCAGGGGATCGGGAGACATTTCGGGTCGCGGAGCCAGGGCTCTAGGCTGAGAATGGTGCTGGACCAGTAAACAATTTCTTCTAGAGTCTTGGCTATCGGACCGCTGACTCCAACTACGGACTCCTGGCCTTCCAGACAGGCGCGTGAGCGAAAGTTGGGAAAGCGCCCCGCGGAGGCACGGATGGTGAAGGTACCGGTGCAGGCTGCTGGCATACGGAGGGAGCCACCTAGTAGAATTATCAGTATTGTTCTTTGTGATAGCTTTTCGGTGTTGATACATACCGATATCGCTACCCACGCCAAGCCGACTACCACCGAATGCAATCAATGCAGCTTCGCCCCCAGATGAGCCTCCAGTAGTGAGACTACGGTTATGTGGGTTGACCGTGCGGCCGAAAAGATTGTTCACGGACTCAGATATCATCATGGCAGTTGGCACATTGGTTTTGCAGTAGAGCACCGCACCGGTTTCTAGGAGGAGATCCACAACCGTACTATTGTAGGTAGCAGGCTTGCCCACTAAGGAGGTGAATCCAATAGTTGAATCATACCCAATAAAGTTGAAATTATCCTTGAGAGAGATAGGTAGGCCATGGAAGGGTCCCTTTGTCTTTCCGGTTTGTTGGAAATAGAGATCGAGCTCCTTAGCCTGTATGATGGCCTTGTCGAAGAAGATTTCCGACAAACAGTTTGTCTGCGTCAAATTAGGCATTGTTCATATGGTATCTTTGGGGGCAGAAATACCAATTGTTGGGCCACTGCCGCAGTCTTACAGAACGCCTTGGTCACTTCCTCCGACGTCCATGACCCCGAAGACAGATGCGATAAAATCGTCAGAGCAGAAATTGAGGTAATTTCTAGTTCCCGTTCGGTGAAAAATCCGGATTCCCGAGGGAAAGTGGTCACATCCAACTGATCTTCCGGGGGAAAGATGGCAGCAGGGATAACCCATTCGGCTGGGATTGAATCCTTGAGCGCTTGACGCTTTGCAGCGGCAATTGATTCCCACGACATGATGATAGGGGCTATGAAGTTGATAAGGGAAGATTAATACCTAGAAGCACCGTAAATAGCATTTTATATGTTGACCGTGGATGTGGGGCCCATGTGGACCAGCATATTAGGTATATGTCGAAGGTTCGGTCCAAACTGCCAAACACGTGGATGGCGTGATAAGCCGGTTGGGTTAATCATAATCCAGCAATCAACTGCCGATAGCGAGGGCATCTGAGACACAGACTAATATTTCCTCTTTCGGATTTAGTTCTTCCGGGGTCTGGACCTCCAATCTTGATAAGCCGGGGATATCTAGGCTTCGGGAGCTAGAGCTATGCATTCAGACAAGGATTATGCTCTTCTAGAGCTCTATAGACTTGGATTTATGCCGCTAGATTTATGTCTTCGGAGCTATCTATGTCATCAGCACTCCGTAGGCCTAATGGAAAAATATCAGTAATGAATCAACACCATCCTTTAGTCCAAAAAAAACCGTAGGCGCTTTGGATCAAAACCACAAATCATTCATCTTTTGTAAAAGTCTCGCTTCTGACTTGAAAAGGCGGAGTAAGTTCACTTGGACCTTGTTTGTGCATGAGACCGCCTGGCATATCCTCAACGCCTTGGTATTCGGCTTTCTTACCAGGAGCACTATAGCTCCAGGCAACACTATCGCAGCCAGTGCTCATGGTGTTGATTGCAATCTATCTTGGCTGAGCGATAACACTCACAGGCATTTGCTCTCGGTCATCCTCACGGACCAGGAGTGATTGATTGCAAACCACGTTCGCAACGAAGCTCAGGGAGAAAGGCAACGGTGATCACTGACACTTGCACTGTGGCGAAGATATACGATAGAGCAAAATGGTGCAATTGGCACAATTTTTACCCCAGGGTTATCACCTAGAGTTGATACGTGGATTCCGGGGTTGGTATTATTCCCGAGGTAACCCCAGATGGAATAGTTAGACCCACCATCTCCAGGTCCGTCAGGCTTTATTAGATTGATTTCCCGAGGGCCAACCAGATGCCCAGCAGATATCATCGTCACAGACTGGGGCTATTGCGCCTTCTGACGCCTTATCTTCACACAGAGATAGGACAACCTCATCTTCTAGGCTTGGTGAGAACATCATTCAGATGTTAACCAATGTCAAATAGGGGGCCGTGAGAATATATAGACTTTGTTGAATGCATATGTATCTTCGATATCCTAGGCAATACTTTCCATTTGCATAGCAATTTTACTCCTTTCACACACAATTTCTATTTCAATTGGAAAGCATCATGGAAGAGCATAGGCCAGACCCAGAAATGGGGGAGGAGAAAGACGTGCTCAAACCCAACGCGACTGAGATTTTTGATTCTCACAATGAGAAAGCGTTGATGCGCAAAATCGACTGGCAGTATGAGATACCATTCTTGACTATCTAGGTATAGTCCAACTGACTTGTATGCTTTTAGCATCCTTCCCATCATGTTCACTGCCTATATGCTTCAGTTTCTCGACAAGACAGCGTTAGGATATACTGCAATCTTTGGAATTCAGCAATCATTGGTATATATACCTTGCATCATGCTAAAGGTTAACTACTGACAGCGAGAAAACAGAAACTGGTTGGTGATGAATATTCATGGGCTTCCAGTGCATTCTACTTTGGTTTCTTGGTGGCATCATACCCGGTATCATTATGCTTCGTCAAATTTCCAATCGCTAAATTCCTCTCTGTCTCCTTGTATGTGGCCGACTTCTCTCCCAGAATTCATATTCAAAGCTCACATTGAGACTTCTAGTGTTATATGGGCCGTGATCCTGGCGTGTCATGGCGCCACGTCCAACTTTGAGGGTCTCATATCCCTTCGGGTTTTACTTGGGGTTTTTGAAAGTACAATCAGCCCTGGTCTGTCCCTGCTCACTGGCCTCTGGTATAAACGGTCTGAGCATGCCTCCAGACATGGAATCTGGTTTGCAGGAAATAGTGTTTCGTCTATTTTTGGTGGGCTGTTAACGTACGGTATCGGACATATCAGCAACTCGGTTGAACCATGGAGGGTACGTTGCTTAGCATCCAAGCATCCTATGTACAACTCTCACTTCTGCCGAAACTAATACTGAACAGTGGATATTCATCATATTCGGCATCATAACCTTTGCATATGGAATCGTCTTCTATATCTACCTACCAGGCAGCCCCCGCAACGCCCGTTTCCTTTCTAAAGAGGAAGGAGAGTTCATTCATCAACGTGCTCAGCAGGAATCACACACCACAGTTTCGCATAAATGGTCACAAAGCCAATGTATCGAAGCACTTATGGACCCGAAAACTTACCTGATTTTTGTGTACTCCATGGCGTCCAGCATCCCCAATGGAGGTCTCACAAGCGTAAGAATAACTAGACCGTCATTCCTCAAGCCCAACTAATTTTTTATCCTCCTGCAGTTTGGAAGCATTGTCATTGCCGGATTTGGATACTCGACTTTCAACACTCTCCTCGTTGGGTTACCCACCTCGGTGTTCACTCTCATCTGGGTGGTTCTGGCCACGATCATCGTTACGAAGTTCCGCAAATCACGTTGCCTCACCGCTGCTGGCTTACAGCTGATCAGTTTGGCTGGCTCTATCATGGTCTCTCAGATTGATCCCACACAAAAAGTGTCTCGATTGGCTGGAATGTGGCTTTTCCCTGCATATTCTGCCGGTGTTCCTATTGTCCTGAGTATTATTGCCTCTAACGTGGCTGGATACACCAAAAGGACGACGGTCACTGCGGTGATGTTCATTGGAAATTGTGCTGGTAACATCACTGGTCCTTTTCTCTTCTTCTCTGATGAAATGCCCGACTACGGGGTGAGTGCTCCAACTTGACTCCATGGCAGATGAAAATCAACTGACGATGAGCAGAGTGCCTGGATTGGGATTATGGTTTCCCTGGCTATTTCCTTCGTCTCTATTCTTGCCTTGCGTCAGCTATTCCAGTTCCAGAACCAGCAACGAGATCGCCGACAGAATGTCAAAATAGACCCCGAATCTCGTCAGGAGTTTGAAACCGAGGAGGTTGTTGCACTCGATCGTGCACTCGATCAGGATGAAACTGACTGGGAGAACCAGAGCTTCCGCTATTTTTTGTAGTGACTTTGCTGTACCTTTGAGCTTGTATATATTCTGCCTGTCATCTAGACCTATACCAGACTCCGTTGTAAAAGGGTTGGTCACAATCAAGGCTGAAGGGAATTTAAACCGGCGTCATGTACCTGGGTAATACGTAGGAACCATTTTTCGAAGCCGAATTAACATCAATTAAAGCATTGTCATGTAAGGGAAGAAGCGTAGAATGCATCATGAAATTATGCTCAAAAACTTTGTCCTAGAAGAGAAGCTTTGAGTATGCAATGAAAGAGATCTAAAAGGTGAATCTATAGGGGTCTATTTTTTTTCAGAAGCGTTTTCCTTCCGAGGGTCATTAATCACGCAGTGTTGTCGCAGGTCCAACTTTTAGAACTGGAGTCTTCGTGAATTGCGACTCCTGATACCCATAATCCCAGTCCGCACTGGAGAGAGTTAGCCACAATAAACAAATTCAAGTAGGGTGATACTTACAATAGCGAAGGCAATAGCTAAAACCAAAATATTGGTGATAGTCAAAACAGCCTTCTTCCAGTTCTGGAAATAACGGCCCTTGTTCATATAGAACCAAAATATCGCAGGGAGTCCGACTGTTCAAAGGTCAGCATTTGGTCTAAAGTTTAGATCCTGGAAAATCCACTAATGGGAAGGGATGGGCAATCTTACAGCTGAACCAACTTCCAAAGACCGCACTCTGTAATTTCTGCGTCAGCCAACGTTCCCAGTCAATTTTGATTTGAAAGACTTACAATCAGACTCAGCAGATCATTGAATACGGGAATCGATTCTGCCACGATCCAGGCAACAACCCAGACTGCGAGACAGATAGCAACCCAGGATCCAATCGACAGGAAGCTTCGGCTATGCATCTTGTCAGATCCGCGGAACATACGCACGTATATGTATTTACATGCGACGTGACCCAAGACAACTCCAGAAAGAATGGTCTATATCCGATCAGTAAAGTGGGCACGAAAGACAAGCGAAATGAAGGATAAACTCACTGTTGGAATCGAAAGACCCCAAGCAATCTTGCTCATCAACGGGCTAAGCGAGAGAATAGCAGGTGATTGGACGTCCGGTCCCACGTAATGATAAATAAGCAGTGCACTAACAAGGTACAGGACCGTGTCGACGATTTGAAGCATGGCCAGTGACTTGTTGAATGTGCGTGGATCTTCTGTCTCAGAAATGAAGCCAAAGTACGCAACGTGGGCGACTATAAGATCGAGTTAGCATGTTGTGCCTTGTCAGGTGCCGATGACCAGCATCATTTAGTGTTCCACGTACGGTAAGCGAAGATGATATTTGTCACCGCCAAAAAGCCCTCGCGGAAGCTGACATCCGTGGTGGCTTCGTTTTTGACATGCCCTTTAGTCTGGACTCCCACGGTGATCATGGTCAACACTGTCGCAACAAAAACACTCAAGAATGCTTCATACCAGTTAGTTGAGGTTTCCTCAGAGTGAGCAGTGCTATGACTACATTAGAGGAGGACTGTACTTACAGATGACGGACATCACATAGACCTTGTCCATGGTACGAGGCAAGGCGCCCAAAAAGCAGATTATCAGTCCAACGACACCAAATACCAACGTGCAGGTACCGTGATCGGTCAGCACATTCATCAGGATGTTGAACATCAGAATATTGCTGGCCATGAGGAAAATCAACAGCAGCAATTGACCAATGCCTAGCAATTCACGGCCGAAAGGACCCATCAAGATCTCACCGGCATCTCCCATGCTGTGAACCTCAGGGTGACGAAGTTTGAATTGGCCAATGACATAGCCGGTATACCACGAAAGAGCAGAGACAAACAGAATCATGATAGCAGCGCTGTTGACAATGTTAGCGATGGGGTCTAGAAGCCACCAAAAGAAAATACATACGGAACCATTCCAAGGGTAGCTACCGCGGATGGCAACGACAGAATTCCGACAGAGACATTCTCTGCGATCATGACTGGAATGAATGTTAGATGTCGAAGCTTTCCATATGCATGATATCTCTGGGTTTGCTACTCACGCATGCCACAGTGCCTGTTCAAGGATGATTAGCCATGTCCATGATCGAATCCATAATATTTCGTCCGAAATAATAACTTACCACCATTTCATAGTCCGATACTTGATCTCCGCTGTCTCCTCATTTCCAAAAGGCTCCAAATGCTTCGCGTCCAATTTTTTCTCCAAGTCTTTTTCGAGAGGTCCATGGACCTTGTCGTCCGCGGCGTGCTTTTCGTCAAACATATTGACTTTTCCCGCGATTTGTCAAGCCTTGAGACCCCGAATTGAGAAAAAGACTTGACACTTCAATAGATTCTAAAGACTAAAAAAATCGAGTAACCCCAGCCAAGCCCAAAAAAAATCTCTGAAAGCGGTCCGGGGAACTCAGGTGGAGCCGAGAGTTTCCCGAAAGATGATCGGCCCGACACAATTTTATTGCCGAAAGCGGCCATGTTCATGGCTTCACGTATGATGAAATTGGGAGCAATGACATTAACCTCAAAGTATCCTAGTAATGTGCCTTACCTGGCTATAGAATATATATTGCCTCAAAAACAAGGCCAAACAAGCGTGGCAAACAGCTTTGGGTGTAAGTTTCAAAGTCGCCTGATGTTTCGAGCGGGTTTTCCTGTACGGAGTACTTCATAACATAAAGTATCCCCATTAATGGGGATGTGCATCCCGGAGCAAGACCTTCTCCAGCTACAAAAGAAACCGACTCTTAATAAAAATCTCGGAGGAGCTAATGAGTCGGTTGAATTAACCTCTATCATCTACATCGTAAGCCCTGAAGGACCCGCGGGCCCGCCGGCGGGCGTGTTGATTACTAAGACGGTACAAAAGCGGGTCCTGGCGGAGTTTCCCGCCGGGTATCAACATCGGCGTCAACATGGTCCATCTATGTTGTAGACAGCTTTATCCTTAGAAATCCTTATACTTTTATCACATGGAAAGCAGTCGTAAACGTGCTTCCTTGGCATGCAACTATTGTCGGAGGCGGTAAGTCTCCTTTATTCCCACCACCGAGTTTTCCCATGCTGACGGAAATGTAGGAAACGCCGCTGCAATGGCGGGATACCCTCCTGCGGCCTCTGTGAGGACTCAGGTATTGATTGTGTTTATAATGAAGTTGATCCTTCTAGGTGAGAAGCTCACCGTATGCAACGTTCTAGCAACATTGCTAAACTCCCACAGGGCTCGAGGAGAGACTTCCTCCTCGCAGTTCTTCCGCCGTCTTGATGCAATTGAGAATTATCTATGGAGTCACCCAAGGCTCCCTCAAACACCCCAAACTGGCGAAGCAAGAAGTGGTGACTTCACATTCCCATCCTCATCTGAGCATGAAAGGGCAGAGTTTTCTCACAACTCCACCGTGTTGATGTCCCCGTCGAGACCTAACCCGGCAGATATCTCCCAGCTTATCAGTGCAAATCCGTCTTCTTTCATACCACCAGAACATGACATCCCACCCATGAGTATTCCAATTGGCCACACAACAACAACAGAATATATGCTGCACATGAACAAAGTGAAGACGCTCTTCGGGGAGTTTCCACCAGACCTGTTCATACGCGCGGAATCGAAAAGACATATGCCGCACCAGCTATCTTTTGTCCCAGGTACAATCACAGCGAGCCAGCTGCCAGTCCTCGATGAAGCAAGTACTTATCTACTGGTGGAGGCATATTTCCAACACGTCCACGTTGAAATGCCAATCCTGGACAGAGATCAATTTTTGGGGCATTATGATCACCATATTAGAGCTGGCCTGAGTGTCGACTGTGACTCTGCGTTATGCCTTGCGGTTCTTGCATTGGGATCTGCAGCTCTTGAGCAAACTGATCCGACAAAGTCCAGCTCTCCATACTGGGTGCCTGGGGCGGAGTTCATTTCACCTGCGTTGCAGATATTAATGAATGAATATTTACTGTCATTTTGCCCCACGATCACTCTTCCCCAAAGCTTGATACTCATTTCAAAATATTTTGGGTTTCTTTTACGCCCTCTGCAATCATGGAAACTGATCCATATGGCTTCTACCAGTATTCAGTATTTGAATAGCCGGTTAGTTAATGCCCGCAGTCCATTATTTGTGTTTCGGCTATTTTAACCAGGTATTCGTTTGAGGCAGAAGCCAAGCTTCGCCAGATAATCATGAGCTCAAGTCCAGCATTATTCTACTATCGTGGGCAGCGTTCGACACTGAGTGGTTGGTTTCTTGATTCGATGTCGATAGTTACGTTCATACTGATATTGAGGACAGTGATCTGATAGCTGAACACCATTTACCGCGAAGTGGTATCGAACATGTAATCGATCTGACACCTTTCCCAAGCTTTGCGAACCATGATGCCCAAGAAACACATGTTTTCCTCGCGGAACTGTCCGTCCGTCGTCTGCTGAATAGAGTACATCACACTATGTACGGCAGTGACTGGACAAGGCGTAGCCTTGGTCTACAGCCAGCTTCAAGCGACAGCCCGTCATATGACTTCCAGTCACTCTCTACCATCCTGAATGTCTCCCAGGAGCTTGACCGGCAGCTCGATAATTGGTATAATTTGTTACCACGCACGATTAAACCAGATATCCACGATCCATCTCGATGTACTGGCCTTCAACTCAATATGCTTCACCGCTTCCACTCCGCCAAGGATATCATAACCAGGCCGTTTCTTCTTTGTGCAATCGACTCGCCACCCGAAGATGATCTTCCACCTATGGTCCTCAAACAGTGTGAGTCTAGTATAGCCAATTGTCGGGCCTATCTGGATGCCTCAGTGCGAAGGCTGATGGGCCCGTCATTTTCTGCGGAAATTATCATTCATACGTACGTCCCCAAATACTCCACACTCGAATAAAACTCATCCTTGCTTATATTAGGATGTTCTCTTCTATTCTTCTCCTGACCCTAGGCTCTGTTTGTCCGACTTTGGCACACTTGGTACCGGATATTGATACTTTACAGAAGAGCATGATAGAGAGCATCGAGCGATTTGCTGTGGATGGCTCTTTGATGCAGGAGATTCATGGGATCATTGTATTATTACACAGTAAAACACGAGTTCTCAGGCGGGCGATGTAGCTGCCTTCAATGGAATCTATGCCACATCCCAGTTGTGTTGGAAATATCAATTATCTCTTTACCCTTTTGTACTAGCATAATTCGAATTAGATGTAGTTGCCTATGGGCTAGCAAGGCTATAACCATCCGAATGGGCGGGCCCTGCGGCGGATGATCCCGCTTGATGATCGGCATGGCCGTTGAACCCGCATGGCCTAAAAGAGTCAACGTCATGTTTTCTTACAAGACAACAAGGTGAGTTGGAAGAATTATGAAGCGAGTACACGGCCTCTAAGACTCTATAGTATTCTAAAGTTAACCAAACACCAATTCTGGCGTACTGACCTGCCTGTATAGATGGCACGGGCCAAGCGGATGAATATTGATCCAGCCCCACGTTGCTTCGTGAAGGGATGTTGCCCCAAGGCTACCGCGACGAGCTCGCACTGCTCTTCGGACCAAGCATGAATCAAATCCCGCTGGTCCAGGGTGCACCTAGATCTCAGTGTGACCAACTCTGGGTATGAACATGGACCTCCTCATGTCGGCTCCCGTCCCGCTGACCAATCCAGGACTCGGATAATGCGTGGTTATCACCTTGTGCATTGCCCTACCTGGCATGCATCCCAGCGGTTGTTGTACTATTTACTGCATTGAGTCATATACTTGGATACTTATGCCTACGATGGCGCCCCAAGTGGACTATTCCTTTTGTTTCCGAGCAACATGATACTCAAGAGCTCCTGCTAGATCAACCCAAGCAACCATTGCGATGGACTACCTCTCTTCTTATATTTTCAGCTACTGGACTTCTAGCTGAGACAGTGCAATTCATTGCTCCGGAAATTGACGCTTCAGCTTTTGTGCTTGTTCTCTCATGGGTCGGTTATCTTTTTCTCTGGGAGTATCGGTTACTGATACCCTTCCTTAGGCCATAGCATGTATTCTGGTCGCAGTCAAGCGGCCTAGATCATGTTCCATATCACTGTTGGCTTATTATGCCTTAGCATTTGCAATTGAACTTTCTTCGGCGACTCATCCATATCCATTCCCGAGATTTAAAGTTGTTGCTCGCTACATTGCCGCATCGGCGGCAGCAGCAGCCTGTGCAACAATTCTCCTGATGCCATTCCGCGAACCTTCCTTGTCATCAATAGATATCAGTGCTGTTGGACAACAGCCATCCAATAACTTTCGCACACCAGAAGATAATCTGAGGCTTTGGCAGTTCCTCACAGTATCTTGGATGGCACCGCTGATCTCAGCTGGACGCAAACGGCAGCTACATGAAAAAGATGTTTGGATCCTTGGGTTTGACTTTCAACACAACCGGCTGCATGAAAAGTTTCGTCAACTTCGTGGTTCTGTTCTCAGTCGACTTTTGAGAGCCAACGGAATTGATGTTTTTATCATTTCTACCATCTCACTCGTCCAGATGGTATGCGGTATGCGGGCTAGAAATTCTTCCTTTTTTTCGTTGTCGCTAATAGTACTCACAGACTTCTCTACCCCCGTTTTGTTGCAGCAACTATTGCAGGCCATGAAAGACCCGTCCCGACCAAAACGCGTACCTTTGACCTATGCTTTCATGTCATTCGCTCTCAGACTACTCGCTGCACAATCTCAGGTGCTACTTTTGTGGTATGGAAGACGATCCTACGAGCGGTCGAGGGGTGAAATGATCATGATGGTCTACGAAAAAGCCCTTTCACGAAAAAATATCTCTGGACTGATGAACGAGGGCAAGCCAGGACTATCCGACGAGGAAGCAACTGACATCAATGACGAGGCCGCGGATCAAGAGACCCACCAACCCCCAACTAAACCAGTGGAAAGTCTCTGGCAACGTATCATTTCTCGCAACCCAAAGGCCCGACATAAACAAGCCAAAGAAGCTGCATCACTTGGCAAAATCTTTAATCTCTTGCGTGGTGATGTTTACGAAGTTGCGCAGAGGTTCTGGGAGATTGACTCATTGATTGACAAGCCACTAGGACTGATGATCGCTACCTTCCTTGTCTGGACACTTTTCGGTCCATCTTGTTTCCTGGGAATATTAGCCGTTCTTGTTGCACAGATTGTAAATGCACTGGTCACCAGAGCCCTCCTCCGTTGGGAAAGAGTTAGACGGGTGGCAACGGATACTCGGCTCCAAATAACTTCGCAATTCGTGGAAGCAATCCGTCACCTGCGATGGTACGGATGGCAGAATCATTGGCTTCAGCAAGTAATGGAGGCCAGACAGCATGAGTTGAATATTCGAATTGTGACTAGTCTGTGGAGTATCTTGATTCGCTTTATCAACGCCTTCGCCAGTGGCGTGTTCCCAGTGGTTGCGTTGTATGCATATACCTTTTTGGCCGGGCACGAGCTACGGATTGATATTATCTTTCCCGCATTGCAGTTGTTTTCTATGCTAGAGACCCGCCTTCGGGATATTCCTGGTCTTATCACATCACTTATTAACGCATTCATTGCACTTGGACGTATCGAGGACTTCATGTCTGAACCGGACAAGGAGAATCCGCCATCTGAACCCCTGGCAAACGATACCCCAATTTCGATGCAGTCTTGTTCGTTCGCATGGCCAGGAAAGACCTCACCCGTCCTTGTTAATATCGATGTTACCATTCCGAAAGGACTGACGGTTGTCACCGGCAAGGTTGGTGCTGGAAAAACCGCGTTTCTGCAAGCTCTTCTAGGAGAACTCGATAGACTTGACGGCTCAGTGCATATCCCAAACGAGATGGTGGGGTACTGTGCTCAGACACCCTGGTTGCAAAGCATGAGTATCCGTGATAACATTCTCTTCTCTGCTCCCTACCACGACCAGCGCTACAAGCGCACACTGGAAGCCTGCGCATTGCTTCCAGATCTTGCTCAATTTAAACACGGCGATTTATCGTTTGTGGGTGAAAATGGAATTGGTTTATCAGGTGGACAGAAGGCGCGAGTAGCTCTGGCAAGAGCTGTCTATAGCGCATCTCGAGTTCTCCTGTTGGATGATCCTTTATCTGCACTAGACCACAACACTGCAGAATTCATAGTCCGCAAATGCTTTTTGGGGCCGCTGATGAAAGACCGAACTATCGTTCTAGTGACGCATCGAACTGCGTTGGTTCGTCAAATTGCAGATCAGATCATCAACATTTGTGAAAAGCATATCTCTGTATACGACAGGGATACCATCAAGCTTGATGTAGACGAATCCTCCCTGCCTTTTGTCGACCATGAAAGTGAAACGGAAGTGGAAACCACCCTCGAGGAGGAGACAGCTGCCGTGCCTGATAAGTTCATCGAGGAAGAGCATCGGGCAGACGGGGGTGTCAAGGCTCGAGTCTATTGGAATTATATCAAGGCCGGAAAGTACCGATGGTGGCTTATTCTCGTCCTGATCCTGGCCATTTACCGACTGATGGCTGTCGGGCAATCATGGTTCCTCAAAGCGTGGGGAGAAGCCTATGAGGAGGCAACTGTCCTCCAAGATAATTTCTCAAACTTCAGTAATGGGTCATCGCAAGTCGCCTGGCCAGTTTCGAATTTGGAAATAGACACATACTTTACGTCTCAAAATCCTATCGACCACCTGCCATCTCCGCGCGAGGATGTGCGGTCCTGGCTATGGGCATTCTTTGCCATCATCTCTTTTCAAGCGGCCACACTTCTTCTCGCTCAGCTTCTAATGTTGATCATCGTCTATTATGCAGGACAGTCTATGTTCCGACGGGTCCTGATCCGAGTCAGCCATGCCACCTTCCGGTACTTGGGTAAGTCCTCTAGCTTGACTCAACATGACAAAGCTAATATATCATTCTAAAGATACAATCCCTCTTGGACGCCTGATGAACCGTCTCACGTCTGATATTGGAGTAGTGGATGGCAACATTAGTGAGCAATTTCAGGTGATTGCGTTCCAGGCTATCACCTGGATCTCTTCTGTGCTCGTAATAGCAACCGCTACCCCGGTGTTTTTGTTGTTTTCTCTAGCTCTCACAGTCGCTTTTGTCCTGGTATTCCTCCGTTTTCTTCCCACATCTCAGAGCCTACGACGACTCGAGATGGTGTCTCTAAGTCCTTTGTTGTCCAACTTTGGTGAGCTATTGCACGGTTTGACCACCGTCCGAGCTTTCCATGCAGAGTCGCAGTTCCAGAACCGGGTCATATCCGTGGTTGACAAGTTCCAGGGGATGGACCACTTCTACTGGTCGCTTCAGAGTTGGCTCATGTACCGCTTTGAGAGCTTGTCCGCCTTCTCGACCTTTTGCCTAACAGCTCTGGCTCTGTACACCAATACCACACCAGGACTGGTAGCATTCGTGCTCATTGCTGCAAACAACTTTGTCGACTCCACACATGCATTGTGTAAGCAGTACGGCCAACTTCAAATGGATTTTGTGTCGGTGGAACGTGTCGACGAGTTACTCCATATCGAAGAAGAAACCCCTGGGACCATCGCTCCCCCAGCCGCATGGCCAACTTATGGCAGCGACGTTGTCTTCGAAGATGCAACTCTCCGTTACGCACCGCATCTGGATCCCTCGCTTATAAACGTCTCTCTTCGCATTCCCGGGGGTTCTACCACAGCGGTCATTGGCCGTACTGGCAGCGGCAAGTCTACACTGGCAATGTCGCTTCTGAGCGTCATCAGACCTGAATCCGGTCGCATTCTCATTGACGGCATCAATATCGCCGACGTCAACACGCAAGCATTGCGCACTCGAGTTACTTTCGTAGCGCAAGACCCTGTCCTCTTCCCCGGCAGCATCCGACTCAATCTAGACCCGACGGAGGATTATTCTGATGAGCTGTGCACTGAAATCCTGGAGCGTCTGTGTAGTCGGCACGGCTGGCATCTTGAGACGCATATTGAGGCTGGAGGAAGAAATCTTAGCCAGGGTCAACGGCAACTTATCGCTTTGACACGGGCTGTCCTCCGTCGAAGCGCAATTGTCATTCTCGATGAGGCGACTGCCTCCGTTGATCATGATACTTCTCTTGAGATCCAGCAGATCATCCGAGAGGAGTTGCAACAGTCTACTGTCATTACAATTGCGCATCGCATAGAAGCTGTCAAGGATGCGGATTATTTTGTTGTTTTGGATCAGGGCCGTGTTTTGAGACAGGGACCTGTGCGGGACTTGTAGAGTCGGCATTCATCGATTCGAACCAGGGATGATCGCGCCCATCGAGACATAAAAACCGACCGCATACTTGAAGTTGAATAAGTAGAATCTCCATAGTAAAAGGCCTAAAATAAGTGCCCTAGTAGACGAGGCGACTTGGTATATTGTTTCTCAAAAGGGTATCTAATCTTTACAGCTTGGCACCACCCTGGGCCTTCTTCAGGATAGGCTCCATCTTGGTCGCCTTCATAATATTACCCTTAATCTTCAGCTTGCCGCCCATGAACAAACGCTGAGCGTTGGCCTTGCCGGAAACGAGTTGGCTGAAGTCAGCATCGGAGAGGTTGAGGGTCACTATTGACAGAGTAGAATTAGCATGTGTCAGAAAAGAAACACGATCAACACGCGCAGATCGGGAAAGTAAACTCACCATCAGCCTTCTCGCCAGCAGGGGCGGCACCCTGTCCAACTTCACCCTTGTTCTTGAGGTCAAGATACCAAGCAGCCTCCTCACCACTGGAGTTCTTCAGGTTGAAAGCGAAGATAGCCTTGGCCTTGCTGAGCGCATCCTTGCGGTCGGCTTCGTTGGCCTGGAGCGTCTGGTTGATGACGTCGAAAGCAGCGGACGAGGGGTGGGAATCTATTTCAATTAGCTAGTGTTCTCATTTCTCCCAATGGAAAGGGGAATATACCTTTCTTGAGAGACATGGTGAATATGGTAGTACAGGGTGATGTTAAAGTCAAGGCGGATCACCGAATATAAATGACCTTGGAAGGAGCATGTGAACTGACTTCACGTGCCGAGGCCCCCAACCCACATTTTCTCCACACCGAGGGAAGCCCTGTCTGTGATTCTTCTGTGTTGTACGGAGTTTACGGAGTACATAAGCTCTTTTTACTCAATATCTTCTTGATTCTCTGGAATTCGGCTCGGACTTGGCCAAGATCTGCCTCTTATGGAGAACAATCCACAGTCTTACCCGACTCTCCCAGTCTTTCGCGTGTTAACAGTTCCCCCACGGGTGTCCCCCCGACTCCACATGAACCGCGCTTATGTCGCATTGTCGGGACCTGAAGTTGCACAAATGCGGTATTCACCGCGACACTAACAATGTGATTAGCCTATGCCAATCCTTCCTCGGAAGTTGCAAACTCCCTGCCTCCGACGTCACTGCCAACTGCAACTTAACACCGAAGACCGCAGCAGTCGCTTCATATGATCCGGGCTCCCCAACAGCAGCTCGCGTGTTCGGAATCGTGCCAAGCTTCTAAGCGTCCTCGGACCCTTTTGCTGCTGTAAAGCACAAATCGCGTCATGTAACTGTTTCTGGCTGACTCCTGTCGGACTCTACTATCGGAACATTTACAGTGTCAGTGTCGCGCAGGCCCTGCTTCTACCCCTCGCTGCGCTGAGTCTTGTCAACGGCGCGAGCGCGTCGTCCCAATTGCCGTTGCGAATTACCACGTTTTCGAAATTAAACTCGCGCAAAGTACTCCGGTGCTCTTGGATAAAAGACGCCACTTGCGACGCGTCCATTATTGCATTGACCAACTTCATCTGCTGAAGATGTTTCAATTTCAATGGTCGTAGGGGTAACGCGCATGTCTTTGGGCAGGCTTGAGTGGACTTTCCTTTGGCTGGGCTGTCAAGGGTTGGCTCTGTTGCAAGTGACAGCGGTTAGAGGCACCTCTCGCCTTCCCAATGGAAAACCAGTCTTTGCAGAGATGGGAAGCTTCCTAGATATGCATGGAGGAGCTTAAGGTGGTTTGTCGGCCGACCTGGCTCATGGCCGAAAGTCGCCATGTGGACTGTGAGCTTGCGGATCTGGGACCACCGCTTGTAAGATGCAGATGAAACACCAAATCCTAGGGCTGGACGCAGGTAAAGGACCGCTCCTGGGTGAACTGATAACAATGACAGAGTGTGGAGATGCTTCAACGGTGCTTCCTCGATTCCCATTGGCAGTGAGATCAACGCATAATCTACTACACTTCGGCGGTAGCAATGGCTTGGATCTTGACCCCCGCAGGAGATTCACAGATGTTGCAAGCTGCTCATCATCGTCAAGGCTTTTACAAATGATGGGATGTTGGTAGATGCATGAAACAGAGGCGGGTACTGCTTGACTAACAACTCTGTCATTTGCCGGCTTCCATATCTCGATCTACTGTCACCAAGTTGGCACCGTTGTGGTTTATAGATGAAGGTCTGTTCTGTCCCCATGATTGGATCCAGAACTGGAGGTAAGAAGGTCTCCCTATCATGCGAGATCTTAAACGTCATGGCTTAGACGTGTCCCCCAATGCGCTCTAGAGCTGCCATCCGCGACGACCCATTAAAGGTGCTGCTGCCAAAGCGGATCTCAATGTCCGCAAAGAGGATTGGTGCGATATAGACAGCGAACTTGCGACATACAAGAGGGCATGCAGTGAGATCATGGTTTACTAGATGACTCGTGAGAGCCTGTTGGATGCGCTTGGTCTTCCAAAGTCGAACCAGTCCCTGTTCCGACGCCATGATTGATCGTTGATCTCTGCAGACGGAGGTAGCAACTTGCTGAATCGAAAGATGAGTAGTGCAAATAGTCAGTAGTAGAAGTAAACAGTTTAATACTTCTTAACTGCCACGGATAAACATCTACAAACAGAAATTTTTATCTCCAGCCCTTACAATTGAAACTTACCGTTTTCCCCCCTAATAATGTTTCATATACGTGCCAAGAAACATTCTCCCAGCTGGGCTTGCACTCCCTGATCTCGATATAGATGTCGGACCCAGTTTAAGCCTAAGCTGCGCGTCGGATGTTGTACTCTTACTTGTCTTATAAATTGCCATTCGACAACTACTCCTCTAGCCCAGGCAATACATGAGTCATACCAACGTCTCACAGTCATAATTGAGATGTTGGAACTACTCCTACTTCGAGATGGCTGAAACTCAAACTATGCAGATGGTGCTTCAGGTGCCAGTGCCTAATTCGAATAGTAAGGCAAATACCATATAGCCCTGTGTTTAGCTTATTATGCGCGTGACGCGCATAATCACGCATATCATCACGTGTGATAAGAACGCGTTCATATCAATTAAAAGTTGTGTTGCGGTGCAGGGAAATGAGTGGAATTACTAAGATATCTCTATGCATTTATGTATTCATTACTCAAAAGCTTTTCCCGTGGGACCCCACTTCTCATGTACGACACATAACAATGAATAAAATCAATGTGCCTGAAGGAGGCTCAAGTAGAAGACCCCTCGTGGAACGTTGACAGGTGCTCACAAAAACCGTGGCGGATAGCGACCAATCAGGACATTGATACTATTGGCCTTTGAAGCTTACCGCTCATCTCTCCGCCTTTTTTGATTGACACCATGTACATATCGAAAAGTACTCGAGTTGTGATAGTATCAATCTAATGATCCATTTCTGCATATTTGAAGTGATTTAGTCACTTATAGATATGTCTTTTGAGCTGTCTTTTTTTTTTTTTTGGAGTCTTTTGGAAAGTCTTTTTGAGACGTCTTTCCAGTATGTACCTGGGTATCGGAAATGTGGCCAATTTTCTGCTGGCAATAAAAGTCAATATGAGCAAAGTCCCCCATGGTCGCTATACACTGCGATAGATGATGACATCTTGGGCGAGAACTTCAACTCCCCCGCAAGGTGGTTTATCTGAACCTCCGGGGGCCACCTGAACGGTCGCAAATAGCGTCAACTCTCGTGTCTGCACCATCGGATCTTTTACACTATAAAAAGGAGGAATCCTTCGTTTCTACAATCGCCATCTCTTCGCTCCCGAAGCCCCTAAATCTGCTCCGTCTTCCACATATTCTCCCCGGTGAACTGTCGATAATACTCGACGTAAGTCTACGTTCTCTGCAGCTACCCAGATTAGGCAGCATAGAGGCACAGTGTAACGAATTGCGTATATGCTTCCTTTCTCTTCCTCACTGTTTCAACTGCCACCACCCGCCTTCTGCCTGGCTGTTTGCTGATGAGAACCCAAGTTTCGCCGACTGACTCTCCCAGAATACTTCGTCCTTCATCCTAGGCGCCCACCTGACGGGGTAGCTCTCTTGAACTTGGACTTTGCCTATTTCCCCAATTATCATCCGCATCGTCATACCCACTCTACCACACCGTCAACGATCGAGATAAGTTGGCCTTGGAAGGTTTCATGGTCAGCACCAAGTGCTCTTGAGCCATGGCTACTTCGGCCGATCAGTCCCAAGAGGACAAAATCAAAGACCTTTTAGAAGATCTCGATACCTACAGATACATCTACGATGATCTCCTCGCGACCCGGGGTGACTGTGCAGAAGCAGACGAGCTTCGTGACACCATTAAAAAAATGGAAGTCCAGGTAGCCGCGCTCCTTGGCGATACTGTTCCTAGTCCTCAGGCCGCCCCGAAACCAACACCCCAAGTGCCATCGCCTACTCCACCAAGCCGGACGCCTGCGGCCGCGCCTTCACACATGGGGTCTAGTACTTTCACTGGAATTCCCGGGGAGACATTTGCGTCCCCTCAGTGGCCTTCTGCTGCGCCCTCTCCTTTCGCCGCCAGGTCTCACCCTCCGACCATGCTGCCAGGTTCAGTGATACGATCTCCTCCAGACAATTCTCGTAAACGCCAACGTCCGCTATCTCACATCTCGCCCACGATACAGGGGCCATCAAAAAGGCTTGCTCCCTCGCAGCCTCAATCTCGCCGATCTCAACTCGATGTAATAGATGCTGAACAACAAGCCCGCCTCGCCGAGAATAATCGTCTGTACAAACAATGGATTGATGCGGCCGGTGACGATGCAGATCAGATAAAGGAACTCAGGGAAGAGTGCGATGAGCAGGCGAAGTTGATTGAAACAGAGTTTCAAATGGAGCGAGACGCAGAATTGGCTCGCGCGCTCCAAGCCGATGAGGACCACAGTCGACTCCCCATGGAGGGCTTTAATGAGCAGGATTCCTGGAATATTCCAGACCGCACTCAACCGGTAAAAGCTGAACCTATCTCATCAAAAGCCAATCGTGCCCCTCAAGCATATGCCCCGATAGCTCCATTCAATAAACTCACTCCATTCAATTCCGACGATGAGCTTCAAGAAATTACAGCTGATTCATTCAATTCTCGATTCGGCAAGCAGCCAGCCCGCCAATCCGGTTCCTTCAACTATCCCCACGTACCACCTCTCCCTTCGACATACTCCAAATCACTATACTCTTCACAGGCGCCTCATCATTCGCAGATGCCATATCCCTCCCAATTGACATACCCCTCTCAGATGGCATATCCCTCTCAGTTGACATACCCCTCCCAGATGGCGTATCCTTCCCAGTTGGCATATCCTTCACAATTGGCGTATCCCTCTCAATTGGCAAGTTCATCACAATCGACGTATCCATCATCACCAGACTCCTCCAGAGTTCTTCCGTGGAAGCGCGAGGTTCCATACTCTCCAATGCCGGATGTCTTTGACAAGTTTGACAAGGCATTTGACTTAATTCGCAATCAGAATGAGATATTCGATGACGAAGCTGACATTGTGTATGTACCACGTCTTTTCAAAGCAGCTAGCTGGTGCTAACTCATGGATCATAGGGCTTACAACGAAAAAGAGTTCCCAGAAGATATCAAGAACTTACTCAGCGGTATCAAAGACATTCGAGAGGCAACCAGAGCGGATAATGAGGAGACACCAAGTGCACTTCGAGTCACATTGATGAAGCACCAGAAGATCGGCCTGAAATGGATGAAAGCCAAGGAAGAGAGCAGCCACAAAGGAGGAATTCTTGCAGATGACATGGGCCTTGGTAAGACTATTCAAGCGATTGCGCTGATGGTTGCTCGTCCATTCGAAGATGAAGACCGACGCCCGACTTTGATCGTCGCACCCAAGGCACTTATGGACCAATGGAGACTTGAAATCCAGCGGCATGTCAAGCCAGGGCGGCACCAATTATCGGTCTTGATTTACCATCAACGGCGCTGGCCTTGGAAGGAGCTCAAAAAGCACGATGTCATCATCACGACGTTCGGTACCATTACTGCGCACTACAAAACCTTGCTCCAGGCGGAAAAGATGGCAGAAGAAGGGGCGGAGGCCGACCTAATTCAAGACTTCAAAAATATGTCGGGTCCTCTCAACCCTGCTGCCAAGTGGCACCGAGTTATCATCGATGAAGCACAGAACATCAAGAATCCAAGTGCAAAATCCTCAACAGCATGTTGTCGACTCAATGCTACCTACCGCTGGTGTCTGACTGGTACGCCCATGATGAATCGTCTCGAAGATTTCCAGTCCTTGCTGGGATTCCTCCGGATTCGGCCTTACAGCAATCCAGCAAAGTTCAAGGCGGTCAGTATTATATAACTCACTCTTGATCCTCCGCTGGGCGACTAACATCTTTATTTTATGCAGGACTTCGTGAGACGTATAAAATCTGGCTGGGGAGGAGAGGATGTCATGAAGCAACTACGCGTCCTAGTCAAGTCCGTTTGTCTCCGACGTACAAAAACCTCCAAGATTGATGGCGAGCCCATCTTGCAACTCCCACCAAAGGTCACCGAGAAGGTTCATGTTGTGTTTGATGAGAGGGAAAGCCAGGTTTACGAGGAGCTCAATGCATCAACCCAAAGGCAGATCACCCGATACCTCGACTCGGGCACACTGGGAAGAAACTACAGCCATGTTCTAGTTCTCCTTCTCCGTCTCCGGCAGGCTTGCTGCCATCCCCTTCTCATGCAAGAGTTCCGAAATGAACCTGCGCCGTCTATCCCGGGGGTAGATAAGATCGCTAACGCCAAGCTTCTGAGCGCTGCTGTAGTGCAGCGTATCATAGCAAATGACGGGGAAGAGGATGGCACCTGCCCCGTCTGCATGGATAGTGTCAAAAATGCTACTATTTACATTCCATGTGGACACCATGTGTGCTCGGAGTGCTGGATTCGCATTTCCGACTCTGCAACTGCAAACGGAGCCATCAACCTCGAAGACGATGGTCCAGCTGTGATCAAGTGTCAGAATTGCAGAGGGCCTGTAGATCCTGCGAAACTCACGGACACCAATGCGTTCAAGCAGGTTCATGATCCAAGCTCAGTTCCCGAACCTGCCGCCGGAGCCGCGGACACCAACGGGAAAATTGACGAAGACTCAGAAGCAACAGCAAGCAGTGATGAGTCTGACTCCGATAGCTCGACCGAAGAGGGAGAGGATGCACCAAAGAAGAAGTCCAAATCTAAGTCTCTAGCTGAGCTGCGAAAGCACGCCTTGAAAAACAAGGCCGAAAAGAAGAAATACCTTCGTCGCCTCGAGAAGGGCTGGTTCCCTAGCACAAAAATTACAAAGACCCTGGAGATTCTCCAAGCCAACGAAGACCGTGGCTTGGAGGAAAAAACCATCATATTCAGCCAGTTCACCTCGCTCTTGGATCTTCTTGAAGTCCCCCTCGCCCGCCGCGGCTGGAACCACACCCGCTTCGACGGTAGCATGGACCTGAAGGAACGCAACGCCGCCGTGACGGCTTTCACCAACGATCCCGCCTGTAAGATCATGCTCGTGTCGCTCAAGGCCGGCAACTCCGGCTTGAATCTCGTCGCCGCCTCGCATGTCATCATGTTCGATCCTTTCTGGAACCCGTACATTGAAGACCAGGCCGTTGATCGTGCCCATCGCATCGGGCAGGTTAGAGAGGTTTTTGTTCACCGTCTGCTAATTGAAAATACCGTCGAGGATCGCATTGTCACTCTTCAGGATCAGAAGCGAGAACTGATTAGTGGTGCTCTCGATGAGGGCGGTACTATGAATGTCTCCCGGCTGGATGCGAGGGAACTTGCTTATCTCTTTGTACGTTTTTACCTCCATTCCTTCCATGTACTAGGAACTTTGCTAACCACTTTGCCAATAAATAGGGTGTGAGGGACTTGTAATCATGCTCGATCACATTTGTTCCCCGCATGGTTTCCATCTCGAAGGCCGAAGATACCCCGATGATACGACTTATGTTTCAGTTACTGCCTGCCATATCCAAATAATTGGTATTTGGTGTGCGACTACTTTGCTTTTGTGCTATTTTGTGCTTTCTTCAGAGGCTAATGATTGCTATACCCTGGCGTTGTTTTCTTTGTCTTGTGGAAAGAGCGTTGAGCTCTCCAATATTGTCTGAAGGCCACCCTTTAGAGACTTTTCTAGGGAATTTCCTCTCTAATACTTGTGATTTGAGTAACTTTCTAGTATTCAACTCGAGATTTTCAGATATCCAAGTGTACCTGTTTGAAGGAATAGATGTAAAAAAAAAAAAAGTTTTAAATCTTATTGAAAGAGGACATGCTTTTTTGGATGCTGTGTGCTCGTTTCGGGAAAAAGAGGACAATTGGGATGTGAGTGTCTAAGCTACTAAGGTTGGGGGGAAATCAAAAAGGAAAAAAATGCATGTATCTTCAAACCACGACTATCCCCCATCCGCTTTCATTGTATCGTGATTTCGGAGAACTTTGCTTTTGCAAAACCCAAACTAAAAAAAAGCAATCCCCGGGAGTCGTATACTTCCTGCCTCCCGTCGAACGTGAGATAGGACTCTGGGAAACATGGGAGAGAACAGGGGATGGCGACTCCCACTTTCATTTCGGAAACTTCGTGGACCCGTTGCTGAGCGCACTGATTTACAGGTCGGCGTCGTCCTCGTCGGGGAGGGGCTGGTTGGCAGCTTCCTCCATCTCCTTGCGGTAAGCCTCGAGCTGCTTCTCATCGACGGTGACCTCGGGGGAGCAAGGGCAATTCCGGCAACAAAGTCCTAAAAGATAATTAGTATCGAATTGAATGAGAATCCAGGCAATAAAATGACGTACGAGCTGGGGGTTGCCAACAAGCTTGCGAGCGAGCCAAAGGAAGGGCTTCTCGAAGTTGTAGTTGGACTTGGCGGAGATATCGTAGTACTGGAGGTTCTTCTTGCGGTGGAAGGTGATGGTCTTGGCCTTGACCTTGCGCTCCTTCACGTCGACCTTGTTACCGGTGAGGACAATGGGAATGTTCTCACAGACACGGACGAGATCACCTGGAGTTTGGTTAGTTAAAAAAAAAAATATATTAGCGATTAAGCAGAGTATCACTCACGGTGCCAGTTGGGAACGTTCTTGTAGGTGATACGGGAAGTGACATCGAACATGATGATACCACACTGGCCGTTGATGTAGTAACCATCACGGAGACCACCGAACTTCTCCTGACCAGCGGTATCCCAGACATCGAACTGGATAGCACCGTAGTTCTGTTCAGGTCGGGTTAGTGGAAACGATCACACGATGGCACGGTTCGAAGCGGGGTTCTTCGGCGGGGTATATGCATACGGTGTTGAAGTTGAGGGGGTGCACCTCGACACCAAGGGTGGCGATGTACTTCTTCTCGAATTCACCAGTCAAGTGGCGCTTGACGAAGGTGGTCTGTTAGGGTTCAATGTGTTAGTAATGGAAGTCGCGGTGAGGCGGGGCTGTTGGGCAGATATTTAGTATTGTTGACAGGCGCGGGGGCAGATGGTGGTCATAACAAAAAGGACAGCTCAGTAGATCCATGAGTATTCTGAGATGACCATCGCTGAGTAGATGGCTGCCTCTTTGAGCCCACGCCCATCAACAATCAGATATCGAAGTTCGAATGCGCTTACCTTTCCAGTACCACCGTCACCGACCAGGACGAGCTTGAATGTGGGGGTCTCGGCCATGATGAAAATCACTTAGATAGAAACTTGAAGAAAATGAAGTTTCAGAATTCGCGCCGTAGAGATGGGAGCGGGTTGATAAAAGGGAGGGGGTGAAAGAAGGGGAATGAATTAATAGCGCTGGATGGAATTTTTGCCCCGTTGGTGAGGGTCACGTGCACGGATGCCTGAGGCGCTCTGACGTAGTCAACCTCCTCCGTAGATGGCGCAAACGTATCTAAAGTCGCTAGTTTGAATTCATTTTTTATTCCAATTGAAGGCACCTCTTGCTCTACTTGTATATCCTTTTTCTAATTTTGAGTTATTCGAATGAATCCTGTTGGTCAGGTCTTCGCATACCGAGTTATCTTCAACGCCCTTGCGATGCATACGATTCCCTGGTCTTTTTTTCAATGGAACTCAGGTATTTTATGGAAAATCAAGCACTGAAGAACGTCTCGCGTTAGTCATAATCAGTATATATCGTCAATGTACACGGCGGTAGCACAATCGAGCTACGATTGGTGGGCTGAGTGAAAGGATCCCTTCATAAGGGAACTAAGTGACATCCTAGAAGACCACGGCCACCCCAATTTTGTCGAGGGGTGAGCTGAAGGTCCAGCTCTGTTGTGTTGTCACTATTTGTTTCATCCTTCCGATAAACTTTGACCGATACGGCCCGCTGTAGAGAAAGTGAGTTAGACATGTAGATATTTTGACGAAGGAACGGAGGACTGAACGTACCCCTTCATTTTCTTGAACAACTTGAGCAACCTTTGCAAGGCGCTCGTGGTTCAGCCAATTGATATTTCCGAAACTTCGAACTGCATCACCAGCTTTCAGTCCCGCCTGGTCTGCTGGACTTCCCGAGACCACGCTATTGACTTTCGCAAACGGTGTGCCCAACGTGTTATTATTTGTGGACGATTGCACAGTCGGCAGGACGCTAGTGCCATTTGTTGTTGGGCCAGCGCCTTGCGCATTTTGTAGATTGGCGAAATGTGCGTGAACACCTTTTTCGAGGAGCTTCATCACCTCCTTGTGGTCGTTTCGTAGGTGAATAATTCGTACTCGAGTTGTGCGAACTACCATCTCTCATCAGCAATGTGTTTTGATCAACTGGGGTGTGGCAGGACCGTACCTTGCGCGATGTCAATATCATCACGAGGGAAACCGTCGAAGGTGGTGAGAGACGAAGTCATGCGTACTCCATGCTGGAATAAGGATACTTGTTAGAAGGTGCGACGGGAAGAACTGGCTCGAAAATCTCACTGATTGGAGGACGCTACTAAGAGCTGACAGTTCCGCCTCGATGCGTTCTTTCTCCCGCATCAGATCTGGCATCGAAAATTTGGACAGATCACGGGGAGTGCCCCCGGACGTCGGCCCAGAGGCAACAGTGGGAGCATGAATATCATCCATGAAGATTGAGAAAAGAAAGAAAGTGAGAGAAGGTCAGGTCAGGTGGGTCTTGGGGGACCTGGAGCTCCCACTATTTTATATAAGCGGCGATGCTTGGCGCTCGAAGTATACGAAGTTGACCGCAATTGAAAAGCTTCGCTTTTTAACATATACTCATACATAACAAGGAAAGAAGGATTACTTATTCGAAAAACAAAAGATAAAATTCTGCTATTTCAATTCCAGCCATCCAGCTACCTTTTCTCATGACGTACATGGATGGGTTTCAAATTTGCAATATCTACTCTGTGCTGCTCTGTACTGCCTGAACAGTGGCAGTTTCCCCTGTTTTCGATGCACTTTCCAACCTCGAAGATGTAGCTGAGGTAGTCGCTCCCAGTTGCTCCTCCCTCACCATGAATTTCGATCCTGTGGTTTTGAGTAGTCGGTTAGGTCCGCCTCTTCTTACTCCATGCCATCGGGCCCTGAATCCTATATTTTATTGGGCGGGATCGCTATTTGGAACCATGGCAGATAAGGATGAAACGGACACCGAGAACCAAGCCCTGTTGGAGGAGGAATCCGAAGAGAACTTAGAGAGTAGTGGTGGAGTGACTCCGACCGATCAGTCAACTGCTCGTCCATTCAAAAAATGGATGGACAGCTTCCGAGCACGGAAACATGATTCTCCAGTATTCAAACAGGGAGTTGTGGAGGGCTGGTCAGATACATCTTCTCATGGCTCGCAAGGCCATCGGTCGAGTCCATCCGACTCATCGCAGCTCGGAACCGTCAAAACAACCACAGCAAGCATTGGAAGTCAGAGTTTGATAAGATCGAGGACAACTATTCACAGCACAACAAACCAGAGCGGGCAATCAGACGTGCGCCATTCTGGTGACAGCTCTCGACCAAGCTCAAGTCACCACGTTGATGAAGCTGTGGAAACACGGTCTACCAGACGGCGCCATATCCTACAGGAACTTGTCGAGACCGAGTCTGATTATGTACTTGGTCTGAAGGCTCTTATCGGGGTAAGTCAGGATATTGATTTTCATGTCTTAATTTGATGCTGATGTGCTCTGTAAACAAACAGATCCTTACGATATTTGGCACGAGGCGCGAGATCTATGACAACATCCAGGAGATCCTCGAAATACATGAACGCTTTTTGACCAAGCTTCAGACCGCATCTCCCTTGTCAGGTTCTCAGACACAACAGGCAGGTGCCTCTGAGCTTACATCCAGGGGAATTACCAAGCGTATAGGGACCCTTGATCTGGGTAGTCTAAAAGGGCTTCAGCAACGATCCTTGAGGACCCGTTCACTGAAGGCATCGATCAATCGACGGCTCATGGCACTCAGCGCTGAACCAACAGAGGTCTTAGAAGTTGCCCGTGAATTTGAAAAATTGGTAAGTAACTGTATTGGTACACCAATGGTGCATATATTAACTGAAGCATTTTATAGCTACTTTCATTCCCTGTGTATGACCAATTTTGCAGCAACTATGAGCTGTTAACACAGGATGTTGCTCTCTTACGCCGGTCAATTGCCAACTGGACAATATATGATCAAGGAATCGAGGCACTTTCGAAATCGGTCGCGTCCACGGAGCGACGTAGACAAGAGGACAACAAATCAATGACATTGAATGATCTGTTGATCAAGGTGTGTGGGTAGGATATGATGCGTGTCTCAACAACTAACAAGAAGGTAGCCCATCCAACGTCTTTGCAAATACCCTCTTGTGCTACAAGATCTGCTCCGAGCTACCCCGGTTAGTGATTGTCCGTCTGCCCATGACGGAATTCAGCAGGTTTTGGATAACATACGGGTGCTAGTGACACGGATCAATTTGGCAGCTGGAAACCCGATCAACAAAGACCGTATCCAAAAGACAATTGTTCTCCAGGGCAAGGTAGATATCTCAAGATCGGTAAGTAGCCCAAGGTCGCTTCATTGATGTAATGAGCACAACTGAATATATTGGGCAGTATGCACTCCAGGATATATACAAAGACCTAGGTCCGCTGGTCCTGTGTGGCGTGCTCCATGTCACATATCAAACATCCGAAACCACCAATGGGGAGTTCATGGTCTGTGTGCTTTTCCACCGTTATCTTCTGTTCGCCAAGGGAACTGAGGAGTTGCATCGATTGGAGGCAGTGGCATGCATCTACCTAGACAGTCTCAAGATTGATACGCTTCAAAATGGACGAGGTAAGTAACTTTCTCATATCTGTGCTCGGAATATATCTAACCCATCAGGACTATATTGCTACGGATGTATATTTTCTTGGAAGCTCCTGTTTCAAGACCAAGATGAAAACTATGAATTCGTCCTCAGTGCATCATCGGCAGTGGAAGAAAAACAATGGAACACTGAGATTCTCAAAATGTCCGCCGCGTTGGTCGAAATGGCCCAGCCCAGGATGTGGGAGCCTGGAAAACATTCTTTTCTGGCCCTGCCACTTGTGCCTCTAGACCATGTCCAGTATACAGTGTCTTCCATGGCCCGGAGGTCAATGGATTCCACGACAATCTCCCGCAAGTCCCACGTTCAGCATGTAGTTATCAAAAAGACACACTACCCGCGCCACACAGAACTAGTCCTACAGGCCGAAGGTGAGATTGAACGGCCTAAGACACCCATTGACCGCTCCGCATTGACATTGACTGCTCGCCGAATCGACCGAATCAGGTTGGAGCGATTAATTTCGGAGGTCTACACAGGTGACGTCCTTCCGTCACCCGGAATGGTTCTCGGAAGGGGTGATCTCTTCCGACGTGGTTCGATCATGAGACGGCTCAGCCTTCGCCCGGCGTTCACCAGACGCTCAAGCGCTGAAGGTACCTTCCATTCGCGAACAGCATCTACCGACATGCATCCTAACGAAGAGAGCGATGGAATGGACAAGGGGGAAATAGGCGATAGCGAGATCGGGGAGGAGAAGGAAGTCGAGTTTGAGTTGCCTCGGACACCCACCACGCCTCGGCGGTCAAAGACATTCCGTTTCAAAGGCTCACCTAAGAATCCTGCATCGTCGGTTTCTTCCCCTCGCAGTGAAAAACGACGGAGCCACGATGGAAGTTCCGAGTCATCTCCATCTTCCAAGAAATGGTCGTCTCCAAAGAATTTCTTTAGTGCTTTGACACCTAAGAAACTAAAAAAGACCCTGTCTCACGCTGATTGAAGTATTATTAGATAGGCAAGTATCTTTTTGTTCTAGGTGGTTCTGGATCATTCGGGGAGCATTGGGGCCGGGGTATTATAATTATCAAGGTACTCCGTAATTGTGGCTGGGATTAGTATAAGAATACCAAAGCAAATTGCCACTTGGCATGAGAATTATCCCCACGTTTGGCGTCACAGCGGATCCTATAGCGGGTAGGGGGAGCTATTATGACGTCGTCTGCTGCAATAGTTGGCAACTCACCGTGTAAGGGATGTAGCATAGTGAGAAATGAGAACCACCAATGACATAGAATCCTATCCACTGTTGAGTTAATTGTACAATTCCAAAATTAATTCAGACAATCTTCAAACACACGCGAGCTTCTTTGGCATCAGCTCATAGTATGACGTCACCAGGCATCATCACCTGAGCTCCCACTTAAACTATTAAACCACCAGCTTCTACCTTTCATTCTTCTTCTCACTCAAACATCTTCACTCTATCTCTTCACTACTATCCCAAACTATCTCTTTAACTTTCACAAATTTTACAACTCAATCTTCCAAATCCTTCAAAATGGCCCGTGGAAACGAAACCGCCTCTAAGATCTTCTACAAGGGTAGCTCGGACGACTTCATTGTCTTTGTGGACGACCTTGATGTCCTTCAGAAGTGGAAGAGCGATCGCAGCATTCCCCTGACTGAAGTTCTAAACGGCTGGAAGATCTTCCTCACTCACTCGTAAGTGTTCTCAGCTCTTATACATCATTACGTCAGGTCATTAACATCTAGTTACAGCCACGGAGCCCAGGGTGTCCTTGATACCGCCAGCCAGAGCGCTCTCCAGAATGAATTCGGCACAACCAAGGAAGAAGAGTGTATGGTCAAGATTCTTGAAGGCGGCGAATACCAGGCCACCACGGTAAGTGATTCAGTTCCACATCAATCAATCAAGATCTATATACTAACTTCACTTCAACAGGCACGCGAGCGTGAGGGAGGCAAGAACGACTCCAACGGCAGCCGCTAAATATGATCCTTAACTCTTTTTTTTTGGGGGGGCCAATGGGCAGAGCAGACAGTTGTCGATGTGCCACACTGGAACATACCCTGCACACCTACCCCATCCTCTTCTACCCCCTCACCTTTACCCTTTTTTGAGATATCCATATTCCTCGATCATCCCTTGTATGGCACTTCGACGCATGATTCTTTCGGAAAACGTCATATAACACCCTCTATCTTCAGCCCTGGTGGAATGGTTTAGAGGGATCGTTCGCCGTTTAGGGTTTGCATCTTGGTACCCACAGGCTTCTGCACCTGATATCACGAGATAATGAATGATGAGCGATTTCACTCGTCTACAAATAAACAACATTTTTTTCCATCATCTTGTGAACATGTATATTCGTAAATCGGTTCAGTCATATAACAGACATTGCATGAAAGATCATAGCATATAGTATAATTACAATATAGCCACATCATCTATACAGATAAATCAACATCTAATGACAAAGCCCCATCAAACCTCCTCCTTGATCACCACCTCATCCTTAACCACAACAGCTTCCACCTCTCTCTCAGCCCTCCTCCTCACAACCCAACTCCCCAGCTCCGCCCAAACGGCCTCCTTCTCCGCAGGCTTCATTCCAGCCGCAAGCCCACTAGTCGTCGTAGCGACAAAAATAGGCGCACCACCCCACCCATCACCACGTCCCATATTCTCCGTCTCCGCCTGCCACCCATACCGAAACTCCTCCTTCCGAATCCCCCTCCCATGTCTAACCCGCCAAACAGCCTCCCAAATACTCTTCCCAACAAGACAAACAACCTCAGGTCTCTGTGCCGCAACCTTGGCCTCCAGCACAGGCACACCTGCATCCATCTCCGCACGACTGAGCATACTCGCGTCGCGCGTCGCGCGCTCCACAATGTTCGTGTTGCCCACACTATACAGCGCGGGAAGTTTGTATGTATCCGCTGGGACGTGTCGGACACTTGTTATCCCGGAGGAATACAGTAGTTTCCAGAATAGGTTTGACGGGTGTGCGTAGGCGTACCCCGTTATTCCTGTCATTATTCCTGGGTTCACGCCTACGAGGAGGAGGATCAGGTTTGGGGGGATTGTATCGCGGAGGAGGGATTCTGTAGCTGATAGGAGTGGGGGTGTGGGTGGGGGCTTCGGGGTTGGTTTGTTGCGCTTGCGGTTGGTTGGAGTTTGAGGAGGTAGGATAGGGGATGGAGGCGTTGTCATTATGGTTGATTGTGAACGGGTGGTGCGCGGGGTGGTTGTGGTTGTGGTTGTGATCGTTGAAGCTGACTCCATCTCACATATTGTTTTCTTGCGCTTTGGGCTGGATATAGTGGCTTCTGGTTGATGTTCGGCATTGGTAATTTTTATGCGGCGTTGCGATAGAGTGGTGCTTGCGGGGCTTGGGGCTGAGTGCACTGTCGTTCCCTTATGTAGGAATTGCTGTAGCTTGCCATTGAAACTTGTGACTTTGTTGACTGGGACATCCTCGTCCTCTATTTCAAAGGCGAGCTCGTCTTCCTCGAGTTTGGGTTGGATTCCTGGCGAAGACATCTTGTTTGGTGTCAGTCAGATTAGTTAGTTCTCGGATTCCAAGCAGTTTCAATATATTGCACGACATATAGAAGTGACACAAGGCATTCATGTGAGATATTCTAGATCTTGAGGTCTAACTGTAAGTGTGGGTGGTGTTATTGTCAACATGACGTGTTTCTTGGGTCTGGATAGAGCATCACGTGCTAGGTCAGTCGTCTTCGATTTGATGCCTTTTTAAAAAGGCACCAACAGATGATATATAACTAGTTAACTAGTGCTATGCAGCTAGTATAGATGTCATGATAGGAGAACCGTGTTGTGTTCGCTAATGAACAAAATAAATTTAGTATTACGAAATTTGTAGATAAAAACAGGAATGATATTCGGGTGGTCCGGGTGCACAGAAGAGACCATAAGCCCACGGCCCCCAGATATATCTTGTAATTTAATGATACAAGCAACGTCATCCTTTCAAGTCGTCAAGTTCGTTATGGGTTGGAATATTTACATGATCTGCGTCTGATACATCCAAGGCGTCAGACCGAACTGATTTGTTATGCTTTCATTAGTCCATGCCGCTTCGGCAAGGTCCAAGGCTCCGGGCAGACAACCTATACAATGTTTCGTTAGTATAGGACTGACCATGCTAGAATCTGCGGTATAACATACCTCGCCTTCACTGTAGGCCCAGAAATAGACACCAATGCCAATCAAATAATATAACGCAGGGTCGGTTCCTTGATAGAGCAGTGCGGCGAGGAGAGCGCTGAGGGAGTATATGATGAGACGGATTTCAATGCTGCGGTGTGGTGCCGAGCCAGCAATCGGCTTGAGAGGCCACTCCCAGGCTAAGCCCACAAGACCCATTATGAGGTTTAGGATTTGGAGAACGGGTACCGGAGCGACGGCCGCATCGAGGTTCCTGGAGATAAAGTCCCAGAATACCTTGGGCCAGATAAAGCCCTCAATAGCGCTGGCCACTTGATCTGTTTGTATTCTGTCAGCGTTGGATTCGAGTTGGAGCTTCGAGTGGGTTACGTACAACCTGCCGCGGTAAGAATGATTAACCTCCCCCAGTGATTCTTGATGAGCCTGCCCATTGTGTTGAGCTAAAGCACTTGTCGTGTCGAAAGTGTGATGTGTGTGGTAGAGCTTCGTCCAGCGAAGTTCTCGGAGGAAAAAGAAGTCACTTTGGTGTGAGTGATAAAGTGCGTGCTAATCTTGGGCGACAAATGCGCAAACCCCAAATAGCTGCGGAGAGGCTCTGCGGGGGAATCACTTCATCATATGATCTAACAGACCGTAGATATGTGTATTGAGTTGGATAATCCAGAGCACATGGAGAGTGGATATTATTACAAGGGCTTATCGTGGAAGCATGATCTCACATGGGGAAGAAAAAGCAGCATGTTCCGAGTGGCATGCTTGCAGGCTGGGCCTGGTATATGAATCTATACTTAGACAAGCGACCCCTCAGATCAACCAAACCTTGGATCACTTTGCCAGGATGTGACTGTCGAGCGCCAAAAAGGTAAATCGCTGCATTGGGGTTGGTCCGTATGCAAGAAGGATAGGGCTAAGCTGTGACCTGCTCGGATACAAGTATTGTAGACCAATCACCGTCGGAAAGGTCACCGATTCCTTGACAATCTCCTCTTGAGATTCTTGAAGAATTGACATAGCCCGTGTGATTGGAGAGTGGGGGATGTGACGGAGCGGATCGTAAAGTGGATGTCCGCAAATCAGAAGCCGGGGCGCTTAGTCTTGGCGTGATGAACTGCAGGTGGCACGCATAGAACACACAGGGGCCCTGATTCTCTCAAGTCTCATGGACATTCAGATTGTACTTTTATCTATTCCAAGGCCTATGTTATTCTGGACTGCCTGGGTTGTCTGGGTTGTCTCAGCTTTGTACCGGAGACAGTTTGGAACTTTCCAGGTCAGATGACCACAGTAGCCCTGATTGCAATTCGGTGCTACACACCGTCTTTATGCATCTTCTGCAGAGTTGACCCGTGCCTGGTCTAACTTCAATACTAAGTGGAGACTTTTATCGGGAAGAAAAATTGTTGTTGATGGGGAAACTAGCTCGAGTCAGTCACTATTCTATATTTGGGCCAAAACTTCGACTCGCTAAGGATCCTGAACCGAGTGACAGGTGTTTTCACCAATTGACTGTGAGCGACCCTCGGGGCTCCCGTGTGACGGGAAGACGGCGCTTGCAGGAGAATTCCTATAGGTCAATCTCCCAGCAACCTTCTTTCCTTGGCCTCATTTAACGTTGCTCACTCACGGCCACTGACCAGCCTTTCTGCCACCGGGGTATTAATTCCTTTGAAACTTGGGCTTCGACCCGTCTAACTCCCCCCAGCAAGCCCGTTATTCATAGAACAAAAAGCCAACTCGGATAATATTGGTTGAACAGGGTGCGCTTCCTTTTTCGTACTAGACTCGCTTCATCGCGGGGAACGTGGCATGGTGGTCAGACTTCTACTTCGTATAAACATTGTGTCATGATTGGTGTGCCTGCTACGAACGGTCTATAAAAATAGCAAACTTCGCAGAGTATCAATTAAAATAGACCACAAGCAGGACCTTTGTAAACCTTGGACAGAATCAACCCAGGTAGTTGAAAGAGACCTTGGGAAAACTGACGAGTTTAAGCGACGAAGATTCTAGCCTCTAATCTTGGTCTTTTTTGATCTTTCCAATATCTTTTCCTAGGAGAATTTGTAAAAGCACAGACATTTGAACTTAGTCTATTGGATTAAAATATACCGTAGTCTTTCGGTTGTCCGTAGTGCCCGCTGGAAGCGATGTAATTATAGATCGCCGCCCCCCCTCTTCACTCACCCCTGCAGCTAAAACCACAACACTGGGATTCTCTGGACCTCCAAATTTTCTTCGTCCTTACTCATCTATTGACGTCAATCATGACAACTGACCGATAAAATATTGCATTTTATCCCCAAGTGTCCAGTAACCTCTTGTATTCAAGAGGACACGTGCAGGGGACTCCCCCGGCGAAACGCCAACAGCGCTCGCGACAACCCGCACATCCCACTCTTGGTCTCTATACATTTTGATCGAGCAGCATCGCCAGCTACAAGTGTGCTTTCCACCGTACGAGTAATTCACTAGTACTAGGAATTCTTTTCAAATCCACCGAGGGCCTGATTCTCAGCTTCCAAGCGAAAATTATCCTGAAAAATCACGACTCGCGTCAAGTCCATGGAGAAACAACGACATTGACGAACCCCGAAGCCACCGACTGTCACTATTGACATTGGAGTCTTCCCACGAAAGTGAAACGGGAGATCTCACTTTCGACAGAACTTCAGTGTATATTACCGGGTTGCTGGTCAACCGTCTCGTCACTCCTTTGATTGAATTATCACTTATCGCATAAATCGTTTGTCGCTGGTCGACATTCTTGAAAAAAGAGAAGAAAGAATGGCTGCAGCGCAAGATTCCTGGTGGAAGAGGGCGGACTTGACCGTTTCCAAGGTCTTGTTCCATTTGTTCTTTTGGGGTCTACATATTGGCCTTTTTGCTGTGGGATGGTATGTATTTTGATGTCTACCAGGCCCCTGGACTACGTGACTTATATCCTCTTAGGTACCTGCAGGCATCAAATCCAAAGTTGGAACCGCTGAATGCCCTTAGTTATTCAGTCTGGATATCGCGAGGCGCAGGCCTTGTCCTTTCAGTCGATTGCACTTTGATCCTATTTCCTATGTGTCGGAACATCCTCCGATGGCTGAGGCCACAGATCAGATGGCTACCACTGGATGAGTCGGCGTGGTTCCATCGGCAGATAGCCTATTCTATGCTAGTGTTCACAGCTATCCACACCGCTGCTCACTACGTCAAGTACGCTGCTTTCTAATCCAACTTGTCACGGTCACTTTGCTAACATTAACCAGTTTCTACAATATCGAAAAAGACCAGATTCGCCCAGAACTTGCAGTCACGATCCACTTCGCACGCGCAAGTGGTATCACTGGCCATGTCATGCTCCTGTGCATGATGCTCATGTACACCACTGCACACCACCGCATTCGCCAGCAAGCATATGAGACCTTCTGGTATGGACATCACCTTTTTATCCCATTCATGTTGGCACTCTACACCCATGCCACTGGGTGCTTTGTCCGAGATACCGTCGACCCTGTCTCCCCTTTTGCAGGAAAGCAGTTCTGGGATCACTGTCTTGGTTATGAAGGGTGGAGATGGGAGTTGGTTATCGGGGGTTTGTACCTCATGGAACGACTCTACAGAGAGGTTCGCTCCCGGCGCGAGACGGTCATCACAAAGGTTATCCGTCATCCTTATGGTATGATCTTCTTTTTTTTCACAAATGATAGACTGACGACAGCTAACCAATGACCATAGCTGCCATGGAGATCCAATTCCACAAACCAAGCATGAAATACAAAGCCGGACAATGGGTATTCCTCCAAGTACCCGATGTCTCCAGTACCCAATGGCATCCATTCACCATTACCTCCTGCCCTTTTGATCCATATCTCAGCATCCACGTCCGTCAAGTCGGAGATTTTACCAGAGCACTTGGAGATGCGCTTGGTTGTGGTCCTGCCCAAGCCAAAGATCTTGAAGGACTTGACCCCAACGGCATGTACGAGGTTGCCCTGCAAAACGGACAGACCATGCCCGCAATCCGCATAGATGGACCGTATGGTGCACCTGCAGAAGACGTGTTCGAGAACGAAATCGCCGTTCTTATCGGCACCGGCATTGGTGTCACACCATGGGCATCTATCCTCAAGAACATTTGGCATCTCCGCTCAAGTCCGAATCCCCCTCGCCGACTACGACGTGTCGAGTTTATCTGGGTTTGCAAGGATACCTCTTCATTTGAGTGGTTCCAAGCTCTGCTATCTTCCCTTGAAGCCCAATCCGCCAACGCGGCTGCTAGCGAGGGAAGCACCGAATTCTTGCGTATCCACACGTACCTCACACAGCGTCTCGACGCTGACACTGCTGCAAACATCTACCTTAACTCTGTCGGTCAGGCCCTTGATCCTCTTACCGAGCTAAAGAGTCGGACGAACTTTGGTCGTCCAGACTTCAAGCGGCTCTTCACAGCTATGAAGCTTGGATTACTGAACCAGTCCTACATGACTGGTCTGCAGAATTCTGGTACCACCGAGATTGGTGTGTACTTCTGTGGTCCTAATACTGCTGCCATGCAGATTAGCGACGCAGCCAAATCTTCATCAACCAAGGATGTCCGGTTCAAATTCTGGAAGGAACACTTCTAGTCTTTTTTCTGGGGTCTATTCGCCTTTTCGTTTTTTTCTTGTTCTATATACGAATTATATGAGTCACGAATATCTCTTTTTCTATCATCACTTATCCATGTTTTCATGGAGTTTCTAGGTTTGCCTCCTACCATGGATTTTATACCTTGAGAGGAGGCCTGAATCAGTCTGCTATGAGGAGCAGCGAGAGAAGCAACCACAACATACGTGTGTACCAGCGGGGATGCTGGGCTGTAGGAATATATGGCTATAGACTTGACAATTTGCTTTCAATAATACTGTCTGTTTTTTCATGTGTCCGTAAATTACATTTACAGGTCTTCTGGGTCCTGATTTCCATTGTAAATTGAAGTTACTATGTAGGGGATGATAATGGCTGCCAGTCCTTAGTCTTTTACCGCCAGTTTAAATTCCCCAACCGTGTTGTACAGATATTAGAAGATTGTATACACCTCAGATCATTAGAGATACCCCTGCTTCCGACAATTTGGTTCCTCAGAGAGACTGACATCCGTAGTGACCACAATTCCTTTGTAATTTTTCAATGAGCCCTCTCCACTCCCAGTCGTATCAACAACAATATGCTGCTGGCTCTCACCACTCGAGTCTCGCCGCGACTTCCCCCAACCTAACGACGACAGCTCATATGGATGTCTATTATACACATCCCTGCTCTGACTCCTCGAAGAAGTAAAAACACTGTTTCGTTTCGGCGTCTGGCTGGTAAAATTCGAGCTGCCCTTCGAAGAGAACCAGCGTGAATGGCTGATAAGCGGCTTGATTCCCGGGGCGCAGATAGTGATCACAGAAACGAGGGCTTCGCGGGAGGCCCAGCCTAGAGCAGTTGATAGCTGGGAAATATCTTTGACAGAGTAGTAGGCGCGGAGGAAGGCGGCTATCATGACGAATATTCCGGATGAGAAGAGAAGGCAGAGGAGGAGCTTTTGGGTGAGCGGGATGCGGGCTGCTATGACGAGGGGAATGGGGATTGTGAGGATCGCAATGTCAGTTCTGCTCAATTAGTTAGTATATGGATTGCTGGGGAGGGGTTGGAAAAGCTTGTAACTGACGTTATGCTGAGGGTCTCAATGACGATATAGTTCAAGGGACGTATAGTACAGTTATCTGCCAGTGGGTTAGTAACCACGATATCAGCCCTAAATACATTGATCTCACCTCCAGCATATGGTTTGATTTGCCAGCTCCTGTGTACTGGCTTGCAAATAAAAATGTGGAAAAACAGGGATGCGATGAATGTACCGACACAAAAGGCTCCAACTACTATCGTCAAGCGGTGTTGCCAGAGACCTAGTCTGTCGCTTCGTCAGCATAGATTTTGGGCAGCTTCCGGGAGTCGAATCTATGGACGCACGTCAATCTGTTGTAGAGGAACATTAAGACCCCTTTAAATGACCACACCATGCAGATATACGAAATCCAGGCAACAAATGCGTCGATGGATCCGGTCCGTAAGGTTGCGACTTGGCTGTCCGGAACCTCCATCGCCGATTTCTCGTCAAGACCAATGTTTGACCCGTATACATCTGTCATGAATCAACATGGAACAAAGTAGAAGTCTAGGGGAAACATACCATTACAAAGATAAAGAAAGACCGTGTGCATGGTCCAAAATATCTTTTGCTCATTAGTACGATGACCACTACTTACCTTGTTTGCAGGAGAAAATAACTGACCGTGGCAAGCCCTAGACAAAGATCATCCCAGTAGAACTTGCTCTTCCCAAGTTTCCACCGTGCATAGATGCGAATTGCAATAATGGCCATTCCTATAGCCCATTCTGCGAATAACTCTGTTGTAACGTTGTATGTCATAATAATGGTAAATCCCTTTATCTTCGATGTTGGCGGAGCAGGCAGATGGGCTATAAGCAATACCATAAAATCGCTGCTTTCTGGAAGGTCAAAACCAAACTATCCCCAAATAGAAAATAGGGATTTGGGTGAATAAGCAACATCGAGTGAGCGCCTTGCGAAGTAAGTGACCCTGAAAAATCCCCCCCCCACGCACCAAAATACCGTCGCCCTTCTTTTTGCGAGCGATCGACTAGCGAACCGATATGGATATGGACAATCGGGCATGATTGTATCCAAGCCTGGATCTTCCGTACGGGGTACCATTGTGGGTATTCTCCTGGGTCCGCTGTTCTAGTGGAGTTGATGCCAAGGTATGAAGGATGCAATAAATATTAGAAAAGAAAATCCGTCCAACACCGGAGACAGGGGTTAGGTGCATGCTGAAAGATGTTTGGTCGGCTTGATGCCGATCCGAAGCTTCATGGTACAGCTGGAAGAGGGAAAAAAAGGCAATCGCCGGGTCCTAATGGATGCATGTATATTTGAACCAGCAGATAAATATGTAATTAGCAAGTATCGGCGATGCTTCCGCCTCATTTCTATGATTTTCCTGAACAGACCATTTGTTCCTTCATTTCCATTCCCTGTCAAGTGCGTATGAAGTGTGGGTCAGGACACGGAATACTCCGTACATAGGGGCCAACAAAACAACGAGACAATTTTTGTATAGCGGGAGCGATCCTCCGGCGAGTATGGCGTAAGAGTGTAGATTTACGTTCGTTCCCACCTTCACATGTTATCGAAGATTGGGAGAGGGGACTGGAAATGATAAGTCTGTGATGTCAAAACATCGAGGACAAATCTCCCTGATAGGTTGACATGAGCGATGGTCAACAATAGCTGGGTGGAGATCGTTGGTCATAGTATCATGATGTATTTCAAGTCGGAAGTTTAGTACAATATAGGCTGAGATTGTGGCCTCGTTTTAATGAAATAGTCTCCACAGGCGTATTGGCTTAGAAGAAGTCGGAAGTCGGAATAAAGAACTCGTTGAGACAGGCACTTGCACGTGACGACATCCTGGTTGTCAAGATGGGTTGCTCTCTCTCTTTTTCCTCCCAAGTCTCTCACCATTACAGACTACTCCGTACCCAATTGATCTCCCCTTTCTTCTCCGCTAAGACAGCCCAATGAGCTGTGTGGACGCGTAAACTGGTTCGAGCTTCGGCCGAGCGCCTTCCCGTCGCCCCGCCCTTCAGCCCCCGGAGATCGTCCACAATGCTCTCGGTGTGGATGCCATGTTGATCTCGGATACGGAGTAGGGCAACGAGGAATCCTTCGCTTTGGGTCTATTGCATTAGCTTGAATGAGCGGCTCCGATGGTGTATATTGTAGGGGATATGTAGGGAAATACTTCAGCCGAAGCCACTGCTTCAACCCTTGGTTTCCCACTCATCCTTCTTGGCCATAATTTCAAGTATAATGGATATCCAGCATCTCCAGGGTCTTCTGGCAGATGCCAAGGCTTCAATTGATCTTTATGAGTCGACTCAAACCGACAACTTTCGAGTTGAAGCCCAGGAAAAGGCCACGCAGCTGGCGCGTGCGTTGGAACGACCCAAAGATGCAATCCTCAAGCTGTCCTTTTCTGTAAGATATATATAATCCCCGAGAATCATTAGAGTATAATGCTGACTGATTGGAAAGCCCGTCATTCTCATGGCTGTCAAGACAGCTGATGATATGAATGTATTCTCCGTATTGGCTCAGGCCACGGCCCCGGTTCCCCTGGGCAAATTGGCTGCAGCAAAGCCGGCAGACCCTCTTCTAGTCGGTAGGTTAGGGCTCGGTAACCGGGAAGACTTGAGAACTAACTCGCCTCCAGAGCGCATTATGCGAGTTCTAGTCGCCAATGGCTTTGTTGATGAGCCGGCTCCCAGCGAATACCTCCCCACCGCGCTATCTCGAGAAATGACCAATCGCACATCAGTTGGCGTTGTGGGATCACTGTAAGCTGCTCAAGATTTACAACACAGAGGAATAGTATACTAATCTAACTAGCTTCCACGAATTCCTGCCCTCAATTCAAAAAGTTCCTGAATATCTCCAATCGACCAACTATCGCAACCCAGATGATCCCATGTTCGCCCCTCTTCAATACACCCACGATCTCAAAGTAGATGGATTTACATGGCTCTGTCAGAACCCGGAAGCTTTGACTCGATTCAATAGCTTCATGGAAGGACAGCGTGCTGACCGTCCACACTGGGCCGACTGGTTCCCTGTTCGGAAACAGCTTCTCGATCACCCAGACATGACTCCCGAGACACCACTTTTGGTAGACCTTGGCGCTGGTCGTGGCCACGACTTGATTGGATTTAGGAAGAGGTTCCCGGATGTCTCGGGTAGACTGGTATTGGAGGATCTTTCTTGTGTGATTGACGAAGTGCATTGCGCGCAGGACCTTGAGGCGGCGTCTATTGACACCGTCGCGCATGACTTTTTCGCTGAGACTCAACCGATTCACGGTAAGGATCTTTATGTGTGCGATACGTATGCATTTGCATGGGGCTGATGTATTTATTCATGCGCAGGGGCACGCGCGTACTATTTCAAGAACGTGTTGCATGACTGGTCGGACGAGAAAGCGACAATCATCTTTAACAACCTAAAGCCAGCTATGAAGCGGGGTTTCTCCAAGGTTATCATGGAGGAGTATATTCTTCCTGATCAGAATGCTCGCTTACTTCCTTGCATGACAGATATCGCTGTGATGGTTTTCTGCTCGGGATTGGAGAGAACCCGTCAGCGCTGGAGTAATCTGCTAACATCTGTTGGTTTGCGAGTCATCAAATTCTGGGTGCGTGAAGGCGACGGCTTGGGAATCATTGAAGCCGAATTGGCAGAGAGCTCATGAATAGAGTCATTATCTATGAGAAGAAACGATGGTCCATATTCAGCATTGACTGCACGCTCAATATACTGACTTTATCTTCATGAGATCCATAATAGATCAAAACAAGCTTGGTAGAAGTTAATATGGTTGAAAAGGGGAATAGACGACAATTATTAGGCGAGTGGGTAAGAGAGTTAACGGTCGCAGGATGTGCACCATATTTCAATGTATACACCGTAACAGCACAAGTTTCCATAGATTCAGCACCATTCTAAGCAAATGAGAAACCCACAATTGACCTCAAATCCACAATGTCATTCACATGGCTCATAACACTCGTGTTCGGCTTTGTCATCATCAGCCTCAGCCAATTGTTCCAGTATCTGACGTTTGACTTCGTCGAGTGCAGCTTTGCAATCATCATACCGCTCATGTTCGATGAAACCTTTGTCGGGCCATAGATCGCTCATTTTATCCTTAACCTCAGAGAGAAGCTCGGTTCCTGCAACGGCATTATCCTATGCTTCGGGCATAGCACATATGTGTGGATTGGGGTCGGCTCATATTATACGGATTTGAATGGCTATGCCTGTCCCTCCTGGGGGAAAGCGCATCCCAGTTGATCAGATGAGCACCGAGGTTTCAGACAAAATTGAGTATGAACAATCAGTAAATTCTGAAAAAGCTACTTTGGATCTGTTATGGGCGAAGATGAGGCTGTGCCCAGAGCTCCCCTGTGAGACAGCTAGCTAGCACGTGACCTGCATACTTATTCGAAATTAAAGTTTGCCAAGGCCGTTGAGCCGCTTATCTTCTCCACTCTCTCTCTTTCACCTCACCCACTGTTATCGTTTCTATCTTCAACCCATCATGTCTGGGATTTCCAGTGAGACTCGGCTTAAGCCTCTATTTGACTCGCCTGAATAGTCTAACCAAAATATTGCGAACATGAAACCAACGCATTATTGAGAGCACCTACTCAGTGTGCCACTGCCATTGTCAATGGCATCATGCTCTAGACATCCACTACGACGAGAGCCAAGTCTCCATCCGTCAGTATTTTTGACCAGCCTGCTCAAGAAAAGCTTGACCTAAGCACCAGCGCTACGCCAGAAATTCCCGCTCAGCATGACTCTTCTTCCATTGATAACAGACCATTCCCTTTCACCACCATCTTGTTCAAACCGTCTGCCCAAGAGAGCTGCGAATTCGACATCAACAATACATCGGAGATAATGGCTCATCATGACAGTGACAATGATCCAAAAAGCGTCATTCTGTGCGACAATCCATTTGACCACAATACGCTTCATACCTCTAAATCTAAAAGGGAAGGTCCCAGCACCCCAGTCAGAACGCATTTTGATGATACCTCTGGTGATTACTACTCAGGGGGCTCGGGTGGCGCTTTCAGTGTCAAATCTGAGACATCCTCTATTGCTGATCTTGACAAGAGATCAGAATCTCGACCCATTGTCTTGTTCAACGAATCTGCCCAAGATAATCACGAAGTGAAAAACAGGGCTTCATTGGACACCTTGACCCAGGATGATAGCGGTAGTGCCGTTCAAATCGTTATCCCATGTGACAATACCCCCGAAAGTGACCCTAAAACGCTTGATATCGCCAGCTCTAGCCAGAAAGAGCCGAGCACATCATCCGACGCACCATCTTGTGAGTCCGCTGACGACTTCTCTGTTAAATCCTCTGCAGACTACTCAAGTATTCCTTACGGCGCCAAATATCAGACATCCTCTATCGACAGCTTTGATAACTCGTCTCAGCATGATTCTGCATCGGAGGATGATGAAATCCCTCAAGGTTCCCAGCGTGTGGCAGCATACGCCTCTCCCCTCCAAAATGGTCGGCGTATTCGAACCAGTTGTGACAGTATCTACGACTTGGGCCGGTGGCAGGTCGATCCAGATGGATTCATCAATGAGAAACATCGCGCTGGAGGGCCATACCTATGTTCCCTACCTGTCACAATCCTCGACCTGGAGGCCGGTTCCCCTTTGTGGACAGTCTGTGAAACCGTCAGCTTTATCAAGACGATACTTTCTATTCTTGAGCAGTACGGAATCAATGCATCCTCGGTCAAGATCAAAAGATGCGAGAACAAACATGATCCTGAAATCCAGCCCGTGGCGACTTTGATTATCAATGCTACCCGCGACACATTTAGCAACGCTTGGGTGCAAGCTTGTCGTCGGATTTGGAAGCACCTATTCGAAAACAACCTTGGTCATATCAATGTCGAAATATCGGACCCAATAATTCACTACCCATTTCGCGTGTTGCCTATGGGGCTCCAGGACCGAGTTCGATCGATCCACGGCGCATTGATACAAAGAATTGAACATGACGTGGATCTTACGGATTGTCTTCACTATGGAGCGATGCGCATAGGAAACACCAAAGATACGAAGGACAGCGAAGTGGTAATGTTGCTGAAGGTGGATTTCGAGAGCCAACGAGACTGGCGCGGTCCTCGAGACCAAATTGTGTCAATTCTGGACGAGTTCAAACTTCCAATTGTGGGAGTTCTGATTGTGAAGGGCAGAATGTGGGGGGCATCTTTCGGTTTGACGGAGCGACGGAAGAAGCGTGAGAATCCTGATGTTGCCGCTCAATTGGGATTGTAACTCGAACTTACGACAGAAGCACTACTCTTAAATTTCAGTTTGATTGATTTATCAATTAAGTAGCTATCAGAGGTCTATCCTCCAATGTAATACACAGGTCTAAGCACGCCATATCTAGTCGGAGTGAGCAAGGATTATAAATCCGCTTGGAAATCCTACCTATATCCAGGCAGGCGGGGTATATAAGCACAGCTATTCTCTTTCCTCTTTGTATGAACCTCACTTGGCGATATTCAATTGCAAGAGAATATCAATTCAACCTCAAGATGGCCGACTCAAAACCCAACCGTCAGCTGCATCTCACGGCCTTCATGCGGCCAGTCTCGTTGCACACAGGTGCATGGCGTTATCCAGGTTCATACCCCGATGCCAACTTCAATTTTAGATACATTGCCCAATTTGCCCAAAAGCTAGAAGCCGCAAAGTTCGACGCCTTCTTCATGGCCGATCACCTAGCAGTGCTGAACATGCCCGTCGAAGCTCTTAAGCGCAGTCATACTGTGACTTCATTCGAACCCTTCACGCTGTTATCCGCTCTCTCTGCCGTCACAGACAAGATCGGTCTTGCTGCCACTGCTAGTACGACTTATGATGCACCGTATCATGTTGCCCGGCGATTTGCCAGTCTTGATCATCTGAGCGGCGGACGAGCGGCATGGAACATTGTTACTACTGGAAACCCAGAATCGAGTCATAATTTCGGCTTCGATGAACATTTGGCCCATGGCGATCGGTATAAGCGTGCCCGGGAGTTCTATGATGTCGTCACGGGGTTGTGGGATAGTTTTGCCGATGATGCTTTTACCCGGAATGTCGAGACGGGAGAATTTTTCGATCCTGCGAAAATGCACGTATTGAACCATTCCGGTGACGAGTTGAAGGTTCGAGGGCCGTTGAATATTGCCAGACCACCGCAGGGATGGCCGGTCATTGTGCAAGCAGGACAAAGTGAGCCAGGACGACAGCTGGCAGCTGAGACTGCGGAGGTTGTGTTTTGTAGTCCGAAGGATATTGATGGCGCGAAGGCGCTCTATACGGATATCAAGGGGCGAGTGGAGAAGGCGGGACGAAAGAGAGATCAATTGAAGATTTTACCTGCGGCAATGATTATTGTGGGTGATAGCAAGCAGGATGCACAGGAGAAGAGACTGAAGTTAGATAGTCTGGTGCATTACGACAGTGCCATTGCTTCTCTGTCGATCTCACTTGGGGTGGACGTCAGTGGACTTGATCCAGATAGTCTGTTGCCCGACGACCTGCCCGAGACGAATGCGAGCAAGACCAGCAGAGAGTCTGTTGAAAAGCTTGCTAAGGAAGAGGGACTGACAATCCGCCAGCTTGCACAACGATATGGCGGATACTCAGGGTTGACATTCCTCGGTTCGCCGAGCGATATCGCCGAGGAGATGGAGACGTGGTTGCGTGAGGAGGCTTCTGATGGCTTCACATGCACATTTCCGTTCTTGCCACAGGGTCTGGAAGAGGTCACAGATAGATTGATCCCTGAACTCCAGCGAAGAGGCATTTTCCGCAATGAGTATACGGGCTCGACATTGCGTGAACACTTCGGCCTGCCGAGACCCGAGAACCGGTTCTTCACTGGGGAATCGTAATTGTACCTAACCAATATAGATTGTGTCATTGCGGTGACAATACTCAGCCTATATCTGGCTGGAATTAGAACTATGTTTATATAGCACGCCTGTTGTAACTCTACCTTAGTCCGATTTACCTGCCATATCGTCGAAGTTTGACTGAGAAATGAAAATACCATGATTCACTTCAGTAGTTGCAGTGCTATCAAGACTGAGCGCTTGGCACCAAATCATCGCGATGGTTGCGAGCATTTCCCCAATCGTTATATATTCTGGTGCCGAGGTCTCTGCTTGGTAGTACGATGATTCTGTCAACCTCCATATTTACAATCAAAGAGATCCGTTTTGATTATTTTATACGAGCCTCCATTTGGACGGAGACTTTAAATCAAAACGAGGGCCTGGAAACTCGTCGACCGTGTCTAGCCAAGATACAATGAACCAAGACAGATCTTTGTACCTTAGATCGTATCCGATGAAAGGGCTTCTACAGGATCGCTAGTGCCCTTATGTATTATGTTGTAATCCGCCGTCGCATCTCGAGCGCTACTCTCACTTTTACTTCACTACATCTACAGAATTGAAGCACATAATTCTCAGAAAAATTTGACATTACTCTCACATCCAGGTGAAGGGGATCTGAGAGCACCCCCTTCACCTGTGCATCATCGTATTCCCCACTGTTCTCTCCCCTTCCTCCTCTTCCTCCCCTAGGCCCCCCCTTGGCCTACTGGGCCCAGTGGCCCTCCACATGATAGTGGACACGAAGTCCACGGCGCAGCATCTCAGAGTACAGAGCGCGAAGCTCTGCAGGGTCGAACCCCGAAGGGTTGACCTCCCCGGGCCGAGTGAGGCGCGACGGGGGCAGGCGGTTGGTCAAATCCGCCCGCAAGTGCTCGAAGGCAAGCAGGTACAGCTCCTTCGACCAGGGGCAGGAGCGCAGGGCCCGGAAGTAGATCTCGCGGGCGCGGCCGACGTTGTACTCCGCGTACAGCTCGTAGAGGATATACAACCTCCAGATGGTGAGGTTGCTCTGCGCGGAGGTCGAGCTTGCCAGCTCGAAGGGACTCTTCCGTGTGGGGGTCCGCCCGATCGGGACGACTCCGTCATCACCGATCGCTCGCTCGAAGGCTGCCCGGATTGAATGTGAGGTCGAACCGAGCACGATGGGGCGGCCCATCTCAGCATAGATGCTGAAAAGGTGAGTCGTGACAGGCACACGGTGGATTGGTGCAGGCCCTTGCAGATCTCGCTCAGCCCTGGCCTTCGCTCCGATGGTGACGTCGAAGATATCGCGGGTGCGATCGGTGAGTTGTAGACGAGCCTCGTTCCATTTAAACAGTGATAGGAACATGGTGTTGTGGGGCCACCATTCCAGGCTATCTAGCAGCACGGCGCGAACATCGATAGGTCTGAATTTGCCACTCTGCTTCACCACATAGTGATACATGATCCGGGCTCGGGCTTGGTGTAGTAATTCTCCGCCGAGCACCTTGGAATCATCATCGGTCCGGGGTAGGACTCTAAGGGATGTGACTGCATTATTGTAGACATCAAGGACATCTTCGAGTAGCTCGCCCATAATATAGAGAGCGATCGCGTAGCAGTCGACGTAAGCTGTGTATGCTTGCATTTTCTTGAACTTCAATGCGTTCTTCTGAGCTGCAAACAAGCACTGTGAATAGTTAGCATGGTGTTCGCTGAGATCAACGGATGCTAACTTGCCTGCTTGATCCTGAGAAAATTGGGTTGATTAATTTCAATTGTATCAGCTGTCTGGTATGATGACAATTGGACTTTGTTGTAAGGCATAGCCTGCAACAGATATGATGCTCGCTCTTTTTCCCCGTTGTGAAGCAACTCCCAAATCCACGAGTTCCATAGGAGTGCAGAGTCAGTGAGCTCCCGAATGTCGAAATTCTGGCTCATAGACAAAGCAGTCGACCACACATTATGAGCAGTATCATGATCACCAGTCCGCCAATACATGAGCGCGACAGCATTGTAAAGTCTCAGGTTCGATGATCGCCCCTTCAAGAGTCGCTTTCCGTACTTCTTACCCATATTGTTATTACATGCGAAGGTCACTGCAATCGCATATTCAGCCAATTGGCTGTCTTCGAAGTAGTCAACAAGGGCATGGAGAGTCAATAGTACAAACTCGGAATCGATGACGCAGGAAGAATGAGAGGTGGTTGCAGCCCACTTCTCCAGACCAGAAAACCACATTTTTGGATCCGCAAAAAGAGTATCGGTGGTGTGAACGAAGGTATGATGAGGGAATGCGAACGGCTCAATGGTGGTGGTCGCGGCATATTTCTGTAAACTGATCCAGTCCGCAATTGTGTTTCGAGGATCGTCCATGTATTCGTTTCGCAGGAAATTATCGCCAGTCCACAGTCGGCTGGTGTGCATATTCGCGCGTAATGTCAAATGAGGCAAATGGCAGAAATACAAGAACCCATCAACCAGGGGCCCGAGGCCTTCGTCCAGGTCCCAGAAGTATGGCAGTATCTGCGTGCAATCCTCAAGAAGGACCACTCGGGAACCATCATTCTCTTTTGATTCATCAAATGTGTGAGACGGCATGCGATTTTTAAACATCCGCTCTCTCTCCGCAGGTGGCCAGGTTTCAAACAATTCTCTGGGATCCGCTTCAGAAGTGTAAACACGCTTGGTGACCGGGGCACGGGAGGTTTGTCCTCTGTGCCAGGGCTTCCAAAGAGGCTCTCCAATCCGGGTGTGCCCAGGCGCCCAGAACCTTTTGAACTCCACTATGGCCTCTTCTTTTTGCCCATTAAATGGGCTGGTAGGAAGCACGTAAATTCGAGCACTGCTTGCCATAGACCGACAGCTAGCTCTACGTACCCCGATTCTCGAAGAAACAAGGTTAACCGAAGCAACAAGTATGATCTGACAAGAGTTTTCTGCGGCCCAAAGCCGACACGTGAATGCGTCTTCAAGCAGTAAGCATAAGTCTTAAAGCAATTGTCAAAGCTGAAATCCTGACAATCAGTCTGACTGTAGTCAAGATACTTAATCCATACAGTGATGAATTCAGAGTTGTGGCGGAGGACTTCGTCCCATTCCAATGCGAGTTTTTTGGCGTCCCAGACTTTTGCACCCTCTTCCATACGGGCCAGCACGAGCTGGTCGCGTTCGGGATTTTGTGCGTTAAGCTTGATCGCTTTTTCATACACATACAACTTGGCTCTCGCCACAAGATGTACATCGCCGTAGTAGGAAGTGTGGTCGCCTGTGACGGCAAGTTCTTGATGCTCAGCAAGGCGAATCCAGGCTTGGATATCGTTGGGTCTTTGCACCACCGCACGGTTCAACTTCGCATTGCGATTCAAGATATCAGCTTCAACAGCAAGTCGAGTGATGGTGGTCGCATCGAAATCCTCAGCGAGTTGACCTTCGGACTTAGCCGGGAAATGAATGGAGCGATATGACGGTTCATCATCGAAGGTGATACTTGCCGCAAGCCCGGGTTGAGACGACGGGATTGTTGTAGGTATAAAGTTTTGGGGATGTTGGGTATCGGCAACAAGGTTGGCATTCATATCGGATTGGATGCGAATAGGAAGATTTATGGACAAAGCAGATAGGGTTTCGGCGGAGAGGGGCTTGGCTGCAGAGGTTGCAGATGAGCCTGAGTCGGGGCGAAGAATGAGAAGAGGGCCTTGATCGTATCGTGTTTTGTAATCAATGCGCCGGTTTGGAAGTCCCAGTACGAAGCCATTGCCATTGCGACGGTACGCAGGGACGTCGTATCGATGCACACCGTAACGTGCATTGTCGCGATCGCCGAGGCTGTCGACGACAAATCCTTTGTTTGCCTCATCGTTTGCAACGCTTACATCGTCAATTCCTTCCCCACTCAGCCGCTCCTTACTTTCTTCAACCTTCACCTTTTGGCGATCACCATCCGGACGTCTTTCATGGCGACGAGAGCGCGGAGACTCTCTCCGGTCTGCGCGCTGACGATGGCCCGAGCGATGCCGGCGACGGTCATGTTCCGAGGCTTTACCGGCGGCCGGAGAAGAGGTAGGGGGAGGTCGGAAGCTGGAAAATTGTGGGACACCCTTTATTGCTGGTCAGTGTGTGCTCTTTGTCTATTAAGGCGTAAGTGAAGGCTAACTAACCTGAGACCCAGGTGAGTCCATCGTAGTGTCTCGATCTTTATCGAGTCGCGCCGCGGTCTGATAACCCGGAGGAATGATTCTCCGATGGGCGGTCGGGCTGGCTGGCAAAAAAAAAAGTCAACCGTTTGCTCTCAGTCAAACAAAGCTCAAGACTTACCTCAAATTATTTGAACCGTCTGCCCTCGGTTTGCAGGGGAAAAGAAAAGAAACACCCACCGTCAACAATATTGGGGATATGTGTCACTGCGCAATTGTGTGAGAACTGACGCAAAACAACGAGAAAAAAAGTCCGCGGAACAGCCCGCCAAAAGAGACTTCACGATGGCTTCGTCTCTTGCCGCGCAACTGTCGCAAATTGCGGCCAAGTCGACACACGAGCTTGACCTCAAGGCGCAAAGGGTTGCACACTCACAATCTCTTATTTTCGACCCAAAGGTCGCCGGCACTCAAGACTTTGATGCGATCTATGATATTTGTTATGACGGGTTCCAGGAGTTGTGCTCGTTAGACCCCCGGTTTGCAGAGTTTGATCGCACAATCTTCAGCGAGCAGAGCAAAGCGGAGGACCGCAGCCAGATGAATGTTGCTCAGAACAAGGAGCTTGATACTGCGGTTGAAGCGTTCCTGGCTCTAGTTGGCGGTAGACTACAGTTGAGTCCTGCGGTGAAAGCTGTGGACTGGCTTGTGAGACGGTTCAGGTGAGAAACAATCGCAAGAGTGGAGGAGGGTTGTAGATCGTGAGATCGTGAGGTGTGGTGGCTAACTTATATGGCAGGATCCACGAGTTCAACACAACTGCCGTATTATTTACGTTCTTGCCGTATCACACGACGCCACTCTTTTTGAACCTTTTATCTATTCTTCCGGCAACTCTTACGCCGACATTCAAGGTCCTCACTCCATACAAGAACGGCCTGATTAATCCGCCAAGGCACCCGATTGTTCACAGCGCAGCGACAAACAAGCCTTTCTTTTCCGAATTAAATGAATACGTTTTGAAGGTCTGTAGGCAACAGGCCCAAAGCCATGCACTACTCGCATTTTGGGCCGGTATTGTTACAGAGGCTGTCGCAACAATGCTGGACGGCGCTCGCTCGGGGAGAAGAGAGGTTGAGAAGCAGAAGCATGAAGATATTCTTTTGCGGATTTTGCCGGTGCTCAGCAACGCCTTTACAATGAAAAATGTCTCGGAATTGATCGTCGCCTGCTATATGATCTGTGTTGTGCTGGCACAGAAGGCCTTCCTCTCGAACGAAGTTATTGATGGTCTAATGGAAAGTGTCGTGGGCTCTTGGACTGAAGATACAAAGATATCTGGTCTGGTCTGTCTTTCAGTCCTTGCACAGCAGAAGCCTGCTGTTACGATCCCGAAAAAGGTCTTCAAGGGCATCCTGCGCCTGGAAAACCCTATCGGCCAACTTTCTGAAATCGCGACCCAATATCAGACGTCTAACCTCTTGCTCGGGATCATTGCCGGCTGTTTGACTGATCTTGACAAGCAGGACAATGCTCGACTTGCAATCCTGGGTTCAGTCTTTGAACACAAGATGCTTGATGAAAACGATATTTCCAAGGCCATGGGCCTGGTTCTCGAAGCAGCCTCCAGTGCAGATGAGACCCGCAAAATGTCTTTGGAGGCCCAGACCCAGCTCGCTGAGCTGGTTCAAGGATTCAACCGATCAGAAACCCTCCAGCCCATTTTCCAGAAGACTTTGACTGGATCTTCGTTCAATATCTCGGCGCTGGAACACAACCTTCAGACCGTTGTGGAGGCCCCTGTTGTGGCACAGGCTATCGAAGATGTGGATATGATCGATGCAGACGATCAACCCCAGATAGACGCCTTTACGCCAGCTCTGGAGTCTTTGGCCAAAGAACCCTTGTTCCCACACTCGTTCCTCTCCAAGCAGTCTATCATCGAATTTGATAACCTGGTACGAGTTTTCGCCTTGGCCGTGGATTCTGAGGTTAACCTCGAGCTTTTCACCAATTTGCCAATCTTGGGCAAATCCCAGGCGACCAAGGCTGCTCAATATTTGTCCTTCTTCATTAGAGTTGTCGCCGGCCATTACCCCATTGGAACAAAGATTGCTGCTTTGAACATTGTATCATCTGTTCTTTCATCAGCACCTGCAGACTTTGATCCTCAGGCACTACTACCATTCCTGTTTGTGGCCCTCGCTGATCCCTCCGAACGGATTCGCCGCGAGACTGCTGGCGTCTTGGCTATTATTGGATCTTTGTACAAAAAGAACACCAAGACCGGTGACAGCTCGAAGCCATGGGCTCACGACACGATCTATGGCAAGAGCAAACAATCCACAGGTGTTGCATGGCTCAGCACTAAGGACTCGCACAAGGTCCTAGAACGGGCATTGCTTCCAGAGTTGGAGGAGTCTATCCTTGACCCCAACCATGTTGGTAAAATGGTGGAAGCTACCTTACGGGGCAACCTTCTGTCCGAAGCCTCGGGTGCTTCCGAACTCAAGAAGTCTCTCCGGCTCAGTCTATTTACTTTCCTCTGCTCTCATGTCGTCAAGATGCCAGTCTTCGCTCCCAAAATCAGCTTGCTGAAGTTGGTCAACAGCGTGGAGAAGGTCTCTACCGCAACCCTGACCAGTGAACTTCTCCCAGTGCTCGAGGATTGGCGTCGCCTGAATGAGAAGGAAGTCGAGGAAATTTGTGGCAAGGAGCGCCTTGTGGCATCTGAGACAGAGCATTTGATTGCTGCTATTGTCACAGCCAAGGACCAGGACGCTATCGATGTGCTTCTTTCCAACGTCAGCGCTGGTAATAACTTGCGCCCATCCTTTGTTGCGGCTTGCTTTGGCCAAATCAAACACATTTGGGCCAAGATTCCTGAAGACCGCCAATTGGTCGCATCCGAGAAGTTGCTCGATATCTCCCTTGCCGGGTCGGCCAATGCCGCTTCCCTGGCAAACAACTGCCGAGATGTTCTTCGCACTGTCGAGCTATCCGGTGCTATTCTTCAGCAATTCGTTCAGAAGATTCCAGTGTCCATTACCAATGTTGAGTCTATTGGCCCTGCGCCAAAGCGGAGACGAACTAGCCAGAACAATATGATTGCCATGACTGTGAAGGACGAGGCAGAGCTAAGCAAGTTGATGGACAAGATGACTTTCATCTTGGAGATCGTGGATAGCTCCTCCCCAGAAAACCACCCCGAGCTTGCAGATGGATTGTTCCAGACTCTCGCCGCTCTTCATCACTTCAAGTCTCAGATCCAGTCTGGCATGAGCTATCTCCTCAGCTTGACTTTGGGAAGTCTCCTGGCTATTGTGAATAAATCCAAGGGAGCTGCCAAGCCGCAGTTCGATACTTCCGTCATTAGGGCTGACCTGGTGGTGGACTGTGTACGAACCACTGACAGCCCGCAGGTTCAGAACGGAGCTCTCCTCCTCGTGGGAAGCCTGTCTATTATTGCGCCCGAGCTGGTTCTCCACAGCGTCATGCCGATCTTCACGTTCATGGGCACTACCGTTCTCCGCAAGGATGATGACTACTCTGTTTCGGTCATTGACCAGACCATCGACCAAGTTGTTCCCGCCCTCATTCAATCTCTGCGTAGCCAGAAGAGGGACGTTGTCTCTGGAACTTCCGAGTTGCTGCTCAGTTTCACTGCAGCCTTCGAGCATATCCCGTCGCATCGCCGTCTGAGACTCTTCCACGCCTTGATCAGCAAGCTTGGAACACAAGAGTTCTTGTTCGCTGTACTAGCAATGCTCGCTAACCGTTACTCCACCAACAAGGATGTCCTCACTCTGATGACCGGTCTGGTCTCCGATACCACACCTGTTGTGGAGCTTACCACCTACAGCAAGTACTTGAACCTGGTCAGCGATTCTCTCAAACCCAAGCCAGGTATCTCGCAGGTCCTTCTTGGAATTGGTAGTGACGATGGACGCGATGCCCAGAGCATCTGCGTTGATCTCCTGCGTGATCTTGCTCACTTGTTCAAGCACTCTTCTCTCAAGGCTAAGCTCGAGACTGCCTTCGAGTCGGACGGCGAAGTTGCTGATCAGTCCCGCGCTTGCTTCTCCCGAGTTCTAACGCAGGTTCTGAGCATCGGTGAGGCTGTGCAAAGTATGAAGCCCGTCAGCCAGGCCTGCGGTGATGTTCTCGGTGCCCTGTTCAGCACTCTATCTCTCGTTGACTTCCTTGATACCATTGAGGTTCTCCTCCAGGGCCCCAATGACGAGCTTCGACGCAAGGTCCTTCGTTTGCTCGAAACCCGCCTCCGCCAGAACCCCGAGCGCGACAACTTGTCACAGATCCGGGTTCTCGACTTCCTGCCCACCCTGGTCGACATTGTCGAGTCCTCTCCTGATACACTGCTCAAGCATGCTGCTGTTTCGTGCATTGACCGCATCACCGACAAGTACGGCCGTAAAGACCCGTCCAAGGTTATCGCTGCGGCTAGAGTGGTTGCCAGTGAATCTTGCCTTGGCCAATCCGATGACCGCATTCGCTACATGGGTATCCTGTGTCTCGCGTCTATGGCCGAGGTGCTGGGTCAAGCCATGATTCCTGCCCTCCCGGACACACTCAAGCGCTCATTGGAGTTGCTCGAGTTGAGTCTTATTGCTGGCAAGGAGAACTCGCGCCTCCACGATGCCATTTACACCCTCTTCTCTGCCCTCTTTGTTCACCTGCCATTCATGATCTCAGCTGGTCATCTGGACAAGATACTGCTTCTGTCCTTCAAGTCTGCTAATGCGGATATCGAGGAGAGCAGTGATGAGAGCCGCCAGGAGTCCCTGCGGTTGATGGCCCGCAAGGTGGATGTGGCTGCAACTCTCGGCGCCGTCGATCGCAATTGGCAACACGCCGTTGAGGCTGGCCCAATTGCTGTGAACGAACTCTTGGAAGTTGTCACAATTGCCGTTGACAAGCACCCCAAGTCGACTATCTCCAAGAACATCAATGTCCTTACGAAGATTCTCTTCAAGGCGTTCGATCTGCGCCGTGAGCAGATCGCTCTTGGTGACAAGGCTATCTTTGAATCGGCTGCCATTGATGAGGCTGAAGCTGCGCTCAACGACGTTGCAATCAAGATGATCTACAAGCTGAACGACAGCACGTTCCGACCTATCTTCCTCAAGTTCGTCGAGTGGGCTACTACCGCTGCTCCCAAGGAGGAGCAGGGTCAAACTTCGCGCCTCACGACTTTCTACAAGTTCCTCGAGGTCTTCTTTGGTACTCTCCAGGTATGTTTCTTCGTAATTTGCTATGCATTGATTTTCTACGCATTGATGTTCACGGCTAATATCTTCTTCAGTCGATTGTCACCGGATACTCCAGCTATGTGTTGGAGAACGTTGTCAGTGTGCTGAGCACATCTGGTCCTTCCAAGTCCCAGAAGTCCCTCTGGTTGGCCGCTCTTCGTATGCTCCGCAAGTCCTTCGAGCATGACCAGGATGGTACGTTTCCTCTCTGCGCCCAACATAGCTGATTACAACCGCTAACATGTACTGCAGAATTCTGGCAAAGCCCCTCCCACCTCGCCAGCATTTCTGGTCCTCTGATCGCCCAACTGGCCCACGCAACCAGCACCACCACCTCCAACATGGTCATTGCCGACGTCGTGCCCACAATCACAGAACTGGCCATCGCCGCCGACTCCACAGATAACCACAAGGAGCTGAACTCCGCCCTGATGAAATACCTCCGCCCCTCCTCTGCACCCAACGCCCGCTCCGCCGGTGGCGACAGCGCCCACACCCGTCTTGCAGCACTCAAGACCGAGCAGGCCCTTACCGAGCAGCTTGGCGAGGAGTGGCTGGCGCTCCTGCCAGAGATGTTGCCTTACATCAGTGAGCTTATGGAAGACGAGGACGAGAGTGTCGAGAGAGAAGTCCGCAGATGGGTTAAGCAGATCGAGAAGGTGCTTGGTGAGCGTCTCGATGATATGTTGACTTAGAGCTTTGGTTATGATTCTGTGTACAAAATTTGCATTTACTTGGCGTCCATAGAACAGGTTCTGCGCGAGCCTTGCTAGCGATCTACGGATAGTCTGTCTAAAAATTGATTGTTCTAATTATTTCTTTGCATTTTGAAATTCTGTATATGATGTTGCGTTCAGTTCTCTGGAATGACAGCATCCGATGCATCTACACCAGCGTTCCATCGGTACTTGGACGCAGGGTGGTCTGCATGAGGTCCGGACTGGCCGGGCTGCGCATAGAGGTTTTCACGGTAGGTTCCCTTGGGTACAGCATAGTCATCCCAGAACAGGCCTCGCTTTCGGAGCTCGGGAATCAGGAGGTCAATGATGTCCTTGAAGGAGCCGGGCTTGATTGCATATGCCTGCGAATAATGTTAACAGAGGACTCGCGATACGGGTTGTTTCCAGGACAACTTACCAGATTGAACCCATCCACATCGGCTTCTTCTACCCATCGCTCCATGCTATCCGCAACTTGAGCAGCCGTACCGACAGGAGTCGCACCCAGTCCTCCAACGGTGATGTGTTGACCAACAGTGGCCTTTGTCCATTTCTCCACCTCGGGTGTCGCCTTGGACCAACCCTCAACAGCAGAGCTACCCACAATCCCCAATCAGTATATATCGATCTGACACAAGGGAAACATAAACATACCGGATAGCATTACTCTCAACATGTCTCAACTCCTCATCATCTCCATAAGTATCCAGATCAATCCCCGTCCATCCACCAAACAGCGCAAGCGCTCCATCAATAGACCCCAGACTGCGGAAATACTTGAACTTCTCCACAGCCTCCTCCTCAGTCTTCCCCAGGATCGGACAAAGAAGGGCGAGGAATTTAATACTCTGCGGATCACGCCCATACTGGCTCTGCGCAAGCTCTCGAATCTCCTTGACGTTCTTCGCTACTACAGCCGGACTGTGTCCGGCAACAAAGATAGCTTCTGCATGTTGCGAGGCGAAGGTCTTGCCTGCTTTCGAGGTGCCGGCTTGCAGGATGACGGGTGTGCGCTGTGGACTGGGCTGGCAGAGATGAGGTCCGGGGACGTTGAAGTATTTGCCGACGTGGTTGATTTGCCGCACGCCTGCTGGGTCGGTGTAGATACCGCGCTCGCGGTCGAGGGTGACGGCGTCTTGGCGCCAGGAGGATTCCCATAGTTTGTAGGTTACTTTGATGTATTCTTCGGCGAGGAGGTAGCGGTCGTCGTGCTGGGTTTGGTCAGTGGGGTATAGAGATGTGGGTGTGGGGTGTGAGGCTTTACATGTGGCTGTTCGGCTTGGCCCATATTGCGGGCGGCGGAGTCGAGGTAGCCTGTTACAACCTGAGGATATGATTAGTATGTATTTCTTTCGGGGTCCTACTGTGCGAGAGATTGGTCTGCTACTCACATTCCATCCCAGACTATCAGACAGGTTTCATTAGTGACTTGTTCTCCCGATGGGTAGGATCTGTACATACCGTCCTTTAGTGAGATGATCCACGGTCGATAGTCGTCTTGCAAGATGATACGGTTGCTCATAGGTAGTTGTGACCGTCACTCCGAATCCGATATTCTTTGTCGCCGCTGCCATGGCGGGGACAACAGCCAATGGCTCGTTCACCGGCCACTGAGCACCTGAGATCACGGCCGGGTCGAGGTTTCTGGGTCCTTTATAGACATCATATCCTCCTGTAGTTTCTTTTGTCAGAACTCGTCCTCGGGATTGTCATCCTATACTTACCCAGCACATCGGCGATAAAAATGCCGTGGAACTTGGCCGACTCGAGTAATTGGGCCAATTCAACCCAGTGGTCGACATCATTGAAGCGATGCGATTCATCTTCGGGGTGTCGCCATAATCCTGGTGATTGATGGCCGCTGCCTATACTTGATTGTTAGAGATGGGGATTTTTGCTTTGGAGTTCGACGTACACATTTCCACAAAGGCATTGAGGATGAGCGACTTGCGAGGTTTGTCTGATTGAGTCATCTTGGATCTTTGAATTGCAGAGAAACAGGGGTCTCCAGCTTTTTATTTATCGTCATCAAGACACCCCGCGTCATTTGGCACATCACAGTGGGCCGTGATGGCGTGCCAAATCCGCTCTGGCGGGTTCGCATGGCCACGGTCATTGGCTATCCTCAGCGTCTCTCGCCCGAGATACTGTACACTGTTGATGATCTTGAGCTGATACTTTTATTTACATGGGCATTGGAAGATGACTGCTGGACTCAATTCTGGGGGAATCAATCACTTTGTGTTTGGCTTGTACACCATCACAGTTCGACTTGTCATCACCGGATTTGTTATACAAATCGCCTCATTCCCCGATTAAACAAACTACTTACTGACATATTATCCGGTGAATCTCAATCAAAATTCTTAGCCGTGCCAATCTCCAAGCACCTCATCGGGAGCACAAATCAAGCCATTGTGGACCTGGGCCCTACTATGATACGAACAGGGACCTTAAATCGTACCCCTGTCGACTCCGTAGTGATTGGGATACAACATCATTTGGCCCTGTTCCATGTACTCGGTACCATTTCTGGGGTTATCATTCTCCTTTTAACTGTTCACTCCATCCTACGAGGAATTCGAACCAAATCTATTCTCGATTACTTTCGCGTAGGCTCTCTGCCGCACAGAATGTTGAATTTACATGCCCGAGATGGCATCTCGACTGTCCAGCCACCTCTATCACAGGCGGTTGGTTATGTCGTCGTGGTTATCATCGGTGTGATTATTGCCCTAGGTAAGTACGTCAATGTACATCTTCAATATGACAACTGACACCGAACAGTGATGATGCTTATTACAAAAGTCTTGAAGAAAACCACCGGAGAGGACAACGAAAAGACCGAAATGTATGCACAGTTCCCCCCGACTCATCCTTCAACACTAAGCCAAACAAACAGGTTCATGACAGCAAACCGCACCATCCGCACAGGCCTAACCGCATCAGCCGTGATATCAGTAAGCTCCTCTCCTCCAGCCACTTAGATCCCAACTCATAATACCTTCCTCAGTCTTGGCTTTGGTCGACCGCTTTACTTGGCTCATCATTTGTCGGCTATGACTATGGCGTAGCCGGTCCATTCTGGTTTGCAGCTGGTTGCAGTCCGATGATTGTGTTTTTCGCTCTCTTGGGAATATCCTGCAAGCGAAAGATCCCAGAAGCGCATACTTCGCTGGAAGTGGTTCGGATCCGATACGGTAGGTGGGCTTCACTCTCTTTGCTGCGCAGTTTCTGACTCCATTTTGGTCATACAGGACATGTAGCACATATTGTGTTCATGATTCTCTGTCTGGTGAATAACATATTTGCGTGCGCCAACATGCTTCTTGGCGCCGCTGCAGTCATCACTGCGGTGTAAGTTTCCTTCACACTATCAGATGCCCTGGCTAACCAGCTCAGCACTGGAATGCATATTATTGCTGCTACCTTTTTATTGCCCGTTGGAGTGACCCTCTACACATTTGTCGGTGGTATCAAAGCAACGTAAGTCCCTTTCCCTCAACTTGAAAGAAGTCCAAATATCTAATTGTGGCAGATTCCTCACTGATTATTTCCACACGGCTATCATTATGATAATTGCGTGCTATTTCACCGTCAAAGCCTTTTCAACTGACCAGATTGGCTCTGTGGGTGATCTTTTCGAGCTTGTCCAAGCAGCAGCGCAACGACATCCAGTTGCTGGCAACCAAGATGGGACATATCTGACAATGACATCCAAGAGTGTAAGATCAAAAGTCATGGACACATTCTCCCAGCATACCCACTGACGTGATTACAGGCAATCCTTTTTGGAATCCTTCACACTCTTGGAAACTTCGGTTTAGTCATCGTAAGCAGAAACCACATCTCCCTTCACCATACCATTCTAACCCCCCCAGATGGACACAAGCTATTTTATCAAAGCCTTCTCCGCCTCCCCCGCTGCAGTAGTACCTGGCTACACAATCGGAGGCATTGCCTACTTTGCCATTCCATGGGGCCTCGGAACAGTCATGAGCTCCGTTGCCCTAGGACTGGAGAACCAGCCAACCTTCCCAACCTTCCCGAGAGTAAGTACTCTACCTTTCTAAATTACAATGCCATTAACACCCTAGATTAGAGAATGACAACTACGGAAGTCGGCAATGGCCTCGTCCTCCCATACGCAGCAATCACCATCGCCGGTAAAGGCGGCGCCGCAGCAGTCCTCCTAATAACCTTCATGGCGTGTACATCAACCCTCTCCGCACAGGTAATCGCCGTCAGCTCGATCCTGAGTTTCGACGTCTACCGCGAGTACTTCAAGAAGAAGGCCACAGACCGGGATCTGATCCGCGCGAGCCACTTCGGTGTGATTTTCTTCGCTGTTTTCTCCGCTGCTTTCAGCACTATGCTTCACTACGTGGGTATCAATCTAGGCTGGACACTTTACATGCTGGGTATGTTACTCCCATATCTTATTTCCTGTGTCAAACTAATAGCTTCTTTCTTCGATAGGCGTGGTCACATGTCCCGGGATCTTCCCAATGATTTTCACCATCCTCTGGCGACGCCAAAGTAAAGCTGCCGCAATCCTGTCTCCTATCCTTGGTCTTGCAACCGGTATGGCCGTCTGGCTTGGGACTGCATCGCATTTTAGTGGTGAGGTTTCTGTCGCATCAACGGGAGAAGTCCTTCCTTGTTTATATGGCACAGTCGCCTCTTGCCTGTCGCCGATTGTATACTCGGTTCTGATCACCCTTGTACGGCCTCAGAACTATGATTGGGACGATTTCAAAAAAGTCAAGTTGTCTCTTGAAAAATTGGGTAGTGATTTGACGACCACGCATCGTGACCAGGTTTCTTCCGCTGAGCAAGATGGGAGCGTTGAAGATGGGGGCAGGGGTGCACAGGATCAAAAGGAGCTGAAGCGGTGGAGTCGGATTGCGGCTTTTTGGGCTGCGGCAACATTCTTGGGTCACTGGGTTATCTGGCCGTTGCCTATGTATGGATCTGGTTATGTTTTTGGGAAGAAGGTATGTGTGGCCCTTTGCGTTGGCAGTTCTTCGATGACTGATTGTTCGTTTAGTTCTATATTGCCTGGGTCGTCGTTGGTATTATCTGGCTTTGGCTCAGTATGCTGGTTGCGATCTTCTACCCGATCTTTGACGGTGGTTTGGAACAGATTCGTGATGTTTATCGGGGGCTGAGAGATCATAAAATTGTCACTGAGGGTGCTCGGAGTGAAGATGGCAAAGGGGCAAGTATTTCTCCATGTGGGTCTATCAGCGATGATACTCACATTGGAGAGCCTCAAGAGAACAAAAATGTCAAATCAATCATGGGATGATTGAGTTCCTCTGACATGATATTTGGGAATGCGGTCCTCATTGTATATGCTATTTTACGTTCCTTGTTGCAAGTCTGTAGGGACTACATCCGATCGATAGATAAAATTGAGCAACACTTCGATTTAATTCGTGGTTTTTAAATTTCCAATGCATAAAAAGTGTTCCAGGTAGATGCAAATTGGCGCACATCCCATCGGCCATCAAGGCTGATCCAGATACGCCCACATCACATAGCAACCATAAATGTCCCATTCCATATGTCAGCAAAATATGTCCCATCTTGCAATATCGACAGCGAAGGGGAAAAGATAATCTAAGGGAATCCGTTCTTCAAGTTATCGTACTTGGAGGCAGGATAGTGCAGCTGGTTGCCGCTCTTCTCCAAAGCTCCAACACCTCCAAGCGTATCAACAACCTATGTGCATGTTAGTATTGTGTAAACCATATATCCAAATGAGGAAGTGCCATACAGTTGTAATCAAACTGTCCCCGCCGGCCTTATCAGAGCTGCTCTCCCACCACATTGCACCGCCCAGTCCGCGGGACTGGATGTACTGCGCCTTCTGGCGCGCAATCTCGGGTGTATCATAGCTGATAAGCAGTCGACTTCCTTGGTTATAGCAATAGCTTGCACCTGGTTGATCCAGGACTGTCACAGTACAACCTGGCAGAGGCAGGCCCTTGTAGTCCCACACGCCGTTCTCCCATGTGCCCGCTCCAACTCCATTGTAAGGCTTTCCTGGGCCGTCGGTGTTAGTAAATGCCCGGCCGTACAGTGGCATGCCCATCACGATCTTATTAGCAGCTACGCCTTGCGAGGAGTAGTAATCGATTGCTTGGTCCGTGTTGAATGGGGTGCTGGATGGGTTGTCGTTCGACACGTGAAGGTTGGAATTGTGGCCGGCCACTGTATCCCAGCTGCCAGAGTAATCATACGCCATGAGGTTCCAGAAATCAAGGTACTGGTCCATCTGGTTCAAGTGCTCTTGGCGGTAGTGAATTGGGCCTGGGACTTGTGTCAGCTGTGCTCGAATATTTCCAAAAATGGAGATAGAACTTACCAGCTGGAGATGCAACAGTAAGTAGGAAATGATAACCTCCGGCGTTGGCCGAGCTGTAGTTATCCAAAGCCTGGATTTCATTAGCCACGGCCCAAAGATATTGAGAAAAGGATCACATACACCACGTAGTCGTCGGAGTGCATCGACCAGCTTGTCGGCTTGGTCGTCATTGGCAGGGTACTATAGTAACCGTAAGCATCAGCAACTTCTAGACCCCAAGTGTCGAAACTTACCTCATAATCAACATCAATACCATCCAATCCGAGGTTCTTCAACAGCTCCGTAGCAGAATCAGCAAACTTCTGCCGTCCAGCCTCAGTCTCAAAGGCAGAAACGAAGTTAGGGGAATAGGTCCAGCCTCCAATGGACAGAAGAACCTTGAGCTTGGGGTTTCTCTTCTTGAGCAGGAAAAGCTGTTTGATACAGCCATAGACGTTATTTCCAGAATCATTCCAGGAATCAGTAGGATAATGCTTGTCAGTGTCTGCCCAGGAGTCCGACAGGTAGACCTCGCCTGTACCAGGGCGAACGTTGGCAAATGCATAAAGAACATGCGTCAATCGCTCTGCGGGAAGGTCCTGGGGTTGAAAGTTGCGACCGTAAATAGCCTGCATGGTCTGATTAGTATTTCTGTTTGGATGTTTGGATGATGCTCTTTGTATCCCCATTTTCATGCAGTAATATCTGATCGATATGGTCTGACGTACCCAGTTCACATAGTATGCCACCGAGCGGTACCCGCCAACATCACGAGATTCAATCCCAGTGCTATTGGTGCTCAGGACAGGAATGGAGGCAGCGTTGGCGAGCCAGCTCAGGCCTAGAAGGAAAGGAATGACAAAATGCATGATGAAGGAGTGTCGAGATGATTTCTGCTTTCTCGGACCAGCGAGGTTGATGAAGGTTGGTAAGGCCAAGGAAGGAAATGACCTCACTATTTGTAGTCGAAGTCGACAAACAAAAGAAATTCCCTCCGCGGAGTATTGAGATGGCGGACAATAGTAAATTGTCAAGTCCATTCATCCGTGTGTCGACCCAAATAGGTAATAGGTACCCTGTTACCTAAAAGGTGACTTGCTTGATACCAGGGGGTCTTCAGTGTTTCAGCATTGAGATCTAGGAATTCAATCAAACTCTGTAACCTGGTCACATTCAGCAAATTAGGTATTCGGCGGATTTACTTGGTCAACTAGAGCATTGTGTTTTGTATCGAGGTTGGTGGACTAAGCAGCGCCACAGCGCATCATCTCCACACTATGAAGATCCTAATACGATATTTATTGTGCATTCACCATGTCTGTGGTATTGGATGCTAACCGCATGGTATACCACACAAGTGTGTAACATTCTGATATCGGGGATTGATCCCTCTGTGATAACTTGACTACCTGTCCTCATAGGGTTGAAATTCCCCGGCCAATCAGTCATCATGACTGGCGATGATGGGTAACAGTGTCATATGAACTGCATTTCTCATGCAGAATCAGGATGGAGAATATGGCCCGGAAGAAATTCAATCATTCGTGACTAGGAGCTCTGTCTTTGGACAGTGCAGCATCGCCGTCTTGCCGTAGAACTCATGCTCATGAATGTAACTAAATGGTCGTATCCAGCAAGTTTCCAACAAAGTCAATCGGTAGATACTATTCAAAGTTATGATTTAGGATCTGTGGATATGCAGTCTGACACAGATCAATCAACCGAGTCCGCGGTCTGCAGGAACAGTTCCTGTGAGAAGGATAATTGCCAATGTAACATTCATGCCATGCGACCGGTGCATGTGCCATATTACGCCCAAAGCGAGAACGAGAGAGTCAAGCCAGGAACATCCCATGATCGGATGAAGGGAAATTACTCATGTGGGTTGGCTTTATACATCTGGACCTTTTGCAATTTTGGGATTCAAATGTGACCGGGTATAGATCGTAGATGAATGCTAAGATAGTTACTGAGCATATACTCGGTTCTTGAGAAGGATATCCCTCGTTGAAAGATGCCATATTGAATTGTCTACCTCATAATCACAACGGACTTCCATGATGCATCGCAACAAGTCCGATGAGGCTCTAAAAGGTCTGATGAGCTCTGGTGAAAATACCTCATTTCACAGTGATTCTCACTTCCCCTACCAAGGCGATTCCCATCTTCAACCGGTCCAGAAATTTATCCTCGTCAGCAGTTATCTGGGCAGCGGCATCCGGGGCATAAATCTTCGCCGCAAAGGCCTGGTAGGCAACCTGATCCGAGAAAGTAAGTTCGGCGTAGGCATCAAAGTCGAAATCTGGCTGTCGCCCGCGGAGTATAGTGGCCGGGGTGAAGGCGTTCCGTGCAGTGGAGCCATCCGGGGGGATTTCCACTGTATTGCGAGCGATATAATTTCGATGATGAGAAAGCGGGAAGTCTTCGCCTGCGATTTTCTTGACAAGTTTGACATGCGCTTCGTAGCGTTTCTTGAATTCTTCCGGTGATAGATGGGGGTTGCGGTATAGAAAGACTAATATCTTGACAGGCATGTTGAAATCCCCCAACTGTAGCAAAAGCGAACTTAATTGAGAGTGTGGTTTGGATATGCTGGGTTAGTTCAAATCTTGAAAGAATCAAGTTTCAAACATCCCAGAATGAACCGGTTATTTCTCGGGGGTTTGACTCTCGGTCCTTACTTTGTACTTTCGAAGCGGTGCAACGCGGAATCTGCGCGGGTGTATGGCGTAGTATTTCCCAAAATCCACAAGCTTGCGTAATATGAGATCACGATCAAGTGTTTCGGATCTTATGGTACTCGGGGAGATCCCATTTTACCATCCACTCGAAGCCAAGGAGCTGCTTAGCAGTAGGACGAGACTCGGGCCTAAAAGAGAACATCAACCGGAGCATCGAGAGCAAAGCATCTCGCTCTGCCGGGTCAATAGCCACCATCCCTTCTTTTTCTCGGGGCTCCTGAACGCTGTCATCGAATCGGTCCTCCCACGACCGATAAGAGTTTCGATTTATTGGCTTCCCCTCTTCAGTGAACCACTTGTGTCGTTCTTCCCATCGCTGCCACCAATCCAAAGGCAATGTGCCGAGTGCATCGACTTGCTCGCGGGTTATGAGATCCTCGGTTGCGAAAAAGCTTTCAAAAAGGGATCTTTGGGCAATAATATTCCATATACAGCAGCCAAGTGACCAAATATCTGACGAGAAGGAAAGAGACATTTGCGGTTCGAATCGAGCCTCCGGGGGACGGTATGCAAGTGGGGTATGAGATTCACATTTACTCCCCTGAGCAGGAGAGAAGGCTTCGCCAAAATCAGCGAGGAAAATTTGGGCTTCGGAAAGCGCAAGCTTGTCACTTGCTTTCCCAAGCCATATTGGTATGATGGCATGCGTCGGAATACTTGTCGGCAGAGGTTTCTGGTCAAAGCGCCTTATTGCTTCAAGTTGTGGCTCTCCGTACTGTTTATACAACTGCTCCTCAGATATCAAATCTAGGTCATATGGTAGCTGTAGGAGGACGTTTCCATCGTGGATATCTCCATGGACAATTCCCCTGGAATGCACATATTCGACTGCAATCACCAGCTGTGCTGCTAGAGCGCGGGCAGTCTCTAACTGGAAAAGACGATTATACGAACCGTCCTTTGCCTCAGAGAGGCTCATCCTTGCCATATTCATCACATGACAGAAATGGGTGCCATTAGGACCCTGGATATTGAATCCATTCAATGTCGAAGGGATCATCGATCTCCCTAAGCATGTACTCAGGGAGGATCGTTGCAAGCTTGAAAGTTCGGAGAGGATGTTGAACTCGGGCGAATTTGAATCTGCCGTACACACTTTGACGGCGACATATCTGTCAAGATCATCATCTTTAGCCAGCCAGATAGTCGAATAGCCGCCATATCCAAGCTTGTGGACCACCCTGTAGCGATCTTGAAACCGATCCCCAATCGCTACAGGGTGATACCCCCTGCGCTGTATCTTTCTAATCTCTCTACTTCTTCAATAGGCTCATAGATATAATATGGTGGAGCAGTGGCTACCGAGGTTTGAGATGTTGACACAGTGCGAAAAGTGCCACGGATCTGATTGTGGTGACGCAAGGTCTCCAGAGTCGTGCCAGAAAGATGTGAGAGTAACCAGGGCGAGTGGAAAAGTCTTCGGGACGATAAAACAGAACTCGATTTGATCAATCGTAGAATCTGCATCTCTTCAAGTAAGCAAGAGATCTAGCTTGCTCAAATAAATCGCACGTCCTGATGTCTTGATGGAGAGAGGGCGACATGTAAACAGACGGGTGAACTTTCTTCCGCATCCTATAAGAGCAGGGGTTCGCTAATTTTTTGATTCTGTATGAGATTTCATCTACATAGTTCTTGAAGACCCTCTTTTTTTGAGGTATATATCCACTAAACACTTCTCAAGCCACCTCTATAATTATGTTTATATAAAAGGGCCTATGCTACCATGCTTCGTATGGCGGTAGCCAACTGGGCAGTGGCAGCTCACGAAAGCAGAAAGTGTGTCCCAGAGCGATACATAAACTTCATGTAGCCGTCACTGCTCTCATCATTCCACGAGATGATCTTGAAACCACTAAAGAAGTACTGTTTTGATGGTGAGATGGCTGCAACAATGAAATGGTTTCGACCCACCAGACAGCAAGAGACAGGCAGATATATCCTAATGCAATCCTGATCAGGTAGGTTGAGAGATCCTAGGCATTCATGACAGAACCTTCAATATGATCTCCCACGATCTCTTTCCTTTATATTTTCTCTAATTCACTTTGAGGTTCAAGATGCACAATACCGCCAGTACGTGTTGCTTGCCGTCAGCATTACTCAACCTGAATCTGCCCACAGGATGGGAAATTTACCAGTTAAAATGCCACGAACACATATAACTACTTCAAATTTCACTTCCTCGGTCTAGCTCAGAAATTAGTCGACACCAAAATTGAAGGTTCGTGGGTGCAGAGTCGAGCCATACTATAGCGGCGGCGCGATTCCGATTGATGACGGAAACGACAAGTGCATACCAAAGGGTTGGCGGCGGAATCACAAAATGGTGCCCGGGAACCAAGGGTACCTGACCAAATGACTCAAGAAGGTATGCCCCGGTGAAGCAGCCTCTCGTTCCTTTTTGATAACAATGCCGCTCACTTGTTGGTGGACCATCCTGACATATTGCTCGTCACTGCTCAAAGATAAGGATCGAAGTTGATAGAACCTGGAACCTCTTCGCTAGAGACAACAATTTGGCTACTTGCCCAACGATTAGAATTCCGAAGGTATGTACAAAAGCTCGGCACGTACTTGCACTTCCAATCTCGCTTGTCGACTGTTCTCATGAGACGAGTACTTACACTATACAAGCAGATCGGTGAGCCGATGAATGTTTTGTTCTGTTTTGCATGCATTTGACTCGCTGGTTCGAATTCCACTGGGGCGGGAAACGTCCCCCAGAGGTTTGTCTCGGCCCTTTAGCAAGCAAAGACATGAATTCAATATACCCTGAATGTGGTGAAAAGGTCCTGCTGGAGAAGGAGTTGATCGAGGATTGGGTAATTACACTTGAAAGATTCACAAAATATGAATGGGATTACCTATTTGTCAACCTTTTCTCCATGTAGATAGCTCAAATAGCCTCAGACGGTTTCTCTCGTCAGGGGCAACTCAGTTCATGCATCGCTTCTCGGCCCGCTTGATAGCATTCTAGAAAGTATCACCTTTATTGTCAGTTTGACATAACATCAGTTAGCCTTCAAACTAGGAGACTTTGCTCAAGTAGGTCGTCAGCACGGAGAGAGAAAGAGAGACATATAACATGTAGACGCACGGGTGAGTACGGTGAGCTTTGTTCCGCATCCTATAAAAGTAGGGGTTTGCAGATGCTATGATCTTGTTCAGCATTCTACCTGCCCACCCAAAAGCTCTCCTTTTTTTTCTTTTGGTGAATTTATATTCACTGAGTATCTCTGGAGCTACCCACACACTTTTATTTATATAACAGAAGCTATACTACTAATTATCATAAAGTGGTTGCCAACTGGGCGATGGCAGCTCCAACCGATTCAAGCAGGAAAAGAACGTGGCCCCCCATGGGAGTAGAGGGCTTGTCCTAGAGCTAACATATCAGCTTCATCTATCTCTCACTTCTCTCACTCTCACTCTTCTATCTCTCTCAAATCCACCATAGAGGAATGGGCTTCTCCATCTCTTCTAGTGAGAATCTTCAACCCCCGAAAGAGAAAGTGGTCATTACCACTGTGATGGAGCATTATTCTACGGGAATATTGCCCCAAAGAGTGAGCATTGCTGGCCGAATTGATGGCTTTGCTTGAATATACCGCGAGACAGACAGATATATCCCAAAGCCACCATGATCAGGTATTTCGAAACCTTCGTCACAAGGCCTTTATAACTGCCATCGGCGGTCTCTTTGCTGTACGCCCGATCTAACTATTTTCAAGATCCGAGGTACACAATACAAAAAAGCCGCAATACAGAAGAATTCCCGGGGTGACACGTCATGTCCTCAGCCTTCACAGCCCATGGCGGCTGAAGGTTATCAAGGGCCTGAACAGTCTTCACTTTGACCTCGATTTATACCACGGATATGTGTTTTCTTATTTCTCGGAGCAAAGACAGGGACAGACCCAGGGATAATGTCCGCACGACTGATCCTACTATATTTTGGCTTCGAAATGGTCCCTATACCTTGGAGCGCCCACAAAAACAGGAATAAACAGCTTCGAAAATTCAACGAAGACCATCTGTAACGAAGTGATACACGACATCATCTTTTACCACAATCCCCAGATTCATGTGGAATCGACAGCTCCAACGACCAAGGCCGTATTATGCTGGGTTTCCATTTCGGGGATACCCGGACTCAAACGGGCTTTCAAAAAGCCAGCCTAGGGAGCGTGGTACACCCCATAAAGCTTTGCGCCACCTCCTGATGCTGGCCGAGCGCGACTACTAGTCAAAATAGCTAGAAGAGGCTTGCTTATAGTGGGTAGTACCAAAAGTCTGCCATCCGACTTTAGCTGTTGGGGGGTGAGGGTCGCCTACGCAGCTCATGTAACGTCAGATGATTTCTCTCTTCAATGACAATCATTACATCTATCCCTTCCCTGTTCTCTATCAATTGTTGCAGGAGCAAATCCAAATTGAGCTTCAGCTTGACATCATACCAGTCTCACGGGGCCCCTCTGATTCCTCCCTTGCATGTATAGTCCACTGCAACGTAGATCAAGACTAGGATGGTTTTCTCGTCTGGGTATGTCTGAAGTAATAATTGATTAGAGTAGGAGAAAGTGACAAGCTAGGATACATGTAAAGGACATAAGAAAAAAAGGTTTTGTGTGGACAAGAGGGTATATTTGAAAGAAAAAAGGAAAGGCAGTCATACATCATATGAACGCTGTGCAAAAAAAGGACTTTTTTGTTGGCCAACATAATTAGGGGTATTGGTTGACAATGGACAAACGAGCATGGAGAAAACCCTCCACATCTCATATTACTTAGTGGCTGGCTCTCAGCGAGCTCAGTCTTTCCGTGTACTCCGGTGGGGCAAGGCCCACGTCAACAACCACATTGTTGAGATTGTGGTCTGAGAAGTCGGTAGGAGAAGTCACGTTTCGTGGGTGGAAGAACTCTTCTAGCTCTTGCTGTGTGACAGTGACACCGAGTTCGGCCTTGAGGGATTCAGCGCACTTGGCTTGGCTGGTGAACTGGACGGGGACGCGGAGGGAGATCGTTGGTGTCATGATATTAGTTGCGGGGGTGTGGTATGTCAAGGAGAGATCGAGGGCGTAGACGCGAGACATCAGACAGGCGTGGAAAGTTGGTACGAAAGCCTTTGCCGCAGGCAGGGTGACGGGGACGACTACTGATGCGGTGTAGTAAGTGTCGCCGGTGAATGTCGAGGACGGGCCGAGTGACGAATCGGATGATGATGAGTCGGTAGAGTCGCGGCGGAGATAGTCGGCGGCTGTGGATTGTTTTGTCCACTGGGCGGATGCAACACACATGGTCAATAGAGGGACGCTTTCTGAGTACAGGCCGCATCCAATTTGGGCATACGGCATGCCGGTTGTGGAAGGGAAGTCCTCCCATGGGGAGGAACTGAAGAATGTGTTGACACGGAGTTTGCTGGTCATTGTTCCCAGTGGGGGAGGCTGTTCGTTGCCGACTGGGTCGAAGCGGAGGTTTACGGTAGCCACGGTGCTGACGGTATCAGTTGGCTCGCCGTTTGGAGGAAGCAATTGAACGGGCTTGGGCTGGGAGGATGAAGCGACGATCCGTCCCAATTTGCTTCGCAAAGTTCCGCGTTTGACGGTCTTTTCTTTACGCGTGCAGAGATATGGACTTGAGGAAATTTCAATGGGAGGTTCCTCTTCGACAGTTGGGATGATGCGGATTTTCTTGCCAACGGCGGCAATGGCCATGACTCCGGGGCCGGCGAGTTGTTTCTGGAGAACAGAGGCTCGAATCGAGTAGGCAATCTGGGACATGCTGGGAGCCATGTCATCTAGTAGTGTCTTACCGTTGCTGGCAAGGATGGGATCACCCAATGTTGGGGGCAGCATAGTGTGGGATCGTTGAATGTGAGCATTCTTCTTGGCGTGGGTGCAGACCTGGGGCAGCAGG